TCGATTGTGCAAGGAGGACTACTTCTGTTCGGACTTTGGATTTCAGGTCTCGGTGAGCGAGGTCCGTAGGAGCGAGATCTTGGGGATCGAGGTGTTGGGGAGCAAGGTCAGCGGGAGCGTTGTCTCCGGGAACAAGCAGGACCACCATCGGCAGTTGGGCCTTCAGACTCTCTGCACCCACCCGATGGAACTCCATCCCACATTCCCTTTGCCTCCTTCAAGTCACGTCTCAAAACTCTCTTCTTAGACTGAGCCTTCAGCTACCCTCCTACCCTCCTTGTCCTCCACCCTCCCTGATCCCGACTCTGGTCCAAATCCCAGCGCCGTGGGATAGCGGGAGCGAGGTCTTGGAGAGTGATAATAATAATCCTTGCATTTGATATAGCGCTTTTCACGTCGGGAGGACGTCGCAAAGCGCTTCACAGAACACACTGTAAAGTGAATTGACTGTATATTTGTGGGCGAACGCGGCAGCCAATTGCGCACAGCAATGTCTCACAAACAGTCACGGCTTGAAAATGACCAATTTATTATTGTTTTGTTTTTTGGAGGGATAATCATTAGGCTCTGTGTGGAGTAAGGAAACTTACCCAAGGTTTCGCCCTGCCTGGAATTCAGGTCTCTCACTTGCAAAGCGAGTGCTCTAACCACTGAGCTACAGGACTCCACTGGCGGGCGTGAGGTCGCAAGGAAGAAGGTGTCAGAGAACGAGGTCTCGACGATTTTTTGGGGATGGTGGGGGGCTGCCAGTCAGCTGTCTGACACGTGTGGAAACCCATCATCATGATTAAGAGTATTCAAACCAAGATGAGATTTCCATGCATCTCATTTATACATGGAAATCCCAGAGGTAGATTGTTGGAATGGAATGTGCTCTCTCTCCCTGGAGAGATGGGTCCTACTTACCTAATTCCGGAAGGTATTAGGCAGATGTTGGCAAGAGCCAAGGTTTGGTGACCCCAGAGTGTGTGTTGGGGTACTGCTGAAGCCTAACCAGCTAAACTGTATAGCTTGCCATTGATATTGTTGTCTGGCAAGCTTTCTTACTAGTTGTGCAGCTGGGACCACTCTACCTGTTAGGGCTTTCGCTTGCAGAGTAGTGCCATGGAATACTGCGGCTCAGGAACTGGACTACCGAGAACTGCTGTAGACGGGGCTGGTTCGATTCCAGCATTCCAATGCCAGTCATGTCACCCTGAAGCCAGTTCAGCTTCAAAGAGACCTCGCTTACCTCGCCGCGCCCCCCCCCCCCCCCCCCCCAGATAATCACTAAACAAAGCCAGTGGGAGTAAACTGGCAAGAGTATGACTGGGGACCCAAATTCTTACCAGGGTGGTCCCACCTTGTAAACTTCATTGGATGTGTCAAGGGTGCAGGTACATTCACACTGCGGAAGCCCAGTACGTAGTGTTTCAATGTCTACATTGCAGGGGGTGCAGGAGTTACAGAGAGGCAGGCAAAGCTGCTTCTTGGCAGGACTTGGAAGTGCAGACCCTTCACTGGGGCTGGAATCCTCTTGTTAACCTGCAAGCTAAAGCCCTAACAGGTAGGGTGGTACTAGCTGGACAAGCAGCGGGAAAGCTTGCCAGATAGTGCTTTTGATGGCAAGCAATGCGATTTGAGCTGGTTAGTCATTCTGGGATCCCCAAGCCTTGGCTCTTGCCAACCTGTGCCTAAGACCTTCCGAAATTAGGTAAGCAGGATGTGTCCCTCCAGGGAGAGAGTGCGCATTCCATTCCAACAATCTATATCTGGAATTTCCATGTGTAGGTGAAATTTTCAGCTTGGTTTGGATACTTTAAACATGGTGATGGGTTTACACATGTGTCAGATACCCGGCCGACCAAAACAAAACGGGATACAGCAGCCGAGTGTGAAGAATCCCTGCTCCCAGTCTGTCCCTTCCGACAATGCCAACAAGCTCAGCTGGCTTTTCTATCATTTGCAGTCCCTTGGAATACTGCAGACCCTCCTGGCTTACCAACCTGAGCTGCTGAGGCTGCTGCAGAGAATTGACAAAATTCTAACATTTTGTTTTCAAGCACATCACCTTGGAGTCAGCTCAGCTCCAAGGAGACCCCGCTTACCCCTCCTCCCAACTCCCACAATGAAGTGAATGATTAATTGATCTGAAAAGATGGCAGCCAAAATACCAGGAGAAATTTCCTTCTCTTTTCAAATAGAACTATAGGATATTTAATGTTTACTTGAAGAGGCAAAAGATCCTCAGAGACGAGCAAAGCTACAGAAAGGATTGCATTTTCCTGCTAACACATCAGTGCCGCTTGAAAATTTCTGCTGTTCAAGGTGAAGTGGATGTGAATGAATGCATCTGAGTCATTAATTTATCAATTGCTTTAAAAATAAAAATCCATTCAAATGCTTTGATGTCAATTTTGATGTCCCGCGAACCTATTAATCTGCCCCTCAATTACCTTCAAGAACTGCTGCATCACTTATTGTCTGGAACTGAAGAGGACCTGTAAAGGCGAAATTGGTCTTTAAAGATACCATGATGTGAAGGACCTCTGCACACGTTTAACAGTAACGGGAGAATCAATTTTTTAAAAAAGCTCTTTAGTCATTGTATAGTTAACACAACGCATTCATAGATGAGGTATATCAATTCCTTGCTAGTAGCTTAATTATTGCAGTAACATAATTACATTTTTAATTTTTAATAACCTACAGCAATGCAGATTTGAACTGAAATAGTTTGCCCGAAATTTAGTTTCGTTTAGGGAAATGTTCTGATGTGCATTATAACCCCCTGAGTGAGTTTGATTTTTTTTTATCCTTCATGTTCTCTTTGTTTCTGCCACACGGCTGTAATGACAGGATTACAAGATGAAGAAAGCCCTTTGGCTTGTTTGATCTCATCCTTTAAGATTCACTCCACTGTCTTTGCGTCGCAGCATCAAGCTTTTTTTTAAAAAAGTTCAGGATCCTTGTCCTAACTTTTAAATCACTCCACGGTCTTGCCCCACCCAACCTCTGCAACCTTCTTAAACCCTACCACCCTGCCCACTTAGCAGGCACTGGGCTGCTTCATGTCCCCCACCCCGACTGTCCCATTGTTGGCGAATGGGCTTTCAGCTCATCTGCCTCCACTCTCTGGAACTCTATCCCGGTGTCACTTCGCCTCGCCCCTTACCTGGTTTCCTTCAAGGCTGCCTGAAAACCTTCTTGAAGACTGTGGCTTCAAGTAAGCTTCTCCCACTCCCACCCACCTTGGCCTCCACATCTCCTGAATTCAACCACCAGGGTAAACCTCGACTGTCCAGCGTCTTGGGATATCCTCCTGACATGAAGGATGCTATATAAATACAATTTGTTGTTGTTGTATATGAGTATCCAGGCCTCTAGCCCCATTCCTCGTATCCCGCTTGTATCATTAATTACTTGTCTCCTGAATTTCTTCTCAGCATCCTAAATCTGCCTCTTCTTGTTCTAATTAATATCTTGGTGAATCCAAAAAAATGTTCTTTTGGGTTTAGTTTCACAATCTCATTTAAAATCTTATGTGCTTCTGTAAGACATGTCTTTTCAAGAGTGAAGAGCTTGTCCAATCTTTCATGGCTCTTTAAACTGTGTAAGGTCAGGCAAGCCCCTTGATGTCATGGCAACCAGAACTGTACACAAAACTTTAATACGCACCATCATCGGCAGGTGAGCTTTGTGTTATTCTGACCCCGCTCTCTGGAACTCCATCTTGGCATCCATCCAACTCACTTGCCTTACCTCGACCCGCCTTAACACGTTGACTGCAATTTCAGTCATCTTTCCCCTACTCACCACTTTCTGCTCCCACCTTCAGCTTGGAGGCAGTGTCAACAGTGTCAAGTGCTTTCAGTCATCCTCCCGACATTAAATGCGGTATGATAAATGTAAATTATATTGTATTGTAATGTATTCTCTCTGGCGCTGACTTAAGAGTATTGAACTTGCATCCTCTTAACCTCTGGCTGATGGTGATTTGAGTGTGAGCAACATGTTTTGTGGTTGGGATGAGTTTTTTGTGAGGTTACTTCATGTGCAAGCAATGCCTTAACTATTTGTTGAAAGAGCTGTCCGTCTTCATTTTAACTATTTGGACAGTTCATGGAATTTGAAGACAGTCAAATGGGATAAAAGAGACCACAGGATTATAGTTTGTCTCTTCAGAAACTGTCATGGAGGCAACGAGGCCCTGGATGTTCTGGATGATCTGCAGCCTATGGACACAGCTTATGGAAACCAAAGACACAGAGTTAGAAATAGTTACAGTAGAACTCCATTATTAGAACTCCACTATAATGCGCCCCACCATTGACAGGCGGGCCTTCAGCCACCCTCTGGAACACCATTCCGCAGTCCCTCCTCCTCACCCCCTCCCTTGCCTTCTTCAAGACCCTCCTCTTCGATCGTACCTTTGATCATCCTCCTTTCCCTCCCCTCCCCCCCCCGCCCTCCTCCGTCCCCGGGTGTGAAAAATTGATTGTCCAGCACCTCGAGATGTCCTTTTGACATGAAAGGCACTATACAAATGTAATTTTGTTGTTGTTGTTTCGTTATAGTGCGGATTCACTTAAAGGGTGAGAACCCCAAATTTACATAACCAGAAAAATCCAAAATACAGGTGTCAGCTCAAGGAGTGCTTTAAATGCTGACCTGCATCTTTGGCACAAATAGTCCTGCATTTTAAAGTTAACCTTGTGAAGCACTTACATGGTGCTGAGGTGCAATATCAAAAGCAAGGATTTTTATCAGGTTGTTGCTTAGGTTGTTTCTTGCACATTGCACAGGCACAGTGAATGAGGAAGCATTGAACCGCGATGATACCTGACCCAGACTACTACCTTATAATGGGACCTTTGTGGTTTGAATTTTTCAGTCTCATTCCATTTAAATTGATTTGGTTTGTTTGCCTTATATTTAAAATGAATCAGATTTATTCTGGCTAAAGTTCCCGAATGGTCAAAATCTATCCCAACATGTGGATTACCACATCCTTTGCAGCGATGTCCAGCAGAAGGAGTGTTTTGTATATGGACAGTATGGGCTTTATGCAAGACAATGCAGAAGTAGAATTATGCCAAAGGAATACAGGAGTAAAAGATGACATTATGGAAAGATTACAGAAAGACAAGGAGGCAGCAGAGAACCAGATCAAGGCAACGTGGAATATTGGACAGCTTGGATCAGGAATCAAACAGCTCAGAGGTAGAATCCACGAGCAGTGATGCGATGGTACTCAGACCTTATTGATGCAATGGCATTCAGACAGAAAGGCAAGGCAGTACAGTACAGAAGAGGAAGAAGATGATGATGATTCCAAGAAATAATTAAGAACATAGGAATTAGGAGTAGGCCATTTGGCCCCTCGAACCTACCCTGCCATTTAATAAGATTATGGCTGATCTTCTAACTTAACTCCATCTGCCCATCTTATCCCATATCCCTTAATCCCTCTATCCTTTAGAAATCTATCAATTTCAGTCTTAGATTCTAATTACATGAAGAAAATTCCCAGAAGCAAGAAATCAGTGGCCGAGAAGAAGGTTCCAAAGCTTCAAGGGAGAAACCTGAAGCCCAAGAGGGTAGTGACACCGATGGAGAAAACAAGATCAGTGACTGGAAGAAACATGATGAGCAAGGGAAAAGAGAGCTCGAAAACAGACAGAAAGAGTAGAAGAAAGAGACCAAAAAGGAAGATTTGGGCACAAAGACAAAGCAGTCAAACAACAACAACTTACATTTGTTTAGCACCTTTCACGTCAGAAGGACATTCCTCGGCACTGAAAGGAAACAGATCAATGGAAGCCAAAAAAGTATTGAGTAAAAGATTGAAGATTTGAAAAAGGAGATTGCATAGTGAAAAAAGTTATAGAAGTGTATAAAAAGAATCTCACCCTCACAGAAGCTAAATTTCCAAGTGATGAAATTGATCTTGTTGAACTGGAGATGCAAAACTAGAATTTGAACAAAGCAATAGGAAATGGGAGAGGATGAAGTCAATGAGAGTCCTGAAGTTTTGAGTTCAGTGTATGAAGAGTGGATGAAATGAAGTGGGTCGAGTCAAGTAAAGAACTTCAGATCAAAGTTGGAAAAAATTATCAGAAGAAAAAAAATGCAGAAAAAGAGGAAGCAATGAATATAGAAGAAAGTCATATGAGATCCAGCAAAGAAGGCTCAAGGAAGTAAAAGAGCAGTAGGAAGATCAGTGCTGGCAGAAAGATCAGGAACCACCAGGTGATGAAAAATAGTGAATCTGCTCCTGCCCACTGCCAATCCAGGAACAAGCAGGCAGGTTGTTCAGTGGGGACACGGACCAAGCTATGAGGTGAGCTTCGACTCAGAAGAGGTGTGAATGAAAACAACAATCAAATTTATATCTTTGAATTTATTAAAGATCCACAGGATGGATTCAACCATATCAACTATCAACCGAAAATGAAATAGTAAAATGACCCATAAAGAGTGCATTTTATATTTGGTAAAGCGTTAACTGCTTGTAAATATTGATGGGCACCTAACTAATGAAATGTAGATCCCTAAGTGACAACCCCGTTCACAGAGAACCAAGTTATGAGCCACTTCATTGCACAAACACAACAAGGCTTTATCAGAGTAAGTGGGTTAACCTGAAGCAACAGGACCTCGATCCCATACTGTCAAGAGATGTTGCCTGCGATCAGGTTACATTAAAAGGAGTCAAGGTGCTAATTGGAGTGAAGCAGTGAGGCAGGCATTGAAACTACCTGATGCAAAAGATAAGTGTGGGCAGTGCAATTGAGGACTGCACAAGACTGCTCCTGTCAACCTCCATGATTTATTTTAATATTTTGAAGATGCTAGTGTAAGGCTCAGAAACTCAAATTGGATTCACAGTGTACAAAATAAAGGGTTTAAAAATTGACATTTTTTTGGATGTGCCTCTACAAACCACACAAAAAAATGTGAATTTCAGCACATTAAGAATTTCCCCCATACACTTGCAGCATTGCAGTGCTGCTGACTCGCACCAGCTTTGAGCACCTTGACTGCTTATATTGTAAGCTGATCACAGGTAACCGCTCTTGGCAGCATGGAATCAAGGCCCTGCCACTGTAACCTGTATACCACGCAATCAGAAAAGGTAGTAAATGTTTTAGAAAGAACTTGATGGGGGACGCGTATGGGCTGAAGATACTGCATATACAAAGTAAAAATAGGAGCTACGTGTGCTCTATTGATGAGCTTCCAAGGAAGCTGAAAGAGAGCTATGTTTGCTTTAAAAACAAAACAAATAAATGGATTAGATATTTGGATTTGCATCTCAAAATTACTGTCACAGAAAAGAAAAACACAACATGGTAATACCTGTGGCAGTGTGTTATCTCTGTGCACCAAGGCGTCCCCTACCTCAAGGCGCAGTTACAGGATGGGCTTTGACACCGCCCCCCACCCACCACCTTTATAGTGGGACATGGACGGATTTCAACATGCACAATATGCACACATTTGTGGGGCACTCTTAAGTTCGCCAACAAAATGCAGTCATTGCACTTTACAGCATATTCCTATGTGCACTACAAATCATGACGTATAACATACAATACAAAACAACCCAGACCCCATGCTGGTGGGACATCTTTCCAACATGAAGGGCGCTATATAAGTTAATTTGTTGTTTAAGAGCCTTCGCACCTCCATTAACATAAGAACATAAGAGATACTGGACGAAAAAAAGACCGAGGCCCTTCTAGTTCGCCTTCCACCTTCCTGGCGGTAGAATGCACATATGTACCGAACTAACTATGTACTGTATCCCATAATGTTATTTTCTAAAAGAAAACTAATCAGCATTTGAAGGAATCAACATTCCTTCTTCAACTGTCTCCTTACGGAGCCTGTTCCACAGGTTTACTATTCTCTCACTGAAATACTTGATTTGCTCTGAATTTACCCCCCTTCAATCGCAGGCTGTATCCTTTGGTTTTAGTATTCTGGACAAGTTGAAACAACCTGTCATGATCTATATTGTCTTGTCCCTTTAGAATTTTAAAGTCAGCAATCATATCACCTCTCAATCTTCTCTTTTCCAGCGTGAACATGCCCAATTTACTTAGTTGCTCTCCATAGTCCAGACTCTCCATTCCCTCAAAAATTCTGGTTGCCCTCCTCTGTACCCTCTTGATTTCTCCAAAATCCTTTTTGTACTGTGGCGACCAGAACTGCACACAGTACTCTAAGTATAGTCTCCCTAATGATTTATACAGTAGCAGGATGAGTTGGGGGTACCTACGTGTTCCCACCAAGGGGTTCTGCTGCCTTTATATCTGTTGCTCTCCCCTTTATGGCGAGACAGACATACAATGTTGGGAAAGAGAGCTGTTCGTTGACTCATGTGTCGGTCACTATGTGAAGATTGTATGAGGCAGCAGTAAACAAGGCAAACAGGATGCTGGGCTATATTGCCAAATTAATTGAGTTTAGATCTCCAGGTGTCATGTTCAAGTCAGTGCTCCATCAGGCTTCACCTAGAGTACTGCATACAGTTCTGCTCACTGACATAAAGGAGGCGTCAGATCATTGCAGGCAGTGGAGAGCAATGAGGCTGATCCCTAGGGATGGAGGAATGAACTATGAGCAAGAATTAGACTCCTGGGCGTCTTCAAAAGTAATGACTAGGAGGGGACCTTCTGGATGTATATTAGATTTCTAACAGTATTGAGAAAATACACTGAACACTATCCTTTATGATACCCGAGGCAATAATAATAATAATCCTGGCATTTGATATAGCTTCTTATCACGTCTTCGAGGCGTCTCAAAGTGCTTTAGCAAGTCTCAAGGCAACAGAACAAAGGAGCACAGATTCAGGAGTAAAGTGACAATTTCAGGAAAGGCACCAAGCAGTATTTATTTAATTAACAACTGGAACAAGTTACTAGGAGTGATGTTAAGGGACGAATCCTGGACTCATTTAAGACACAACTTGATACTGTGATGCAAAACCAGGATTAATAACTGAAGAAATTAAACCGACTTTAGTGTCTGTATCAATGTGGGATTTTCTCGACACGCTGCAGCTGCTGAATGGATTACCAAAGATTTGAGAGCTCTGTCTGCTACTCAGTTGATCTCTCCCCACCTAACCTCCCCCCCCCCCCCCCCCCCCGGCACAATAGTGCTGCATACGAGTCTCAGCCAAAATGATATGAGTTCCACGTTCCGATAAGGGGCTTGAACCCATAACCTTTTGACTACAGAGATACTGCTGTCAACTGGGCCAGGCTATGCACTGCTGATCGTGGCACCTGATTTTCATGCGACTCGGAGAAGAAAATGTTATAGGGGAGTTGGGTGTTGACTTCTAGATAATATCCGTTATCCACTTAAAGAGTAGTGTAGTTTGAGCTGCACTGTTTAATGACTAATTTGACTCTATTGGGTGATTGTAATGCCTTTGCTTCAGCAGGCCTGGGCTTCACTTCAAAGGGGGATGTTGTTCCTCCTCTCCTCTCTGAGTGGGAGCAGGGAGGAGGGAGAGATTGAGCGAGCAGAGAGTGCAGATTTCACAACTAAAAGAATGAATGGATCTCTGGGAGCCTTCGACAGATGTAACTTTGCATGGCAAGCAACGCAGGCTGTGAAACGCTAGTCTTTTAGATTTGGTGTCATGAAGGAGTGTAACTTAGTCTGCAAGTTATTTTAAACCCTGTTGTGTAAGAGCATTGTCAAAAGGACCAGATGGGCGGTGGAGCAGAGCAAGGAAGAAAATCTGAGATCCTTGTTTGATAAGCTGACGCCTTCTCCGGACATGAACTGAAACACCGCTTGTCTGTTCATATACTTTTCTTAACATTCATTTCAAATAATTTTTTTAAAGGAAAGCCAACTTTTTGAGATTGGGCTGAAATTTCGCTTGAGTAATCCAATAAATTATGCATGGCTAGTGAGGTAAGATTACACATCAGTCTCGGGTATTAGACTATTGGAAAAGAGCACTGTTTATATAGATCATTCCTCAGGCAAACAGCTTGCCTATCTGCTTTTCTTTGTTATACCAGAATCACTGAATCATAAAAATTACAGCATAAACAACAACCATATTTGTATTTGTATAGTGCCCTTCACGTTGGATAACATCTCGGAGTGCTGTACAGAGTTGGACGAAGTGGAAAGGGAAGTACATTCAGGGTACATTGGAAAGAATACGAGAATAGAATTGTCCCAGGTCCTGCGAATGATGTCAACCCTCTGTGTTATTGCAAAGTAATAGTGTGCCAGGAATTAGTGTTTTTGTGTGAAGTTGAACAATGCACAATATCTGTTATCCTATGATCTCAGGAATTAACGGAGAACGGATGTGAGTCACGTAAAATTACGGATTGCGCTCACACCCTGGCTTTTCATGCAACATTTTGCCTGGCTTGAGTGAAGCGTCCTTTGTAAATGAGCTTAATTTATACAACCATATACGAAAGTTACTTCTGCTCTAACCACTGAGCTACAGGATGATGACTCAGCCTGCAGAGTTGTGGATAGGTTGACGCTGGAGAGGCAAGTGAGCAGGATATTACAGAAGTCTAGTCCGGAGATAGATGGTTGGGGTTTTTTCTGTGTTGGTGTGAGGTCATGGTGGTAGGTGATGTGGAGATTGAGTTAGTCAGAGCAGCAGCTGGTGGGATTGGAGATGGGTGGGGTTGCATGAAAGGGGGAGCTGGTGCGCTTTATACAACACAATTTACATTCATGTGAGAGATCGGGTAGATGGGGTCAAAGATGTGAAAAGTGAGATTTGAGGTGGCTTAGGTGATGATCCAACAACTGCTCGTTCCTCATTCTCTGCTTCCCACTAGCAGTCTGAGCCTTCAGCAATTTTCCTGAAATGAACTTGTCTTGTGTCTTCCTTCTCTACCTTCAACACCGTCTGGTACAATCTCCACCTTGTAGACAGAGGCTTTGGTCAGCAGCTTCAAACTTCCTGTCCCCTCATTGCCTCTCTGATGCTGCTGTTTTCTCTTTGTGAATTGTTCCAGCTGTGAGGCACTTTCCAGGTGCAAACTGTTGATAAGCCAAATTCGTAACATTGCTCTGCATATCTGGCAGCCTGACCAAGGCTTGCATCAAAACTTAAAGGGATGAACAAATTCTTTACTGGGCTACTGTTTATTTCTTCCCCTCCCCTCCCCCCCCACACACAAAAAAACAACTGCTGAGGATCTAGTCTGATGTTATGGAAATCACACGCAGCGAGGGCAGCTTGAGAGTTGCGATTGAATTGATGGATTTGGTCATTCATATTGCCATAGCAACGTGATTGCAGCTGCTCGTGGCCCGAATTGTGATGGTCTGGAGCAGCTATTGAGATGGTTGCAGATATAAACACATTAACGGAGAGTCACAGCTCTGAATGCGCGCTTTCAAATCTCGACAGGGGGACCGAGCACCATGCCTCGGCGCCGGTTACAAATGAGCTGTGAGGTGACCTTGCACCCTGCTGTCCCAATAAGGATCTATTTGCAAACAAAGGCAGCAGAGACTCTGTTGTCTGCAGGCAACAATTTCTTAAAAAGAGCAGGATGTAGCTGTAGTACTTTCCCAAGACAAAATTGGCCTGTGCTACATGTTTGTTGTGCTCGTATCCTAGTCCTCTAAATACGTTAATGCTCTATCAAATAAGTGTGCAGCACAGTGAAGCCTCATTTAGTAGTTGTATAAACAGGTCTGATCAATTGCTCTGTATATCTGGCAGCCTGGCCAATGTAGCAAATTTTGGAAAATGTAGCACATTTTTCAAGAGGAATTGTTTGTGTTTGGAGGGGATGCAAGCTGTGTAAGTTTTAGTTGTGGAGAGGCGAAAATATTTATGTGGAATATTTGGTGCATTTCACACATTTTGGACCGATCCACAGAATATTATGAGGAAATCAACCAAAGCCTCTGTGTCAGTCTGCCTCATTCTCGCCTCCAAGGCAGAATATTGTGGATTCAAGTCCCGTGTTGGGACTTTGAATTCACAGTCTTGGCTGACATTGCAGTGCTTGGCTAGCGTTGTATTCTCAAAGGTGTTGCCCTTCAGATGAGACGTTAAACTGTGGCCCTGTCCCCCTGTCCAGGTGAATATTAAAAGATCCTATGGTACTGTTTGAAAAAAGGCAATTTTTCCCAGTGTCAACAATCTCTATGAAAATACGGATATTTGTGCGACATTTCTGTGTACAAATTGGCTGCCATGTTCGCCTACAAAATATACAATGAAAAAACTTTACAGAATATCCTGTGAGGCGCTTTGAAACATCCTTCTAATGTGAATGGCGAAATAACTAGTGCAAGATTTTATATTAATTTAACATGTGCTTTGGGACAAGATAAGGTGCTATATATCATATTATAAGTTGTAGACTTTTGGTTTTTATTTGTTAATAACTATAATAATCTTTACATTTGGCATAGCGCTTTATTGTGTAAGTCTCAAAGCGCTTCACAGGATTTACTGTGAAATAATTGACACTATATTTGTAGACAAAGCAGTATCCCACAAACACCCATGAAATGAATGACCAATATTATTTGGGGATTATTGAAACTCCCTTTTTTTTATTGAATAGTACCATGAGATCTTTAACATACACCCAAACAGGTAGATAGACGCCTTGGTTTAACGTCTCATCCAAAGGACAGCACCTCTGACAACAATAATAATAATAATCCTTGCATTTGATATAGCGCTTTTCATGTCGGGAGGACGTCCCAAAGCGCTTCACAGAATATACTGTAAAGTGAATTCACTGTATATTTGTGGGCGAACGCTGCAGCCAATTGCGCACAGCAATGTCCCACAAACAGTCGTAGATTGAAAATCACCAATTTATTATTGTTTTTGTTTTTGGAGGGATTATTATTAGGCGTGTGGCGTAAGGAAAGTTGCCCAAGGTTTCGCCCTGCCTGGAATTGAACTCGGGTGTCTCACTTGCAAAGCGAGTGCTTAACTACTGAGCTACAGGATAACAGAGCAACATTCTATGTTGAACTAAATGTTCTCTTCCCCAGCTTAAAATATTGAGTGTGGAACAAATCAGACCTGGCCTGGATGGTCTATAAGGGCAAATAACTGGACTTGAACATCCCTCGTTGAGGCAGAGAATTTAGCACAAGGTTATATTGTTTGTTGTAATAAGAGTAAGTCCACCTCACCGGAAACGCATTGTCTGGGGAACTGAGTTGGTATAAATTGCAAATTAGCACTTTGACCAACTATAATAATGTACGTTGCTTGTGCTCTGATGCAATATGTACAAGAAATCAAAATATCTAGAAATTTTCAATAAATCCTAATATGTGACCCTTACGTGCACAACACTTCCTGCATTGGATACTGTGGGTTGCTATAAAAATAGCTGTTTTTCTGTGATGTGTGTTGTGTGTCGCTTTTATCATCCCTATGGCCAGACAATATGTTTGTGATTAAAATGGTTTAGTATGATTAATGATGGATGGTTTCCTTCTGCGAGAGAGAGGGAGAGAAATGCGTGCTGCTGGAAAATAACTGATGAGTTCTGATGGTAAGATAGCATCAACTAATCTCCGCATTGTTGTGTTCCTGTGGAAGGATAGCTAGGCTTTGCCTTAATTGATTTTAAAAGAGGTTTTCACTAATTCAGCAAAATCACTGAGCCATAACAATGAAATGCCCAGCAGCCTGTGTCTACGTTCTGAGCTAGCTTGAGTCAAATTTTCCCTCCTCCGAAGCCAAAATGAAAATTGCTGGCATTTGGGTTAGTATGTATGTACAAGTGTGTGTGTAGTGGGTATGTGTATATGACTATCATATGTTTAGATAAAAAAATGTACACACAGACTTTAAAAGTACTTGATAAAAGAATTGAGAATAATAGAAAAATGGAAATTTTTATCTATAATTTGCTTTGCAAAACAATACCTTTTCTTCACAAAAATAATCGGGTCCGGTGTCTTCTCTCTCTCTCAATGTTGTTTTGCTTCAGACTTGCTGTTCTCCCTCTCAAGGGCCTCTTGAGATGAACCGTTTTGGCCGTCTCCCCTCACCAGCAAAACCTCTTTGATCTAAGTGTTTCGGAGAAAGCGTTGATTCAATTTGTGAAACAACATGGCCTTTGTCTTTATGATAGTGACATAGAACATCTTCACCTAAAGTCATTCACACTTGAACGCAAAAAGTAACACCCTCCTGGATGCACAACACTGTACTTTGTTATTGCTGGAAGGGTTATTGTTTTACATACATGGCTTTTCAATTATAAAAAAACCTAATTGATCATTTATTATTCTTATTATTACAGTAACCTCCCCTTTCCCTCCTCCTGCTTCCATGGACGTCCAACCATGTCCCTTTGAAGTACTCTGAGATGTTATCCTACATTATTTATATTTCATTTATAAAGGCAGTGAAAAGTAGTATTGCTGGACAATAATCATACACCAACATGTACTAAACATGCCAATTGACCTCAGATATGTTGAGAATAAGGTTGAGAATTAGCGGCATGTGTGTTAAGATGCTTTTTTCCTTTTTCTTGCAGAAGAACCAGCTTAGGGCATTATTTTTTAGGGCATGAGAGAACCAAGCGGACTAAGTAAGAGGGAAAGTGAAACTGGAGTCTTAGTGAGTAGCAACTCTGTGCAAAGAGAGCCGCAGTTGAACTTGAACAACTGCAGTCAGAGCTACATGCTCCTTCTTGGTGACATTATCCGCAGATATGGGGTGAACTTCCACATATATGCGGGTGACACCTAACTCTACCTCTCTGCCTCCACCCTCAACTCCAGGACCACTGCTGTCCTGACAGAAAGTCTGTCAGATATCAAGTCCTGGATGAGAGCTAACTTTCTACAGTTGAACGTCAACAAAACCGAGGCTCTCCTGATTGCCTCCCATCAGTATCTCCGCACCTCAGGTACTGACAGAATCACCATCCAAGAATGGACACCCCACCTTATTAAGCCAGTCCGGAACCTTGGCATCATGTTTGACCCTCAACTGTCCTTTCTGCCCCACATCCATGCCATGACTCGCTCTACCTTCTCCCATCTTTGCAACATCGCCTGGCTCCGCCACTGCCTCACTGCTCAGGCTACCAAAACCCTCATCCACGCATTCATCGCATCTAGGCTTGACTACGCCAACTCCCTTCCTGTTGATTTTCCCAACTCTTCCTTCCACAAGTTGGGGATCATCCATAACTCTACAGCTTGTGTCCTCTCCCGCACCAGGCACCATGACCCCATCACTCCCACCCTTGCCCAGCTCCACAGACTCCCCATTCCCCAGAGGACAGATTCAAAATCCTTGTCTTCGCCTTCAAAGCCCTCCATGGCCTTGCTCCTCCCTACCTCTACGACCTGCCGACCCTATATCAACCTATCCGCTCCCTCCACTCAGCAGGCCGGCCCGCCCCACCATTGGCGGTCAGGGCTTCAGCCTTTCTTCTCCCACATTCCCTTCACCTCTCTCCCTCCGCTGTCTCCTTCAAGGATGTTCTCGAAACCCTCCTCTTTGACCGAGCCTTCGGCCACCCTCATAACCTCCGTGCCATCTCCGATCCTGACCCTCAGTTCAGGTCCAACTCTCTGACTGTCTCGTACCTTGGGACATCCCTGAATGAAAGGCGCTATACAAATATAATTTTGTTTTGTACAAGTATCTGTTCACTTTGTTTCTTCAATAAATGTAGCAGAAAGTGGTCCAACACTAATGAAATGCCATTTTTGGGTCTACTGTGATGATTTTCATGGATTTTGATACTTTTTNCTTTTGTCTTGCAGAAAAGAGTTCGACACAGCTTCAGTTATTGTCATCTATCAGCCCAGGACTAAGTGAGACAGCTTCTGTAGCCTTAAGAGAACATGAAAGTAGAACCTTAGTGAGTAGCACGTCTGTTCAAACGGAGTTGCATTTGGAAGAAACACTTTCACAAACAGCCACTGGACAATTGAAAGATTTCAGTTTGTTAACGGAGGTTGTGCCATCAGGTCACACATCACCTTCAGGTAGTAATATGCAACTGGCGGCCATCGTTTTGTTGGAACCACTACAATCTTTACAATCCACTGGAACGGAGAGGCAGAAACAACTCACATTGACTGCACATGGATTGACTGCATCGATAATTCCATTATTGTCAGAGTCTGCGCTGAATGGAACCAGTACGCAGCCATCAGCTCAACACAGCTCAGGTTTGCTGCACAATTCCTTTCTGGTTCCTCCAGCATCCTTGACAACTGTCAGTGAGCAGAACTTTCTTGCATCAAGCAAACAACCCCTTGGACCATTGCTTCCTTTACTTTCAACTGATTCCAGTCACCATGTCTCACTGCAAACTACTGCCAGCGCAATACGAACCTCTGGCACACAAGTGACACAGAAGTTTGTTAAACGTTCTTTGCTGAGTGATGGCCAGAGTGTTTTAACTGACCAAGTGAGTGTGAAGAGCATCTCTCCAGATTATACTGAGACTTTTAGTGGGTCAGATGCGATGTTTGCAATAGCAGAAGACATTCCGTTTCTGGATCATGGCAGGGATTATGAAGCCACAACAAGATTGCTAGAGTTTGTTGAAACTTCGAGCCTCGCTATTCCAGGTGTAGTATTGCAAATGAGCTCAACATCCAAGTTACCTAGAATAAGAATGCCATCGACCAGTATTACTTTATCTCCAGCACTTTCTTCGCCTAACTCTGCTGCTTCAGTGACTGGTGCTATAAATCCTTCAGTGAAACTGAGCCGTGAGGAGGAACAGACTAAGTTCAATGAGCAGCTGTCTTCTCCTGACCTCCTTACCCTCTCTACAACTGAAACTGTGCTCTACCCATCAGCCCCTATTCCCACAGAGTTGTCTGGAGATGATTTTGGATCTGGTGATTACCTGGGGACCAAGACCATTTCCGCATTGGAGACGGACCAGTTTGCTTTAGCATCCAGTTTGGTTGTTGATTTATTTGACCCCGAACTCTCGGTTTCTGAAGTTTATGACTCAGATTTTCCTACGAGGTATGTTGCTTCAGTCTCTACACCATTCATATCTTTGCCTATGCCATCTGTGACTACCTCACATAGCTATAGCAGGAGTAGTGAGGATTTTATACACCCATCTGCAAACGAGTTGCCGGATTTATCATCCGTGAGTTATTCAATGGCGAGTCCTTCGCTGCATGACCGTAAAATTCTGGGTTCTACGCCTGCAATTACAAGGGATTTGGAATTTGTTGCATCAAGTGTGTTTCTGCAACCAACGATTCAAGATCAAATGGTGCATGTGACAGCAACTACAGCAATTCCTGGCTTACTGCCAGCAGAATCAATCAGTGTGCCTCCAAGTGAACTTGTTACCTTCTCGCCTATAAGTTCAGTCTCATCATTTAGTGTCTTGATATCACAAACGGTTTATCCTTTTGCACCACAGCAGTTTAGTATCCTATCTGCACAAAACACAACCTCTTTTGGACCGAATTCTGAAACTTTATCTGTGGCTGATACTGTCACTTTCAGAGAATCAGAAGATGACATTTTAACAAGCCTCAAATCGACCATGCTTGTTGAACTGGAAGGCAAAACTTTAGGAGTAACTGATATGTTTACAGATTACTCAACACTGACTGCAGAAGTTGTTCCTGAGAGTTCCAGTAGCTTCGGAGGTATCTCTTCCTCTGAGGCAGTGCCTTCTTCTGAAACTATAAAACCAACAGTGGTGCTAATTTCCGAACCCAGTGTTGTGGACAGCAGCAGTGCAATGAATGAAGGCAAAGCTACAACTTTGCCATTTGCTTTGCCAGGTTTAACCACATTTGGTACCACTTCTATACCCTTCACCGTTAACCTGACCACAGATATTACATTCACATCATCATCACGTCTCCCTATCATTTCTTCTTCTCTTTCCCCCATGTCAACTCTGCATTTATCCATTTCCTCATCACTGACTGATTCCGTTTCAAGAGCCGCTTCCTTTCTGCCGAGCCCAACTTCCTCATCTGTCATGTTCTCTGCTGTTCCCACCAACACCATCACAACCCCACTTGTTGATCATGCTACAACAGCTCTCACTGTTACAAACTCTGCCACGTCCAGTACCATGGCTTCAAAAACTGTTGCTGCCCCCACCACCACTACCACAAGAACAACTGTGGCTCCAACAACCGTACAGACGTTTCTGTGTGATGTTAGTGACCCTAATTCATACTTGGTAACAGTAGGTAAGCTATTTTACTTACAGTTTTTGGGTTTGACTCTTAATAATCCTTTAATTTAACACACCATCATGTTGTCTTGACATCTCAAAGCACTTCACAAGATTCACTATGACTGTTTTGTAGGCGAATGCGGCAGCGAGTTTGTGCGCAACAAAGTGAATGACTGATTTTATCTGGAGGATTATTGGCTAAGTTGAGCCCGGCTCTTCTCCCCATGCCAACTCTGCATTTTTTAATGCATCTGGTCATTTCCTCTGATATCGCACCTATGGTGTCAACTTCTCAGTGCTTGACAGTGCTTTAGAACTGTAGTGAATCTTTATTTGTAGGCAAATACTAGCTGCCAATTGCACGCAGAAAATACCGACAAACAGCCATAAAATGAAAGACCAAGGAGGAACTCCCTTTTTTCTAAGAGTATCAAGGGATCTTAAATGTCCATCTGTTGAGAGCTTGGTTTAATGCGTCATCAGAAGGATAACATGTCTGACAATGCAACACTCCTCAAGTGCTGCTTTGGAGTGTCATCCCAAGCTGTGAGTTCCTAGTCCTGAAGTAGGGCTTGAAATGACAACCTTCTGATCCTGCTGAGTTAGACTGACACCTGTATATTTATTGGGTTTAAATCTGGGAAGAAATGTGCACAAAATAAAAAGGATCAACTCCAAAATGATACTGCAGTGTATTCAGATTTGCATGGTTAGAGCGATCTTTCTAGGCAAATTCAATTTTATTCCAAATATACTGAGTATATTCGTGTCCCTGTGAAGGCTTTTATTTTTATCTGTATCCTTGCTGAAACTTTTGCAGAAAGACTAATGAAAAATTCTCTTCTCGTTTCGAAGAGTGTCAAGGGATCTTAAATGTCCACCTGGCGGGGCTTCAGTTTATTGTCGGGCAAAGGTCCTGTTAAAGTTTTTGTCTAACAATTTCATGAAAACAGTCTCATAAAGATCATCATTATTTGCTGTAACTTTGAAATATGATTCTGTGCATGCTCAGCAAACTGTATAACTAGAATTATTTCAATCAGAAGTCCTTTGAGAGACTGAGGTTAGATAAGTGATCAAACCTCACCTCTCACCTCAATTCTTTGTGCTCTGTTACAACCTTCTGTTTCTATTTATGGATGCTGTTATGATCACTGCTGTTGTGGGTTTACATATTCTTTCCAAGTGCCAATGTTGTAAGTCTAAATCCATGATCTCCAGATTGACTGTCCTATCTGCAGGCTGCAAATAACATGTTGTTTCTTATGTATAGTACTCTCCAATAAGACAGCAGAGCTCAAGAACGTGGTCGCATTCATTAAAAAAGTCTTGAGTCATCAGTTCCAGCACTCGGTAGAACTGCAGGTATAACCAGAACTGGAAATCTAACTGGAGCTGGGTGTGTGAGGGGGAGGGGAGAGAAATGATTTTTTGAGATTGGCTAAAGTTGTGGTTTTTAGTGGGAAGGAAGGTTTGTCCAGCATTTTGATGTAAACAGTAATTTGAAAGCCAAGCACACTTAGCCATATCTGTGCAGTACTCACGCAAAAAAAGATTGGTGTCAATCTGGTTCTTCTCTTTCTGTCTTTCTTTCTCTCTTTCTCTTGATCTCTCTGTTATTCATTATCTGCATATCTGTTTTATCTTTATCTGTCTGGCTCACTTGGTTTCAGTCTCACTTCTTTCCTGACTATCATCGAGGCTGAGAAGTGTCTGGAGCTGGTGGTATGCAAGACCATGGTGCTTTGGGGCTCCGTGCTGCCATTTTATTGTTGTTGTGCACTTTTCATTATATTCTTTCACTCAGCTACATTCTTACTTGTTCCCTCCTGGCAGTTGTGCAGGGCTGCTCTTTCTGTGCCTTTTAGTGTGTATTCTTATCTGCAAGATCTACTTAGATAGTGAAGGAAGATGTTTGTGCTTACCTAGTCAAGTCGTATAAGCTGCGATGTGCTGTGATTTTAAGTGGTTGTAGTCAGTACTAACAAACCTGTTATATTAATTTTGATGTGCTGCTTTATTAAGTGTAGCCATTGACTCTGACACCAATCTTAACCGTGTTTATCTAATCTGCCTAATTTCAGGTTCAGAAAGCTGGTCAAGAGCTGACATTCATGGTGACATCAGGCTCCATTGTCTTTTCTGCACCGGCTGTACTCCAGTCTCTGGCTATCACTGCCCCCGTCCGTGACAAGACTCCACTCATTCTATCTCTGAGACCAGCTTCACTCGTACCAGATCACAGGGCCCAGGTTCACGTTGGTAAGGATTGTGCATTGTGGTGTGTGCGAGCGCAGGGTCACTGCAGGATGGAGTATTTGTATGTGTGTGCCAGGGCGACTGCAGTGTGGTGTGTGTGTGTGTATGTGCCAGGGTAACTGCAGTCTATGTGTGCTAGGGCAATTGCAATGTTTTGTATGTGTTCCAGGGTAACTGTATTGTGTATATGTATATGTGTGCCAAGGTAACTGTATTGTGGTGTGTGTGTGTGTGTGCTAAGATAACTGCAGCGTGGTGTGTGTGCCAGTGTGACTGCAGTGTGGTGTATGTGTGTATGTGTGCCAAGGTAACTGCAGTGTGGTGTGTGTGTGTGCTAAGGTAACTGCAGCGTGGTGTGTGTGCCGGGGTGACTGCAGTGTGGTGTATCTGTGTGTGTCCAGGTAACTGCAGTGTGTTGTGTGTGTGTGTCAGGATAACTGTAGTGGTGTGCAATGTAGTGTATGTGTGTGCCAGGGTGACTGCAGTGTGGTGTATGTGTGTGTGCCAGGGTGACTGATGTGTGTATGTGCCAGGGTGACTGCAGTGTGGTGTGTGTGAGTGCCAGGATAACGTAACGAGAATGTGTGTGTAATCATTTTTTAGTTGTCCATACTAACCATATTGGGTAGTATGGTTCTTCAAACCTCTTTTGATGCCAATCTCCCTTTTATATATACGCATCAATTCTGCTTTAATAAGTTGGAAAATCTACAGAAATTATTAGTCAATGTCACTTGCATCCTTGTAATATGTTAAATATTTACTTAGCCCTGAGTGTGTTATCCAGCCAACTTGGTGATTGTTTTGTTTCTATTTATCATTCACGTTTGGCCATGGTTTAAACCTTGGATATTGTCAGCTGAGCCCATTCATCACTTGCCTCAGATAATAATAATAATTCTTGCATTTGATACAGTGCCTTATCACGTGGTTGAGATGTCTCAAAGCACTTCACAGAATATACTGCAAAGTGAATTTTGTATATTTTGTATATTTTGCGGGTGAAACACGGAAGCCAATTTGCACGCAGAAGATGTGCCCAATCTCCTCTCTTCCTCTCTCCAGTACTGCAGTTTGTCCCTCGTTACGTCGACGTGAGATTTTGTAACTTTACGCAGAGGATTGAGAGAGGCATGAAAATGGCTATTGCAGAAGTGCTTCGAAGAAGGGAAGAGCTGGGAAACATCACTGTTCAGGTAGGACTGGGTTGGGCTTGACACTTCACCCACTCACAGTGCAACAAATAAAATCAATTCTCAGAATATCTTTAGTTGGCCAATAAAATAAATAACATAACAATAAATAAAATAATATCAAATAATAAAATTATAATAAAAGAAATAAAACAAAATCAATATAAAAATAAAATATTAATAATAAACAAAATAACTTGCTTGTGGGTTCAAGCCAATGTCGGGTCTTGAAATAACATAGTCTAACCCAATGGTGGCCAAGCTTTATGATCGGCCAACAAAGTACAATTTCCTGATTGAATATTTCTTGGTTTATCGCATTTTGAAGAAATATTCAAGCAAGAAAAAACTGAAAACGCACTACCAATCGAACACGGACTTGCTAGACTGGTGCCAATGTTCAGGAGGTCGTTTCTTGACTCCTTGTGGTCCGCAGGTCAGAAGCCGCTGTCTAAGTCAGAGTGATCCATCAGGCGGCTCAGGGCCGCATCTGACCTGGCGGATGATTTCATCCGGCCCAAGACAACTTCCAACTTCTGGTCCATCGCTCCTTCCCCCAGCGAAGAGTGTGAGAGAGAGAGGAGAAGTGATGGCAGTGCTTTGTGGTTCACTCTCTGGACAAACATTCAGAGACTCCCTTGGCTGTCACAGCAGGACCGAGAACAGACACTGAGTGAGAGCCGTGCAGTTTTGTCACAGAAAGCTCCCTCTTTCCCCAGTGGAAAAACTCATCTACATCCTTCATCCCCCACCCCACCATCCCCCCTCGCCAAACACCTCCCATCCCCACCCTACTTCTACAACCTCCCGATCAGACATTCCCCTTGCCCAGCAAACACCAGCTTGCTTCATGTCCTTCCAACCCATCTGCCTCACCAGTGCCATTTTGCCCCCACTCCCTGGAGCTCCAATCCTGGAGTCCCTCCATCTCCTATCCTTGCCCTCTTTCAAGGTACATCAACACCTAATTGTTTTTCGGTTATCTTTTTCCCTCCTCATCCCACCTTCCTGTTTAGATGGAGGTTAAAGATCCCATGGCATTATTCAAAGAGAGAAGGGAGCTTGTTGCGCGGTCCAATAGAACATCAAATAGAATTATTTAAATTCGCTGTGAATTTTGACTTCCCTGAGGAATATCACAGATATGAGTCACACCACTCAAAACATTCCAGATTTCTCTCTTCTCCTCCCCACCTGACCTGAGCTCCCCTCACAATGAAATATAGGAACTCATTGTGCTGCAAGTATGACATAACCAATAGCATTGTGTCCAGTAACATAGAAGGATGAATTATCAGCAGGGGATGAGCTTTTGACACTTCATGGCTCTTTGTTGGATATTGCTGTGTGCAACTGGATGCTGACCTCAAAATATACAGTCAAACCACTTTACAGTACATCCTGTGAAGTGCTTTGACTACGTGTTAAAGCCCTATATCAAATGCAAGGATTAGTATAATCATTATGGCATCAAGATGCTCACTTTACAGTCAGACAAATAGGCTGACTGTAAAGTGAGCATCTTGAATGGTGATTTGTATGTAATTTAGGTAACATTATCCTGCTAAGAATTCCTCTGCCATTTTTCAAAGAAACTAGCCCTATTTTTAATGTCCAGCAATTTGAATGTGACATGATTTATTGCACTTCTGTTATCTTCAGATGTGTGGGTCAGCTGCTGCCAGTGATTAGAGTAGATAGCCGTGCTCTCTGTCTGTAAGCTTTCGAGCATGAAGAGGAATTACTCACTCAAATGCTTTAAAACTGGATTTCCAGGTGAGCGAGAGATTTCATAGATGGACAAGTTGCTGACTTGCAGAGCAACGTTATCTTGTAGCCAATCACCCACAATGTAGGGAAAGCGTTGTAGCTTGTTCCCATCTTACCCTGGGGTGTTGCATGAAGGCCACCTGGAGGTAATGTCAATATTCTTGAATCTGTTCTTGTTTATCAGAGAGTCTATGTGTAGTCTTTTCCCCCCCCAGGACAGCTTTGTTATAGAACAGGGCTTGGTGAGCCAAGTAGAGTTAATCACTCAATCTTCATTTTATGACTCACAAGGATGGCGTTAACTATTTAAATTCATTGTGAATTTTGACTTCCCTGAGGAATAGCACAGATATGAGTCACACCACTCAAAACCTTCCAAATTTCTCTCTTCTCTTCTTCCCCATCTGACCTGAGCTCCCCTCACAATGAAATATAGGAACTCATTGTGATACAAGTATAACATAACCAATAGCATTGTATCCAGGAACATAGGAGGATGAATTATCAGCAGAGGATGAGTTTTTGAGTTGAAAATAAGAATAAGAATAATACTTGCATTTGACAACGTTCCTTACCAGATCATTGAGGCTTCTCAAAGAGTTTCACAAGATTTATTGTGAAGTGGTGTGACTGAATTTGAATCCAAGCAAATGGTGGATAGACTTGAAGAGGACGACTTTCTTCAGCTGATGAAAGACAGTATTGCTAAACATCTTGGTTCCAGCAGATGGAATATCAAGATACTTCGCTTACTTGATTGCCCGCACGTAGAACTTCTGATGTACCTCTAGAATTTGAAGTTAAAGGAACTTCAAAAGCTGTCCTTCAGATGACTAGTTAAACTTGGCTCTCTACCAATACTTTGGATGGAAGTTTAAGGTCCATGGAAGTGTTTATGAAGAGAAGTGAGTTTCCTCCACTGTCATGGCTAACAGTTTTCCAGATAAATTCACCATTCACTTCTGGGTCCTTGATGTGCACAAATTGGTGGCTTCGATGAATACAGTTACTGCACCTGACAATGACTTGTGAAGTAGTTTGAAATGTTTGGAACTGTTGACACTATTTTAAACACAAGAATTATTCTGAGATAATGAAAAACCAAGCTGCGAAATCTACATGCCTGGGATATTTCCTTTTATAATCACAGTAGCAAACCAGGAAGAGCTACCCATCCTTTCTCTTCCCCCCTCCGATCCAAGTCTGCAATGATCTGTATTTGAGAATGGTTGTTGTTTGGATATAAAAATTGTGTCCATGGCTGATGGAGCACATTTTACCTAAACTTGTCTCCATTTGCTGCTCAAGTTCAATGAATGGAGAAGTCGGAGTTTGATTTTGTACGTGACAAATTATTTCGGAAAACCAAACGTCTAACTAAAGGAAATAGCAATCAAGCTTTTATCACATAACAGAGTCTGTCTTTTGCACTCTCTGATGATGAGAACAATTGTGCATAAGATTCTGAGGGTTCAAATATAAACAATGTAAAAGCAGGTCTGTGTTATTCCAGCATTTTGACCGTATATATCAAAGAACAGGGGATTGATGCATCAAAGTACATTCGACACAAGATCATAAGAAATTTAGATGAAGGTGCTTAAAAACATCGGATCTTATCCTTCCATAATATCAACCCAACAGCATTGGACTTGATGGTAAATTAATCTAGTCTCCAGGACTCCACAATCCTTCCTGCTAGCCCATTACCTTCTGGAACCAGAAAGGTAGAGTTGGATTTATTTCAGGTAAATGTGGAAGTGAACTCCTTGCAAGTGAACTCTGTGCCTGCAAGATACATGGGGGGAGGTGGGGGGGGAAAGGCATGAAGACAAAAAGGAGAGGACCAAGAATAGAGCCTTGAGGAACACCACAAATGACCATATAAGGGCCGTGAGCAGAGACATGGTGAAGACAGGTAGGAATAGAACCAGAAAAGTACAGAGCCACAGAAGTGTATTATGCAGAGACAGAGGATGGGCGCTGCGGAGAGATGTAAAAAGATAAGGAAGCAGAGCGTGTCATGGTTGCAGACAGAGGATGCCATTTGCGACTTTGGCCAGGGCTGTGTTAATGCAGAGTAGGACAGAAGACAGATTGGCAAAGGAAGGAAACAATGTGTTCTGGGACTTGATAGAGGAACTATGGCTTGGAGCATTCTCCCAGCAGAGAGCCCTGAATGATCTGTTGATTTCTCATTTCAGCTGAACTCCCTTTAGCTTTAGCAGTTACTGATCCATATCCGTATGTTACCCTCGATACCCTGTGTCATCAGTTTGTAAAGGAATCTGTCAGGTGATACATTGTCAAAATGTCTTTGAAATTCAGGTGTGCTGTGTTATATTGCTTTCAATTATATTGGGATGTCACCTTCTGATAGTAGTCTGAGGTTGGTCAGATGAAATAAATCTTCTGAAGGCATGGCTTTCATTGATTAGGTTACTTTAACAATTAATTTTCCAGTTCTTCAAATTGACTCAATACCTTTGGAGGTTAGGGTATTGGGTCTGTATTTTGGTACTTTCTTGAATATGGGAACTTGCTTGTTCCACTCTTGTTCATGGAATCCTAGAAATTTAAAGCACACAGGAGGTGATTTGGCCCATCCATTCTGTATGGCTCTCAGAGCAAGGTGTTCATTCAGTCTCAATGCAATGTTTTATCCCCATAACCCTTCAAGCCTCTATCCCTTTTTTTCTCCCCTTTTTAATCTTGAAACTCACAATGGCATGACTACCTTAATTGGAAGGGCATTCCACATCAAATTATCCCTCTGAATGAAAAATCTTACTAGTGTGGATTGACTTCTCAAGATCTCCATCAATGCTTCACAAATCTCTTTTCTCTATTATTTCCATGATCTATTTTGGAAGATGTGTGTTAAATTTTTCCCTGTTTCATTTGGGTATGTATTTGTTCTGCATTCTTCACATAATGTTTCTGAACAATTTCTTCTTCCTGTGGATGCCATGAAGATTGCCCTTATCTTTACTATGCTGGAATATATACAGAGGTCAGTTCTCAGTGTTCAGTAAAGTTGTAGAGTGTGCTGATTTAAATTTATCGGCCCCATCTCTAATGTACCTTGTTCTTAATCAAATGATAGAAATAACAGCACAGATGTTAACTTACACATGACCCGAAGAGGAGGACGGATGATTCCAACAGAATTTTCAGGCCATCACTGACTTGTGCTTATAGGTTATGGGGCTTCACCAAATGGTCCAGTGTTCGTTTTATACAACCATCACTCTGCACGATCATTCTTGTGATGTGCTGGTCAAGTGTCTAAAATTGTGGGTCATATACACATACATTTCCAATGGAGTAGAAGTGATGTTCATTTGTGTTTTCTGTTGCGCACACACCTCTCATGTTCCTTCCTATTCATCAACTATTAGACACCGAATATAAAGGGTAACGGCAGCAGTTTGAAGTAGATTGTCTGAAGCCAACTTTAATTAAAGCTGGATGAGAGCTGGGATCTATACAGGGTAGTCTGCTGCACACTGAAGTCTCTGGATTTGTTCAGCTATTTCAATAAGGTCAAGGGTTTGGAATATTGTTAGTCTAAAGAAATCAAGCTATGTAAAAGCTAATTGTACCTCAGTAGTACTGAGATCCACATAACGTTACATTAGTTTTCACAGCATCAGCGAGATGCTCCTTCCTTTGATCTCCAGTGAATGTATTGATTTAATGTCGCACTCAGGTGATAAACGTGACCTACACAGTCAAGCGTGCTGGAGGGCTCCGGCAGGGACCTGTCAATGTGACCTTTGCAGTGAGCGGCGAGCATGGATTCCTGAATGGCTCGGATGTCAGTGACCTCCTGAGGATTCTGAGTCTGGTAGAGTTCAGCTTCTATCTGGGATTTCCAGTTCTGAAGTCGGCAGAGCGTAAGTTTCATTTGACCTTTTCCGAAAAATGTATCGGAAAAATGAAGCTGTAACTTTTTTTTTGCTCTTCTGCTCAAAATCTGAAGGAAACGATTGGATGAGGTTCATTTTCTCCTTGCTGCTGATATGTGCAATTATGCATTTTAAGCGGAGGTACTTCCTGAAAGTGCAATGTTCATTGATACACTTAGAAAGCAGCAGAGATAGTTCCTTCACTGAAAACAGCTCTATGAGGTGACAGATAATAATAATAATAATCCTTGCATTTGATATAGCGCTTTTCACGTCTTCTAGACGTCCCAAAGCGCTTCACAGAACATACTGTAAAGTGAATTGACTGTATATTTGTGGGCGAACGCGGCAGCCAATTGCGCACAGCAATGTGCCACAAACAATCATGGATTGAAAATGACCAATTTATTATTGTATTTGTTTTTTTTGGAGGGATTATTATTAGGTGTGTGGAGTAAGGAAACTTGCCCAAGGTTTCGCCCTGCCTGGGATTGAACTCAGGTCTCTCACTTGCAAAGCGAGTGCTCTAACCACTGAGCTACAGGACTCCACAAAGGTAGAATCAGTGTTAGCACAGAATCTGGCCCATAAAATCTCCTCCAGTGTTTTTCTTCACTTGAGTCATCTTATGAAATTCCACACTCTGACTCGCTTTTCCGTACCGAATTAATACTGCTCTTAAACCATTGATCTGCTCTTTTAAAAGATGTGCCAGATTCTGCTTAAACAACAAATGACAACAAAGCATTCTATATTCCAGTCACCCTCTTGGTCGAGAAATTATTTCCACATCTCCACATTAATTGCTTTTGGGATTACATTTGTGCTCTTCTAATAGACTTCCTGGCAGGTGGAAATAATCTATTACTATACTGTAAGACGAGGGTGTGATGGACTGTGGTAGCGAATGCATCCAGCTCTTGGATGCTCTGCAGTTGCCCACTCTGTCACTGGGAATGGCACATTTATGTTTCTAGATCCCATAAGGACATGGGCAGTTGTTTCACTCGCATACCTCTGCACTGCCTCCATACTCTCCAGTGTGTAAGTGTGTGGAGCGAATCAGAGAGGGCAAGTCCTTGATCCAATAGCTCCTTGATACAGCTTGTTCATGGTGGAACTGTCATCACTTAAGCTTTGCCCCTCAGCAACTGCTCTGATCACAACTGCTATTTCTGCAGTCTGTCACTTGCAGGTGGTAGATGCGGTCTTGTGGGATTGCTTTCTGTTTGAAGCAATGTGCCAAGCTTAATGCTGAACCTATATCTGTAAAAAAAAAATGAACTTTGGGACCCGACTTCGCAGCTGCTGGGCTGCTCTAAGAGTGTGATTGTGATATAAACAGCTGCCTTCATCCTGGAGTGCTTCATTTTGATATAATGGGGGCACAGCTAATTTTGACCCATCTGGTTGTTGAGTTCCGGGGGATATTCATCAGCATCCAGCAAACATTCTTAAGTACCTTGGGTGGGAGGCTCTGGATTCTATTTCGTACCATATCAAAGTAAACAGAGGCATTTTTTAATGCTTAGCTTGTGGTAATGCAGATCACCGTTGCAGCTTGTCCACTCATGAGGAGAATCTTAATGCTGCACATGTTAATACGCACAATAAAGCAGGTCAAAACCTTGGGCAAGTTTCCTTACTCCACACGTCTAATAGTAATCCCTCCAAAACCAAAAACAATAAATAATTGGTCATTTTCAATCTACGACTGTTTGTGGGACATTGCTGTGCGCAATTGGCTGCCGCGTTCGCCCACAAATATACAGTCAATTCACTTTATAGTGTGTTCTGTGAAGCGCTTTGGGACGTCCTCCCGACGTGAAAAGCGCTATATCAAATGCAAGGATTATTATTATTATTATAAGAGAACTGTAATTTCTCAAGTGTGTTTTATCTGCTTATTGCTGCGGTTACGTATTGGAAAACGGTGGATTTCCTGTCATTTGTGAAGTAAATAAATTAAGTGTTTATCTTTCGTGTTGGTGCTACGCCTACTTTGAAACCATTAAATCAAGATATTTACTTCCTATTTTCACAGCCATCTATTACCCTGAACTTAACCGATCACACCTGTTGAAGGCATCGTGGGTGAGAACAGGTACGTTCCTCCTTGGCTTGGTATATGTTGGGTTCAGGCTTCATGGACATTAAAGATCCCCGTGCCACATTTCAAAAAGAGTAGGAGTTCCTCCTGGTGTTCACGCCAACAAACCCTCATATAAAAATTGGTCACTCACTTCATGGCTGTTTGTGGGACGTTACTGGGCACAAATTGACTGCCGCGTTCACCAACAAAACACGCATATACTACACTTGGCAGTAAATTCCATAACTCGCTTTGAGGCATCCTCACAACGATCTAGTTTGTTAACCTATGAGTAGTGCAGCAGTTGATATCCAGTATTTCAACACTTCTCACTGCACAGCAGCTTCACATAGAATTATGGAAGTCATCAGATAACCACTGACCCCCCACTCCCACTATTAACAAATTCTTCTGTAGTTCTGAAATATAAGGAGGCTGGTGTCTCAGCTGGTGGTGAGCGTGTGTTGCATTGCTTGGATTGTCATCTCGGAGAAGATATTGTGCGTTCTGCTCTGCCAACAGTTGTAAAACGACCTTTAGTGATGCAAATTCCACTGAGAGGACCTAGGCATATTCTTAATAAAGTTTTACTGGGAAAGTACTTTAAATTAACTGAGCAATTGCTGAGTTTCTCTATTCCCTCTTTAAAGCTGAGTAACATTGGTCTTCAAAAAAATTTGTCTGCTGTCTTCATCATTTCACAGTTGTGTTGATTGTTTACACAATGATTGAATGCTGTATTCAATGATTAAATGCTGTATACAAATACAGTGGCTTTATTCGATTTTTTAAAAATGATGCTTTTTCTAAGTGGGAATAGATCCACTCCTCCTAGCTTCCCTACATTAAAAAGGTGCCCAGTTGTGAGAAGCTTCTTATTCCAGAGTATAAAGCACGACTAACCAACCAACTGCTTGCGCTGAGGGTCTGGCTTAAAAATTGTGCTCATTCCTAGTGAGCAATGGGGTAAAGTTATGATTATAATAATATAGTCAGTTGGGATTATAATAATAGTTAGTTGGAACCATCTACCCTTGGCTACGTTACCTCTGAGTCGGAAGGTTGGGGGTTCAAATACCACATTGGGACTTGGAACTCTTAGGCAGTGCAGTGCTGGGTACGTACTTCATTTTTGGACCTGCTGCCTGTCCTTCATTATAGAGGTTAAACCAAGGTGTGATCTGTGGGATATTGCTGCGCGCAAGTTAGCTGTTACATGTGCTTGCAAAATACTTTCACCACACCTTACACTATATTATGTGAAGCGCTGTGAGACATCCTCTTGATGTGAAAGATGCGATATCAAATGCAAGTAATGTTGTTATTACTCGTCTGGAACTCAGACATGTCTGCGCATCTGGAGGGGAGAGAGGCACCCTCACTCTCTCACAATCACGGCATTAGATGTTCTTATGCAAACGTAAGTGAGAGAAGGGAGGCATTGTGAATGTGTGAGGGCGACTCTCCCACCTCCGGGGGCACTGGCAAATCTAAATCTTTTGACTAAAGTAAGTTAAAGCCCTGAAATCCATCGAAAAAATTAGAAAGCCAAAAAATGCTAAAAATAAACTCAAAAAATTACATGTTTTAAACCTCGAAAACCAGAAGCCCTATTTATAAAATACAGGCGTCACTGTGGAGTCCAGTAACAGCCCCTTGAACAGCAGCTTGATGCTTCTTGGTTATGAGAATCTGCTTTAGTTTCATTGACCTATATTAGTATGGTAAGCTCACAGCTTTTTATTAAAATTCGGTGACCTTTGTTATGGTCCTTCCTCAGTTCTTTTAGGCGTGCATGACCACCGCATTCAGGACAACACATTTCAAGCTGATATGGAGCGGAAACTGGCCCAACTCCTCAGCGAAGTGACTAGGCCAGCAAGACGATGGAAGAGGGCAAGCACCTCTGGAAATAACACCGTCCAGGTAGGCATCATTGTTGAAGGGAAGTTGTACTATGCAGGATGCTGACATTGATGTCAGTTTCTAGCATGTTGATTGCTTTGGCTGAGTAGTAGATTGAGAAACTGTGCCTGCGTAGTTCTGTTTGGTCCATTAGAAAATTAGCTCTAATGTTTGGCCACAATACCTTTATGTAGGATGTTAAGTATTTGGAATGAAAAATACAGTGATATACAGGTGATCGATCGATCATAGGCAGGTTTTGAAGGCAGAGAGGGAAGGCCGAGGTGGACAGTGCAAACTGCCTGAAAGCTCACTCACTCACAGTAGTACAGATTGGGCAGGGGACATAAAGCAGGACTTGGAAGAAGGAGCAGCCGGAGCAAGAGGATGTCACAGGATGTTGCAGAGGAAGTTTGGAGGTCCTCTGGAGGATTTGAAAGACAGGACAATGATATGGAATCTGCCTGTCTGACATCGATTCCTGGACGAGAGACAACGTTCTTCAGCTCAACGTGCGCAAAACTGAGGCCCTCCTGATTGGCTCACGTTAGCGCCTCCGCACCTCAGGCGCTGACAGCATCAGCATCCAAGGCTGCACTCTCCACCTCTCAAAGCCAGTCAGGAACCTCGGTGTTCTGTTCGACTCTGAGTTGTCCTTTCTTCCTCATATCCGCGCCACAACTGGCACCACCTTCCATCACCTCCGGAATATCGCCAGACTACGGCACTACCTCACCCCTCACGCTGCCGAAACTCTGGTCTATGCCTTTATCACCTCAAGGCTGGATTATGGGAACTCTCTCCTCGCCGGCCTTCCCGGCACCTCCCTCCACAAGCTGCAGGTCATTCAGAACTCTGCAGCTCGTGTACTGTCCTGCACCAGGCTTCGGGACCACATCACTCCCACCCTCGCTCGCTTCCACTGGCTCCCCATTCCCCAGAGGATCGAATTCAAGATCCTCATCCTCACCTACAAGGCCATTCACGGCCTTGCTCCCTCCTACCTCTCCGACTTACTATCCCCCTACTTACCTGCCCGTACCCTCCATTCCTCTGGGTCTGGTCTGCTCCACATCCCCCGCCCTAACTGCCCTACCATCGGTGGCCAGGCCTTCAGCCTCTAAGCCCCTAGGCTCTGGAACTCCATCCCCCAGTGCCTTCCCCTTGCTTCCTCCCTTTCCTCTTTCAAGGCTGGTCTCAAGACCTTTCTCTTCGACCATGCCTTCAGCTCCCCTCCCGACTCTCTACCCCCTCCTCGCTCCCTCTCTTCCCTCCCCTCACCCTGACCATTTCCCCCCTGCTCGGGTCCCGACCCAACTGTCCAGCGCCTTGGGATGTCCTCCCGACGTGAAAGGCGCTCTGTAAATGAAATCTTGTTGTTATTGTTGGGAGATGGGGAGCCAGTGAGGATGGCGCTAATGGGCTTGCAGAGCCTGGTGCAGGACAGAAGCTGCAGAGCTCAGGATGGTCTGTGGCTTGGGTTGGGAGGTGCCATGGAGTCCGGTGAGCATGATGAAATGGTTGAGGGTCTCGGCAGCTTGGGGAGCCGCTGTTTTTTAAGAAGCTGATAAATGGTTGGCAGGCAGCATTGCACAAAGTAAATTATACGACATCGATCAGCGATATGGGCTTGCTGCTAAGCCTTTCTCTGTGTCACTTGGGTGTTTTGATTAACCATTATTTTCTCTTTTTTTTCCTGCATAAAAAAAGGGAAGAATCTGTGCTTTTGAAAGTTCCCCATTGAGCAATGGACCTTGTGAACCATTTTTCACAGTCAGCACTATGTAGTTTCAAAACTACATAGTGGATTTAGTACAGTTCATCATTCTGTGACTGTTTTCCTGTGTGGAAATTTTAATTGGCTCATAAATCATTTGCTTTTTCTCTCATTCTTGATTTCTAGTCATATTTCTCTTTCAGTGTATCAGTGCTCATTCTTGAGCTCTCTTTTTCTCACTCTCTTGATATCTCTGCCTCACTCCTTGCCCAATTATCTTTTCCTTTTTCCTCACTCTTTTTCTGTTGCTGGTTGTTTTTCACCCTGTTTCTCATACTCTGTCTCTTATTCGTTCCTGCCTCCCTCCTCATCCCCCCACCACATACCGAGCTGAGTATCCACCAACTGAGCCAGGGTGAAATTGGATCACTTTGCGAGAGGGGGAGAAACAAATACAAAGCTGGTGTGAGTGTATCGTTGCTGCATTTGCGCACCAGCTAATTGAGGGATCAGTTGGTGCCTTCTTCAGTGTGAACTGCTTTTCTTTGCAAGAATAAGTAACTGAGCAAAATTTCAATGGAACATTACCAATCCTGAATTCTGACTTGAAAATCAATGAGAGATTTCTTCATCTGTGCCGTGTATCAAAATGAAGTAAGCTTACAGGTGCAACTTTATCCATGGACATTGGAGAATGGCAGAGGCAGACATTAGAGCTGTTGAAGGTAGCTGCGTTGCCATGGCAGAGCTTGTTGGTGCTGTTGAAGGTGGTGTAAAGGGAAAAATATCTCTGGGTGCTGGCACTCTGTGGCAATGGGTTCAGACAAGCAGCAATGGAGGTATCTGTGAGCAGTTTCCCTGCCAATGCTGATCTGTCTCCAGGCAGACTGAGTGACTTTGTACTGTTACCCAGGGAAAAATGCATATTAGAAACACACATTACAATTCTCAGTCTCATATTGCTTGTCTTTTATAGAGTTTAGGCACTAGTATTAGGTCATCACTTGGAACCTTTTTTTGTGATTAATCTTGACCACATAGCTGCTTCATGTTATGTGGCGGGTGTGATCTAGTAATTGTCTGGGTGTGATCTGTTGATTGTCTGAGGTGTGATCTGGTGATTATATGGGGTGTGATCTGGTGATTGTATCCATGCTTTGCAGGATATACTGTAAAGTGGAATGACTGTATATTTTGTGAACGAAACATGGCAGCCAGTTGTGCACAGCAAAGTCCCACAAATAGTTTGTTGGAGTTTACAGCTTTTGCCTGATACATCATTATTTTCAAAAAATGAATGAATCATTACCTTTCTGTGTGACGCATTGCTTGTTAAGGTGACAGAGTTCTATGACCTGATAGAAACTCAACGGCAGACTTATTCTGCAGAACTGGGACAGGGGAATCGTCCATTCTATGCCCTTTAATATGAAACAGGTTTAATTTCGGAACCAGCCTTGTTCTCTGTCAGACTAAATGATCCATAAATTTCACAATTTCATTTTGTCTGTCTGCCCTGAGCAGATCGGTGAGAACCCAATCCTTCCTTCCTCTTCTTATCCAGGATGCTAAATATCTCTTAAGTGTGTGCCCTTTGGCCAAGTGAAAGAATGGAGCTCCCCTGTCAGCTTGTTGTGAGTCACCACCTTCTTAGCATTGAACGTCCCTATTAAGATCTCAACCGTAAAAACTCCAGGTCTCTCAAACATTCTAAAACCTACAATTTGAATGGTAGTAGAGATATTCAGGGCTTGTAAAGGACAGGTCATTGGGACTAAAAGATCTGCCAAGAAAGAGAAAAGCAGTAATGAATTTTAGAGGAAACTTTATGCATACATGAGTGAAAGGGAATTGAGTAAAGGAATGGGGATGAGGAGTATGTGTGTGTGTGTGTATATATATATATATATACATACTCATGTGTAGTATAGACGGGCATAGCCTGTTTCGGTGCTGGATAGTCTATATAATTCTATGTAAAGTAGAGGGGAATCTGCCAATGCTCTGCAATGGCTGGCTGTGCAGTTTTAGCTGGTTGTATGCCTGTGCTCTCCCAGTTCATACTCTTGCCCTCTTGTCTCTGCAGGTTGTGAACATGACTAAAATTGATGGGGATGGGAACCCAGCCGAGCTGATCTACTTTGTGGAGCAGCAGAGTGGACAACGCCTCAGTGCTGAAGATGCTGCCAACCTCATGAACAAGGTGGACATTCAGAGAGCCGCCATTGTCTTGGGCTACCGCATACAAGGTGCACTGGCACAACGTAAGTCAATTCCAGCTGTATGGGCTGAGATGGTACCTGAAAGGTTAAAATTTGCTGGAATATGCGAGTTGGAGAGGCAGGTGGATGAGACTGAATTGATTGAGATTTCAAAAAGTCAGAAGAGATACAATGGGACACATAGCCTTTGCTGTAAATTTCTTTGATTGAATATTTCTACTGGATTAGACCTGGTAAAATGAATGCATCCCAGCTGATAGTTAGACATAACAGTTACATTGGAGCTGAGTTTCTTCTTGGATTTTTGTTTCTTTTGTCCACCCTGTAGAATTCTGCACATATCGTAGGGGGCAGTGCCTGTGAGCTAGAATGAGAGTATAATAATAATAATTATTATCTTGCATTTGACATAAAAATTATATTTCTTGCATTTTATATAGCGCCTTATCACGTCTTCTAGATGTCTCAAAGTGCTTCAGAGAACATACTATAAAATGAATTGACTTGTTTTATTTTGTGGGTGAAACAATGTAAAACAATGTTTTTATACAGATATAAACAAGATGTAAACAATAATACAATATAAAAACAAATATGAAAGAAATATGTTTTTCATACAGAGAGCTGTGAAAACTTAGTACAACAACAAATTACATGTGTATAGTAGACCTGCCTCAGGAGGACGTGTTCCATTTTAACAACAAGTTGCATTTATATTGCATCCTTCCCGTAACAAAATTTCTCGGAGCGTTTCAAAGTGGCAGGTTTTGGAAGCTGAGCAAAGGGAAGAGGGGAGGTTACCATAAGCGCGAACAAAGAGGTAGGTTTTACGGTTGGAGATGGATAGATACTTAGGAAGTAAGGGAATAATGGGGAAACACAAGATGTGATCTAATAAACTGGTGGGATAACCTTGAAAGGTTCCTCCTGCTCCTTTGTTATGATGTGACAATATTACAGTCCTGCTGGTGATAGGAGTAGAGTTGTGTTAGGGAGCAGATGCATAATGGGATCTGTCTTAGGAGTTTAAAACATGCACTGTGGTTTTTGTGTTGTTTGCAGCTGTAGAGAGAATTGGTGCCTCCTTGCCCACAGAGGAGAACAAGAACCTGTGGATCATCGTGGCTGTGCTGGTGCCCCTGATTGTGGTCATTGTCGTCATTGTCCTCTTATACTGGAAGTTCTGCCGAACAGACAAGCTGGAGTTTCAGCCTGATACCATGAGCAACATCCAGCAACGCCAGAAGGTAAGAAAGAAACTTGAAGTGACTCAAAATGCTTTGCAGCAAATCCTCAAGCATAGTGTAAGCAGGTAAGGCAACCATTTTGCTTATAGCCATAAAACAGCCATGAGTTGATTCATCTGGAAGATTGTTGGCCAGGACAGCAGGAGCAATTCCTTTTTCTTTTTCACTCTGGTGGATATCTTTAATATCCACCAGAGTAGACTGACGACCTCAGTTTAACATAATCCGAAGGATGGCACATCTGACAAATTAGCGCTCCCCAATACTGCATTAGAGCATCAGCCGAGACTGAGCTCTGATCCGAGGCGAGAGTGCAGCCTCCTAAGCCAAGCACTTGGGGTCAAACATGATAAATGACATTAGTTCATTTCAATAAGTGATGCGGTAAATTACAAGATATTCTAAGCAATTTGATTTGGTTCTTTGAAAGAATCATCTCATGCAAAAATCTTGTTTGCCTGTTTGAGTGAAAGATCCTGTGGGACTATTCAAAAGGAGAAGGGAGTTTCTCCCTGTGCCCTGGCCAACAAATCCCCAAATAAAATTGATCACTCACTACATGTTTTGCCCACAAAATACACAGTCAATCCACTTAACGATGCAATGTATCCTGTGAAGTATTTTGAGTTGTCTTGATGATGTGATTAGGCAAATGTTATATAAATGGCTGCAATGAAATGTGAAGTCCTGCCTCATTCAGAAGATCTCAACAACTGCAATTCCTAGCAACGAGTGTGATGGGAGGAAGCCGGAAGTGTAAATGAAAGTGCAACAGATTTACTTTCCTTCTATTTGGTTCTTGCTCCTGGTTCCTTCTGGGAGCTTCTCTCTTACTAAGCAGAGATTTATTTCTTGTTTGATGTTTCAGACATGGAAGGTTACATTTTACTGTGAAGCGCAGTGAGAAGTCTTTCCAATATGAAAGGCGCTAAGTCAAATGTGGTGATTATTATTTTCATAAGTGAAACATATCCACGTGTTTTGTATGTAATTGCAGTCAAGTGCAGTGACTGTGATTGTATACAAATGCCGCAGACAATTTGTGCATATTAAATTCTCACAAAAAGCCATGAAATGAATGACCGATTTGGCTGGACGATTGTTGGCCTGGATGCCAGTACAGACTGAATAGTGAAGGTTTTGTCTTTTTNCAAATTTGGTCTCTTTGTGCTTGAAGCCTTTGTACTTTCACTCTTCGAACCGTGAGTTCTGAGTGCTGTTGGTTACAGACGTGCTTCTGTTTCGACTTGATATCATGTTCATGAAACTGACCAACTCGATTTTCAACACTGAATGTCCATTTAGATCTCTGAATAAGGCTATGGAGAGCTGAAGGCTAGATGCCATATTCTGGCTGTTGACAGATTTAGGCTGATTTATAGCTGCAAAAATGGCAGTCGTAACAATGATTGTAGTGTAGTTGCGTAGGGTTAGCAAAAAGTAGGCATTTAAAATGAGGCGGGGGAAAAGGGTATTGAAATACAATACAAAATTAAATTTGTATAGCATCTTTCAAGTCGGGAGGACGTCCAAAGGCTCTGGATTTTTGGAGGGGTGCACCTTGCAAGTGTGCACCGTTGCAGATCAGGTGCTGTTAAATAATGTCCTCAAGCGGCAGTCCTCACTTGAATGCCACCAACTCACCGAGCAGAGTGGCCTACAACAATCAGAGACAGATTGGTTCCATGGCTAGAGGAAGACGAAGAAAGGAAGATTCATTTGTGAAGGAAGAGATGCTGAGCATGTCCTGAGGCATGGCTTTGATTGCAAAAGAGTTACAAGTACAGATGGTATTTGTTTGCCCACAGATAGTCACTGAACTTCAGCATTATTATGTTTATGTTTTATAAGTTGCTCTCAAAAAAGCAGCTATTAATGTGGAGCAGCTATTAATGTGGTGGTTTGAGGAACTCATTGTTGCACGAATGCTTCAACGAAGATTATTAAGCTGAAAGTCATTGCAAACCATCATGATTTGGTCATAATCTGGGGATATTCAAATAAATGTAGAAAACACATTTAATAGAAGTTCAGATAACAACAACTTGCATTTATATAACACCTTTCACGCTGGGTAGTGTCCCGGAGCAATTCACAGAGGCTGAGTCTGACAATGAACCAGGCGAGAGGAAAGGTGATTGTAAGCACGATCAAAAAGGAAGGTATTTAGGCATGATTTGAAGGTGGGGAGTGAGGGGACAAGGCAGAGGGATTGAGGGAGAGAGTTCCAGAGTTTGGGGTGTCTTGGCTGAAGGCACAGCACTGATGGTGGAATGGAGGACACAAGGGACAAACAGGAGCCAGCCGAGTGGAGGCAGCGGGTGGTGGAGTGGGGAGTAAGCAGGTCAGATAGGTAGAGAAGTGTAAGCGCATGAAGTGATTTGAAAACCAGTGAGAGGATCTTGAAATCAATCCATTCGGTGATTGGGAGTCAGTGGAGCCTGACAAGGACTGGTGTGATGGGGATACAGAGTTTCGTGTGGGTGTGTATCCCGGCGGAGTAGTTTTTAATTAATTGGATTTTGTGTATGGTGTAGCTGGCGAGACCAGTAAGGAGGGAATTTGAACAGTACAGCCGGGAAGTGACGAAGGTGTAGACAAGAGTTTCAGCTGCATCAGTTGTGAGGTACAGACGGAGGAGGGCAATGCGGTGGAGATGCAAAATAGCAGATTCGGAATTTGGGGAGGCCACGGTTGTGGTTCAGGGAATTAATATGGAGGGTGAGGTTTAGGATGGAGAGGAGGGAAGAGAAGTCAGAATGGAGCAGGAGACGTTGAGGTGAAGATTGAAGTCGCCCATGATGAACAGGCTTTCAGTGCAGAGGGACGGATTAGAGGAGATAGGAGATAATATCCTTAAGGAAGGAGCCAGGAGATTTGGGGGCAGCTAGACTTGGAGGATGTTGAGGGAGAGAGAGGAGTGATGGTACAGGGCGAGGTGAAACACCCACAGGAGTAGGGGGATAGACCAAGGGAGGTTTGGGAGATGAGGGTCACCCCACCACCGCAACGGTTGGGGCGTGTTGTGGGTGGCATGTGTAGCCGGGATGGGGGAGGCTTTGATGAGGGGGATGAGGTCATCGGGAGAGAGCCAGATTTCTGTGAGCACTAGGATGTCAATATGCTGATCCAGGATGAGGTTGTAGATGGTGAGGGCTTTGTTTGAGAGGCAGCGGATATTTTGGAGGCCGGGGGTAGGGGCCCTGATGGGAGAGGCTGGAGGGGCTGAGTGTGGAAGGGTCTGAGGGGGGTTGCAGATTGTGGGGGCAGGTGATCGTCGGGTTTGAGGGGGGAGGAGAATTAGGAAGGATGTGGAGGAAGAGGTTTGCCTCCTGGAGGTGGGGGAGGGTCTTGTGGAGAGTGGGTGATTGGGCAGTTGGGGTGGTGAGACAACCATCGCCAAGTGCCGCGATGAGCATGATGGAGGATACCCAAGCTGGAGCAGAGGAAAGCAGGGAGGGAGAGAAGGCGAGGAGGGCGGTGGGAGAGAAGGATAGAGGTCAAATAGCGGAGGGTGGGGAGTAGAAATGGGGGCATTTTGAGGGGGGTTGGCTCAGACCAGGGGCAGCCAAAATGCGCACACCGAGACCTGGAGCAAGGGATCACTGGGGCATGTAGGGGGCATGAGGAGACAGCGCCGAAGGGAGAGCGAGGGGATAGCAGTCATATTCTTATTTATTAGATCAGACAAAGCCCCAGCCTAATAAATAGGGCTTTGAGAGAGAGGAGAGAGAATGAGAGAAGGAGGGAGATTTCAGAGAGAAGATGTGAAGCGCTTTGGGACATACTCCCGATGTGAAAGGCGTCAAGACTGCACCTCCTTTTCCCTCTATACCAAATTCCCACTCTCACCAAATTCCTATTGTGGAGGCCTCACTCTGTTCCCACCTCACTCCGTTCCCAGCTCCCTCCGTTGGGCTTTCTGCTCCTTGCCAAACAAAACAAAAAACACCTTGAAAAATTGCAAATGAAAGTTTAAAATACATTTTAAATCACTAAAAACTACAGGAACTTCACAAATTTAGTTTAGTTCTGAATTTCACGTTTTAAAGGATTTACTGATATTTTCTCAGAAAATTATTTATGATAAAGGAGATTATCTCGATTCCCAACTGCCATAATTCATTTTTTAAAATTAAAATATTGAAAAATCCAAGTCAAGTATAATAAATCGTTAGTACTGTGTGATTGAAAATATAGAAAGAAGGTTAAGGTTTTAAGCAGTGTTTATGATGACAATTTGGGAATGGAAAGTGTGTTGAGGCACACTGATATTACTGTAGTATAATGAATGTCTCTTTAGTTCATGACAATGCAGTGGTCAGGGACCATGAACCTGGACTCTCCAGTATCAGCGATGGTTCCTGCGCATATGCGTAGCACAAAAAGTGTTATCAGTAGCAATCATTTTGAGGGGGGGTAGCTGGCTATTCAGACCAAAAGATGGGAAGACTCAGTTTGGAGGGCGACAATGAGCAGACTAGCGCTAAACCATACTACTTAATTTTGGAGTCTCTCTGTAATATATTTTGCTCAACTGCTTTGACCTGAGCGAGTGTTGTATGGAGTTGACAGAATGTTAGTTTAGGAAGGGGTTTTGTTGTCTTGTATGTGCTGATGCTCTCATAAACACGAGTAATTAAGTGAAATTTGTCAGTCACTGTTCTAAATGCATATCTCAGCCTTCTCTTATCTCTTTGTTGATGTCTTCACCTTTGCTGATGTGTCCTGGACTGGTGTAATTTATCTTGATACTTTTTATCTCTCAAACTCCCTTCCCTATGGATATGAGAAGGAAGAGCAAATGTAACAGGAAGTACAGGGTGAGGAAAATGCAGAGCAGGTTCATGAGGATAGTGAGACACTGAGAATGAGTCAGAGGAGGATGAAAAGGAGAGAGGTCCAAGTGAAGATGATCCAGAGGAATCTGAGCTGGAGGAGATTGAGGAAGTGAACGAGCCAGTGGAGGCTGAGGAAGATGAGGCAGAGGAAGAGGAGGATGACCTGGAGAAATCTCATGAAGAGGAGGATGATCCAGAGGAGACTGAAGTGGAGGAAAAGGAACCTGAGGAAATGGAGGAAGACAAGAAACGAAAGGAGGATGAGGATTAAGAAGGTGACCGAAAGGAGGCTGAAGTAGAGGGAAAACAAGAGGAGCTTAAGGAAGATATGATCCTAGAGGATGGACAATATAAACAAGAGATGGTGACAAATAGATCGCAGAAAAGGAGAAATATGATGCCAGTGGCAACAGAAGTCTATTCACTGAAGAAAACTCAGGGGACAATGATGAGGACCCATGAAGTGTTAGGAAGAAAAGAACTGCAGGCAAAGACACATGCTATTGAAGAGAAAGTTTCAGTGCCACAATCCCTGAGATGACATGAATTACAACTCCATGGTCTGAAAGAGTACTGCTTTGTAGGATATTAGCAGATGTTGTGGCTTCTTGGTGAAATACCCCCTGTAATATTACAAGGTTGAGTTTCCTTTGGGCGATGAGTGCTCAGCGCAAGGTAATTGAATCTGATACATAGAGCAAGTTGTGTGCAGCTTTGTTGTAAAGTATGTTCTTTCATCAAATGTAATAAATTGAAGCTCTGAAACAGAAACCAGAGCAACAGCGATCAGTGTAAACTTGCAGCAAGCAATAACATAGCAGCAATTATAAGGGCTGTGGCAGTACGCTTTTCAATGACGTGTAATAGAATAGACAAGTGTGAGCTTGTGGTAGCTGTAGAGGAAATCTATTAGTTAACAGCAAATGCATTTACCACGTTGCATGAATTCATGTTGCGATTTTCTTGTACGTAGTTGAATACTGTTGCTGCCAGCAATAAATCAGGTGAGTGAAGGCACTTGATGGTTGTGGAGTCCAGAAGCTGGGAAGCAATAAGCACTGGGACTTGAATATGCATGTGGGTAGATGGGGTTCATTCGATACTGCCTTATTCCCTAGATTTATTTTAATCCTTGGGTTTGAAATAGTGTCATATCTTTCTGTACAAATATTAATAGTAACATGCATTTATACAATTAGTTCCTTTCACATTAAATAAATGTCAAAAATTGCTTAACTAATAAATTATTAATTAGAAACGAATATTACATAGCAGAGCAGCATATTATTGCGAGCAACGTTTCATGCACAACATTGAATTTGAATTTGGTGGTAAATTTGGATGAGACTCAGAATATTACCAGGGATAAAACCAGAAGAAAGACTTTGCGTTTCTTTGAAATGCAGTTCCTGAAAAGAAATGGAGTGTGGGCTTGTGGCCAGGAATGATTGTATGTTGACAAAGAGAAATACACCAGATAAAATACATGTGTGTATAAAGAAGTTGTTACAGGCAATATTATGGCTTTTCAAATGCAGCTTGTTTTTATGTTCAAAATGAATAATAGACTACCAGTTCACATTCAGAATCTGAGCAGAATATTAAAGTAATTTAACCTGGAAAAAAAATTCTCCCCTTCCTCTGCAATAAGGTGCTTTGTCCTGTTTATTCCTCTCTTTACCTCGCTCAGTATGTGCAAGTAAAGGAATGTTGAAAATAATTCAGAAAGTGGATCATCAGCTTCTTTAAGCTGCTGGGGGAAAGAGATTCACCCATGATTTGAATTGAAAAATAGGCAATTGAGAATCCGTGCCTGGAACGGATCAGCCTGCAAAGCCTTTGAGTTGCAGACTGCCTCAGCAATTTTTATATAATCTGTCAACTGTCTGAGCTCACTTCCTCCAAATTATACTTGAAGGTAATCAGATTTTGGCAAGCAAATTATGTTTTGAAAGCTGTGCACCCATCCGCTCTGAGAAGTGGTGTAAGGTGCCTCCTTCTTTGTGTGGAAAGGGGATGGAAAGCATTCCTCTCTCCTACAACAACAACAATAATAAAATGACATTTGTTATAGCATCTTTCACGTCGGGAGGACGTCCTAAACGAAATAAGTCTGAGAAATAAAAGTAAGAGTTTTCATAGAACCGGCAGCCAGAAACTGATCTCAAATATAACCTCCCTGAAAATAAACTGACAGGAAGGCACTATTGAGAAACAGAGAAGAAAGGAATGTTTGCAGAGGGTGTAACGTTGATGGGGAAAGGAATGTTTTGAGCAGACAAATACTGGAGGTGCACTTGCTGGGTTCATCTCCTTCAATGCTGAGCTTTATTTTGAGAGTAAGAGGCAAACAACAAATCTAAATATCCTAAGGTATTAAGGTCCAGAAAAGAGTTCCTGCTGAAAACAAAGGTACAGTTTTGAACCTACTCAAGGAGCAGCACTGACCTTATTCAGCAGACTGCTGAAAATCTCCTTCACCATAATTCTGTCGAATTAGGAAAGCAATTGGTGAAATTCAGTCGTACAGGTAGTACAGCTCCATCTATTGGGCACTGACCATCAGACTGGATTTTTGAGTTTGGATCCCGGTTTGTGTTTTTGTGCACATCTCGTTTAGGTGAAGGCAGTATCTCTGCTGTGTGTGGAGCGATATAGTTTGTTGTAGATTCGTCGTGATTTAGGTGCAATAGTACTAACCTAGAGCATAATGATATTTACATTTGGCTCCTCAGCTTCAGGCCCCATGTGTTAAAGGCTTTGATTTTGCCAAGCAGCACATTGGACAGCACGGTAAAGAGGACATACTGGTTATTCACGAAGCACCTCCACCAGCCCCTGCCAAAGACAGCACACCATCTGAGAATGGTGACATGCCCAGCCCTCAGCCCAAGGCGGCCAGACTCTCCAAGGGGCTCCGTCAGAGAACCAGGTGAGGAGTTGATAAGTTTATACAGGGGTTTCCAACCGGACCTTTGAGTTAATAGATGCACAGGATGCAAATATGCACAAAAGCCACCTTCACTTGAGGTCTGTCACTTGTCTGTTTGACAACCTGAGCTGTTGGATTTCGAGGTGGGGGTGGGATAATGGAGGTCAGTGATTTCTAATAGACGAAAGTGTACCCAAAGGCTTGCTTTTCGCTATGTCCTCTGACAACTTTCGGATCTCCCACCTTGGAGGGAATTGAGGAAGTTTGGATTTGTGCTATCACTCATTTTGCCAATCTCACAAATTGTTGGTGACATTCAGATATGTACTGAATTTCAGTAAAATTATTGTAATATTTTTAGAATCTCAGAATGTTACAGCAGAAAAACAGGCCATTTGGCCTGTTAAGACTATGCTAGTCTTTCCTGATGGGAATGAATGCCCTTTAATATTAATATTTCTCAATAATGTATTCAGTTTCTTTTCAAAACAATGAATGTTCTGTTTAGTTCCATTTTAATTATGTTGACTTTGTGCTATTTGTTTGTATGAGATTACGACATGCTGCTCAGCCTGGTGCCTTTTCCCTTGGGGATCGCCCAGCCCTGAGTTTGGAGGTTTACTGTGTAGTTTGGTTAATGGCCATCTTCTGGAAGGTTTACAACTGAGGGTACTCAAATTGCAAATTAACATAGGACTCTAAAAGCCAATGTGTTTGTGCAGAGTTTCGCCTTCAGAAGCTGAATCCACTGTCAGTGAGCAGTCCAGTGGGAGGGAGTCTATCGAAGATCTCCCAAGATCACCTTCAACTCCCAGTGATGGCAAACAGCAAAGTGTAAACAAAAATGGTTAGTAACCCCTTAACTCATTTCCAGTGGTTCTTAAAATTGTACTTCACACAGATTGATTTAAATATACTCACCATCAAATCCTCATCCTCAGTCTCACGTACAGTTCCCTTCAGCTCTAGCCGTAGCACCTCCCTACCTCTCTGACTCCCCAGACCCACCTGCACCATCATGAGTGATGAACCTTCGGTCACTAACTTCTGGAACTCCTTACCTCAATCCCTCTGCCTCGCCTTTCTTTATCGATCTTCAAAGCTTACCTAAAGACACTCCCGAGTATCCCCCTTCCCCTTCTCCTTTGCTCGGCATCCAAGCCTGTCTCTGTAAAGTGCTCCAAGATGCTATCCTGTGTGGAGGGCGCATTATTAAATACAACTTGATCCTATCAGACCTCCTGAAGCATCAAACATTGCAATAATTGCTAGGAAGACAAACACAGCAGTTAAACTGCACCAGCGATATACTATGTGACAAAGTTCTATGAAAAAGTTGTAAAGGTATCTTTCTGTGTCTTCATCTCTGTTTCTTATTCTATTTCTTTCATTCTCTCTTCTCACTCACTGTCTATCACTGGTACTCATTATTTGTGGCAATTCTCTCTACCTTTTAAGTGAACATATTCTCACATCTCTCATGAATAACTGCATCTTGCAGATCTTTGACTGCTCCCTTTTAACCTGCACCAGCAACATCCCACAAGTGCAATGATACTATATTTTTTGATGAATTTTTGATGATGGAGGAATATGAATTGTACCACGGGATCTGAATAGGCGAGCATTGCCTCTGTTTTACATCTCTTGGGAAGAAGCCCGCTCAGCACTATATTACATTTTGTTGATCTGTTGGGAACTGGTTGTTTATTTTAGATTGATCTCCATTCTCACACAAATTAAATCCAGAAAACAATTCTGAAAAGCCTCACTGATGTATCTTGAAAATAAATTAATTGTTGAAAAGATGGAAATATTGTGGGAGAGTCTTGCTGCAGTTGTGGATGCCTGCTCCATAAGAGGCATTGTTGCAATCTCCTGGCCTCATGGAGATTCCTTACTTCTCTCATTCAAGATCATCACCATTCAGCTGAACAGTGGATCAAAGGAGCAGTAAGAGTAAGCACACACATATTCAACAACTTGCGTTATGTAGCGCCCTTCATGTGGGGTAATTTCCTGGAGCGCTTCGCAGTGGCTGAGTCTGACAACCAGCCAGGGAAGAGGGAGGTGATCGTGAATATGATTAATAAAGAACGTCTTTAGGCAGGATTTGAAAGTGGGAAGGGAGGGTGCAAGGCAGATGGATTGAGGGAGGACTCGGGGCATAGTGGCTGAAAGCACGGCCACTGATAGTAAAATGGAGGGTACGAGGGACAAATAGGAGACCGGAGCCAGCCGAGTGGAGGCAGTGGGTGAGGGAGTGGCGACTAAGCAGGTCAGATATGTAGTGAGGTGCGAGGGTATGAAGTGATTTGAAAATGAGTGAGAGGATCTTGAAGTCAATCCGTTCAGTGATTGGGAGCCAGTGGAGCCTGCCAAGGACAGATGAGATGGGGGGTATGGAATCCATCCAACTATAATGCATGAGCTATTTTCAGTATGGCTACATTTTAACTTTTAGACAAATGGGTCAAGAGAACAGCAATTTTAGAGAGTGAAATTGCTACTGGTGTAGTTCGAGAAGGAGACTAAACAAAATATTTTAGAGATTTGGGGTTGAGGGATAAGTTTCGGGTACAGAGGTCACGCTCTTGAGGAAAAGAGTTACTGGTGAAGCATTTGAAGTTGAAGCAGCTAAGTGACTACATTTTTACTTTTTGCCATTGACATCTGGTTAATGGACCTGCTGAGCTCATGTTAGATCAACCTTGGGTGACATTACTGTAGGCGACCAGTAATCTAAAATAGTAAGTGTGAGATTGCTTAGTCTTTCAACTTGACACGTTGCAATGAAAAATGCCTTTGTACCTATGCCTTTGTCACTGGAGGGCTCTCTTCACAGATGCTATGCACCAATGGGAGTGAATGTCCTCAACATGACATTTTTCTACTGACTACTATATTAAAATACATGTATATAGGGCATTGTCTGATTTACAGTCTTTTACAGCTTTCTCAATTTGTGCACTTTGGCTCACTGAAAACTTGGCTTATTAGAGAATCGCAGAATGTTGCAGGACAGAAACAGGATATTTAACCCATCAAATCCTTGCTGGTGTTTTTGACATAAACCAAACCGAATCCTGTTATTCTCCTGCTCTCTCCCATAAACTCTTAAATATTCCTCTTCTTCCAAGTAGCTTGTTGATTTCCTTTTAAAACAATCACAGAACACCTTCAACTACGGATTGTGGCAGAACTTCCACATTCCAGACACTCTGGGAAAATGTTTATTTTTCTAACCTCCCTTTTAATTTGTTTTTTTGATTATCCTAAATTTGTGCCCACGCACTACAAATTGACCAGCCAGTAGGAACAATCCATTGTTATTTACCAAATTATGATTGAAATCCAGATATTTCTCCACTGCAGAAAAACGAAGATAATTCTGTGGCATAATAAATGTCCTGGTCTCTGCACATTAGCCCATCATCGCCAGCTGGGTGGGTTGCTGTGAGACCAACACCAAAGTAGGGTACAAAATTTATTTTGAACAATTATTATTTTGCCATCTCATTCTTTGAATCATCAACCAGTGGAAATACAACAACAACAGCTTGCATTTATATAGATAGTGTCCTGGAGCGCTTGACAGTGGCAGAGTCTGAATAAGCATGATCAAAATGAAATAAACTCTTGCTTGCTCCAGCTATTGTTCATCTGGTTTTGACTCAGCCTCGCATTCTAAAGTTGTCAGGTTTGCCTCTTTGCCTGTCTTATGATTGCTTGTTTCTGCTTTCTCTTTGCAGGAGCTCCTCAGATCAGTGTCCTGCTTGACGAGCAGCCTTCCTCAGCGTCTATCTTTGATCATGTGGACAGGCTATCCCGCCCAATGGAAACCGGCAAGCGCCTTCCCAGCAAAATCCAACTCATCGCCATGCAGCCCATTCCAGCACCTCCTTTGCAGAATCCGTTGCTTCCTGAAAGGGTTGTGGAAACCAACAGCATAAATAAAGAGGTGAGGAAGCTTGCTGCACTGTACCATTGAGATTACCTCATACTTGGGACAAATTCTGCTTGTTCTGGTATTTTAAAACAAAACTCTCCCTCCCGATATTCCCCACTGTAGAAAAATGAAGATAATTCTATGGCGAAATAAATGTCCAGGGCCCAAGTAAATCCTCTCTTTTTTTCCCATACAACCATAGAAAGGAGAAAAGGAGGTCTATCATACTGTCATGCTGGCTGTCCGAAAGAACCATCTATTTCAAGTTTCCTATGTTTTTGAAGTGTTCACTCAAATTTCCCCAAAAAAGGACATGATAGGGTAAATAAGGAAAAAAACTATTGATTTGGGAAATTGATGACAAGTGGGCATAGTCTCAAGATAGCAGAATAATTGGGAGGAGATGTTGGAAGGAATTTCTTCATTTAAAGGGTTGTCATCTGATTGATATGACCGGGTCATTAGAATTGTTCAATGTAGAACAAGATAAGCTTCAGTGAAGTAAATAATGGAGAAACGAGCTGGAAAGTAGAATTGATTTAAAAACGTGTAACTTGGATTCTGAAAGTATCTGGCTGTAACTTTGTGCACTGCTTCTTTTTCCGTCTGGTACGTGCTCGCAGCAGAGGGGCTTTTCCTGTAACAGGAGGTGGAAGTCTCAGTATTGTTACTTTCTGTCTCTTCTCCTCAGGTTCAGAGGGCTCTGAGACAGAAGTCTGAGATTGAGCATCACCGTAATAAGATCCGACTACGAGCCAAGAGGAAAGGACATTACGAATTCCCTCTGATGGATGATGTTCCTATTAGTGACACCAAGGAGCGACGCAGAGTGTACCGCCGGGCGCAGATCCAGATCGACAGGATCCTTGATCCTGCCGTTCTCCCTTCTGCTCTTTTGGAACAAAGGAAAAGGTCAGCATGCTAAACGTCCTGAGATATAACACAAGAATTAAAGTTGACTGAATAGCTTGGCTTGATCATTGGGCATGGTGGTGGGGTGGGGCGGGAAGCAGGGGTCCTGGGGCTCGGGATAGTGGGTGGGGAGAGTAGAAACAGTTGGAAATTGGGTGCATTACAAATTTCAAAATAAACGGTTCACTGCAATGTTGCTCTTATTCATCTATAACTGATAAGGAACAGCACTTCTGCTGTGTGAAGGAATTCCTGAAGCTCCTTTTCCCAGCTCCAAGTTGTGAATGTGTCAGGATATAGAATGGGTGGATGAGGGCAGACCAATGGCAGCCTATGCTGGTGGCACAGGAGAAGCACTTCAATGTAAGCAAAAGCTGTGTTGTATTTAAGGATCAGCCAACGTTAAGCCAATACATGAAGTGGTTCCTTGGATATTGAAAATATGTGCAGCTTGTCTCTTCACTGAACTGGCAAAAGGCTCATTTTGATGCAAGACATTCAAGTTTTTTTGTGTAGCATTAAATTAACAACAACAACTTGGATTTATATAGCCCCCTCCACGCCGGACGGCGTCTCAGTTACCCTAACCCTAACCCTTGGTTACAACTTATTAAATTCAAGTTTGTGTACCAGCCTGGCTCAGTTGGTTACACTTATCTCTGAGTTGTGCGTTCGAGCCCCACATCGGGATTTGGAACTCATATTGTCGAAGATGATGCTCTAGTGCTGTGCTGCTGGGGTGCAGCATTTTTGGAGGTGCAATCCTTTGGATGGAAGGTAAGCTGAAGCCCCATCTGCCTGTTCAGGTAGTTGTTTCAAATCCCATGGCATGATTAGAAAAGAAGAGTTTCTCGTTATGTCTAACCAACAGCCCCTAAATGGTTTTAGTCTGTGCAACAAGGAATGTGAGACAACTCCAGATAATTCAAGATGCAAAATGTCTCCTACTCTGTTCTTCCTTACTTCCTCTCTAGTTCACGTGCCAAGAGGTCTCCACGACAGCGACGGAGGCACCAGGTCAACGGCAGCATGACAGACGCAGAGAAAGATCGTCTGATCACTACAGACAGCGATGGGACCTATAAGAAACCTGGAGTGAACAATGCAGCGTACCTTGTAAGCATAGAAAATTATAGTCGTCCTGAATATATTTACCTTATTTACTTTCATCCTTCTAGTTGGTTTCATCTTGTGAGAGATAACCTGTGTTCAAGAGCACAAGAGCAATCCATAGGACTTCACAATACAGAAAGCATTCCCTCTAGTCTTGTTCTCCTGCCCTTTTTCCATACTCATATATTTTATAGTTCTGACTGCTCCTGGCCCCTCCACACAGTAAATGAACACTCAGTTTTTGTGTCATCTTCATAAAAGTTACTGCGCCGAAGTTGCCTTTTTGACTCATTAAGTCTGTTTTTCTCAACATGAGTAATATTTTATTGTCCCACTCTCCATCTCGCTTGCTGTATATATCTGAACATTCCTCTATTTTGAAGCATCTGATTCACTTTGAAATGAAGTGATGGAGTTCATGGAAACCATTCATTGTTTTTGTGTGTGTTGCAGTCGGATCCTGACCTGCCTCTGGAGTCCCGATCTCACCCCACACCACTATCAGGATTTCGTCCCAGTTCTCCACCGCACAACCACTCTCACCCTTCAGTCCCCCCACCTTATGTTCCCCCACAGCCATCTATCGAAGAGGCGAGGCAACAGATGCATTCTCTCCTGGATGATGCGTTTGCTCTGGCAGGCACGGGTAGTCCAGTGAAGGTTACTCCAGCGGTCAGCCTTGGTCAGCCAGTAACCAGCACTCCTATCAGGGCAACCAGAACACCAGCAGGCAACCTCTGGACACCGGTATATGAACAAGCCCAGGGTCTCAGCAACCCATATATAACGGTAAATCAAATCTGAAACTCTCTCCCCCAGAAGGTTGTGGATGCTGGATCCATTCACATTTTCAAGACTGAGCTGGATAACTATTTGTTAGGTCAGAGGATCAGGGAATATGGGGCACGGGCTGAATTGGAGTTGAATGGCCTACTCCTGTTTCTGTGTTTATATGGTAGACAGCCTCCTAAATATGTACATCACTATATACACGGTAAACAATGTGATGAGTAAAAATGATGTTGTATGATATGAACAGGCTATATATATATATCACAATAGGTCATATGAAAAATGTGACATGTGATGTGATTACATAGATTAAAATGGAAATCAAATAATTGTAGACTGGTCCTCTCTTGCATTTTCATGGACCTGTCATTTTCAAAGACATTCATGTTTTGAGGCTAATAAGTCAGAGTGTGAATGTACAGATTGCTTAAAAGAGAGAAAAAAATCTTTCTTGTTTTCTCAGAGGTATGGAGAAGTAGCAATGGCACCATCTTCTGGAGGATCGCATCTACAAAGGTAAGACTTGTGTTGCAGACACTCTCATAGTCTAAGCTACAGAGAGCCAAAATCACAGTCTAATCATAGAATTATACAGCACAAAAGGAGGCTATTTGGCCCATCGTATCTGTGTTAGCTCTTTGAAAAGAACTATCCAAATCAATCCCACTCTCCCACTCGCTCCCCATAGCCCTCCTAACCTGTCCTCCCCAAATAATTATCTTCTTCTCTCTTAATAGTTATTATTGAATCAGCTTCCACCACCCTTTCAGGCAATGTATTCCAGCATTGGCTGGAATCAGCTCCATCCCTCTCGTTCATGGAAAAATTTTGTTGCACAAAAAATATTTACGGCCGTCATTCATTTGCTTGAAGTGCCTAAGTGGTCAGGGAAGCAGAAACCAAAAATTAGATGGAAGAAAAATAATTGCTCAAAAGATATGATCTCGGTTGGGGAAACAAAACATCAAAAAAAACATAAATTCCTCAGTTTGGTATTAGCAGTGTGTGGGGGGGCTTCAGATTAAATATACTTCCTCTTATGCCGAATAGGTAGAGGAGAGATGGATAATATATGGAGGGGGGGGGGAGGGGAGAAAGGAAAGCACTGTGGAAGTGAGATGTGTATTTCGATGTGTATTTTGATTCTTGGTCAATATTGGATATGAAAGGTTTTGATGGTTGGTGAGTTGGAGAGCTTGAAGGACCAAGTTGCAGACACATTTCCGCAATACTTTGTTCATGTTTCAAATCTAAGGAAGTATGTAATTTTGTGTTTATTGCTCGGAAATTACTATGCCATTTGAGTTTTATGTGAAGCTATCATTTTAAATTTTACTGGAATATGATCTTTTATACAGCTCCTTTCATATAAAAACTGACGTTTTGAAGCACTTTACAAAACAAAATCAATTTGAAACAAATATGAAAGTTGCTGTGTAGACAAACATGTTAGCTAAAGTGCGAAACCAACAATGAAATGAGCAGTCAGTTCTTTTGAAATTAAGGGTAAATTTAAATGAATACATACATTGTTTGAAAAGAGTGTAGGTTTTATCCTCCAGCCTAGCCCATTTGAGCAGGCTGTTTAAATGCAGCTTTCCATTTAATAAACTTTAATCCTTTTCCGTCTGAGGCATTTCTGCCCTCAAGCACAAAACAAAATTATACCAAGTGGAATTTTCCAAATTTAGATGGACTTTTTAATAGCTGAAAAGCACAAATAGTTTGTTTCCCAGTTCAATAGTTCAACATGTTGATATTCTTCTGTACCACCATGCACCAGAGCAAACAACAACTTGCACTTGGATGGCTCCTTTCAAGAAAGTAAATGGTTCAAAGCGATTTACAGAGGTGAAATGCGAGATGAAGCAGGGTAAGAAAGGAGGGTAAGAGAACAAGGATATACTAGTCTGAGGTAGGTTTTAGAAGGGATTTAAAATCAGAGAGGTCACATGCAAGGTGGAAGTATTTAGGGAGAATATTCCATGGGATAGGGTGGCTGAAGACTTGCTCGATGATGTAGCGGTATCCTGAATGCCAAAGGTGAAATGCCAGCTCGGTTACAGATCCGTACATTGGTTCTTTGCTTGTGGTAACAAAATATACAAGAACCAGTACTGTTGAAACACGATGAGTTGAGGGCCTGTTAATTGCACAATCTCTGAAAAGAGGTTACCTTATCATATTTTCACAGGTAATTTAAACCGTCCGTGTGGTGAGTGTCTCGTTTGTGAAGCTCAATTCAGTTTCAAACTTCACACATGGAAAGGCTGTATTGACCATTGATATAGTTACGTCAGCCAGTACACCCTCACCCCACCATGTCTGCACAAGCATGACATCTCCTTTATATTAAGCTGCTCAATGCATTGCCTTCATTTGCTTTGATATCAGGAGGCATGTTGGAGTTTTCTCCAGCTGTCAGGTTGGAATTAATTTATGTAAACAGAATACTGTTGGGTCTTGGAGGTGCTGAGTCTAAGTACAGAATTTTCTTCCACTAATCTTTTAGCAGTTTTCTGGCCTTAACGCTTTTTCTCCTTCCCCATTGTTCATTAGATCCAGCCATGGACCTGGTCACATGCAGTCAGGACAGCAGATGGTGAAGCAGGAACATGGACACCAAGAATCACTGTATTCAAACAGATCAACATATACTGACGATACTCAGTCAAATGCATGGTCGCGACCCACAGGACACAGTTCAGGTACCAAGTTTATGGAGAATCAATCCCTTCGCAGTGTGGAGTGTACCAGCTTGTACATCTCAGCTGTTTGGAAGTTATTTTGCTATCCTTAATAAAACATCCTGCAGCAAAACGGGTTTAAGAATTTTCTAACTTGTTTCTTTGTTTTTACATTTTGAGGCTATGCCATTAGAGAAAATTCAGGGCTCAGCGGCCCAAATTCCATCTGGTCTTTGCCTGTAAGACGATGTTCTCTTAAAATGTAAAAATTGAGGAAAATTCCAAAATTTCACTCTTAATTTGGTTGCCGGCTCTTTGAAAAAACTGAGGAAAACCGAGATTTCAAAATTGAGATTGAATTTCAAAATTCACTGCAATTTTGAGTCATCTTAAAATTGAAGACAAAATGGTATGGTTGTTAAGACAAGGTGAGATTAAGGTGGGATTTTGAATCTTTTTCTGTACTATTTAGAAAAATACAGCAGTGCCAATAACCTACGTTTTCAGTAATGACCCTTGTGCCCATCTAAACCTACCAGCCTTGACATTTATGTACCACCAGAGCCCGCTTCTTAACCTTCCAACAAGAAATTTATGGCCTCAGCTATCTCTTCGTAACGGAACAAAATGGCTTTTCCTGATAGATCTCGAGCTCCAGGTCTCATTAGCTGGGATCCCTCACTGAGAAAGCTTCTCTCCTGCCTTAAGCTGCTACTCTGTATTACATTTTGAGTCTTTGGGAATATGTTTTTTCTCGGTTTCTTTGTGGAAGTGACCTTGTGTAACCTGAGTTTAATGGGGTGAGACCAAACTGACTGCATATGATAAAGTTAGCCAAGTCTAGACCCAGAGGATAAATATTTATAAGCAGGGCAGTCGGTAATATCATTCATCAAATGGGCTTTTGCACGGCTTAGCATAATACACTGAGCTGTTACGTGACTCCCACTGAATGAATGAGTCTTGTTTCCCTTTATCTTTCTTGTGTTTTCCAAGTTACATTTTATAGGTTTAATAACCAGCTGATGATTTATGTTACCAGAAAGGCAATTAATCTGTTGAGGTACTGATGGCATGTTTGTGAAAAGGGGTACCTGAAAAAGATGTGTTTAGAAAATATCTCAACATTTTAGATGCTTTTCTGGATGCTCCTTTGATAAAAGGATTTACACAGTGAGAGATCAGGCTGATTTTCTGTTTTTAAAGCAGTCGCTCAATCATGCCAGTTGTGCTTTAGCTTTTCTTGATTGCTGACCAGTACAGAGTGGTATTTGCCCTGGGGAACGGCATGTGCCCTGGCAGCGGAGTGACATACAAGCTTACTGATTTTTCCCTACATGCACAAACCTTTTATTTCCATTTAATCTCACCCAGTTCTTATTCCACTATATTCACAGGTGTCAAAGCGTATCCAATGCCACAGGAAGGCAGAGTGGGGAGGCAGACGGGAAAGCTCCGTGTCGGCAGGCCTGGAACAACGCAGCAGGGAGCTGCAGGTTGGTCTCCATATGGAGTGGAAGATGAGTCTACGTGGTCTGCATCCAACAGAGAACACGTAAGTCAGGTCTAACTGGCTTCAAAGGCAATACATTTCTTTTAACAAACTCTGATTCAAAGATACCCATTTTCCAAACTGTTGTCCTTTGTTGTTCAGAGATCCTGGGCCTGCAACAAGAAAGGTTTCCTTTGGTCCATTTGTGATCTTGGTTGTGCGTTTCCTGAGTCAGGCAGGACTGCAGTACTCTAAAGCACTCTTGATGATGGGTCAGCCAGCCTGGCTTATTGACAGGAGGAGAAAAACAATCACTGAGTGCTGAGATCCTTCGCATGTGGCTTCTATTAACCATGTAAGATAAAACCCTTGTGGGTAGCTAGGGTGGTCCTCCCTGCCAAGCAGAGCATCTTGCCAGGGTTCACACATTGACAGCGAAGTATTAGCTAGTCAAACTCCAGCAGAACCTCAATGCACACTCTGGAGCCCTCAAACCTTGTCTCTTGCCGACTTGTGCGTAAAAGCTCCTGGATGTGATAACAAAGGTTTATCCCTCTGGGATAGCGCACTGCAAACCAACAGTCATGCATTCGTGGAATTTTTAGTAGTTTGGAGACTCTCGAGCATGGGAATGGCTTTCTGCATGTATCCAAAAAAGTATCTATGTCTAAAACGTAGCACCCAGATTTGATGATCTTGGTTATTGAATAGTCAGAGGAGGATAAATGGAGGAAAACAATTTTCTTTAGTTGGGCAATCAGTCAATATGGGGCATAGTTTCAGGATTGTTAGCTGAAAGATTGGGGGAGAGGCATGCCTAGAATTTATCCACAATATTGTTATGCTGTTGTGTTTGTTTTAGTCAGGTGCTCGGGGTTATTTTGACCATAGCTCTCCTCTCTTACAGGTACCCAGGACTTGCCTTGTAGAGCCCTCAGTGCCATCCTTACACCTGCAGCACACCACTGCTCTGCATCCTGGTGCCAACTGTGATTCTAACTACAAAGATGATCTGGTACCCAGCCATTCATCCACGTCTCTCATCAAAGCGATCCGTGAAGAGCTCCTCAGACTCTCCCAGAAACAGTCAGCCTTTCAGAGTTTCCACAGTTGATCTCAGTATTTGCAAAATCAGAGCTATCTGCTTCCTGTGGAAGTCAAGTAAGGAATTCTTGAATATTTCCCTGAAGAGGGAGCTGTGTAAAGTATTCTTGACGTGTAAGAAAAGTTTGTCACAAGTTGGTTTTCATTTGGTCTTAAGTACTTCCAAACTAAATTGTTTTTACATTTGTGTTCAGCTGGTGCTACTTTACCAGCTGAAATATTGTCTTCCCTAACAAAATTATATACTGTCTTCCCAACAAGAGGAAGAGAGAGAGAGGAAGAAGTAATTGTGCTGCATTAGTTTTCAAAGTCTTTTTGAAGTCATTTCACCCAAGCCAGTGCGGTAAACCAGAAAACCAGTTGAGGGCAGCAAGAAAGAAGCTGATGAGGGAACCTGGAATCTCCGATCTCTAACCTTGCTTTGTTTCTTTCACTGAGCGCAAGCCAGTCCTCCTTCCCAACTTCAAAAATTGGATTGGAACAGGGGAGCAGAGTGGCACAAAAAGTTAAGAGAAATAAATAGGAGGAGGAGGAGAGGATAGCAGGAGCGACCGAGACAGAGTGCACTGCAAAGTGAAGCAAGCTGTTAGAGAAGACAAGATAGGCAAGTGATATTCAGGACAAAGCGAACGTTACTTGAACACAACAACAACAAGATTATATTTATGTAGCACCTTTCACATCGGGAGGACGTTCCAAGGCACTGGACAGAGTACAGCATTATAATATATATATTATATAATATATATTGTATATAATATATATTATATTGTATAGTGTTCAATACAAATAGAGTCCAGTTAAGCATTTAAATTCCAACTAAATCTTAGTACACTTAGAACACTTTCCATTTGGTGGATCAAATAGATTGACCATCTTGTGAAAGGAAAATAACTTTCACCAATACAGCACCTTTCAGGGCGACATTTCAAAGCCCCTACTGTCAAGGTCATTTATCAGTTATATTGGAAAATTCTTAAATTCATAATTAGTTCTTAAGCCTTTTGCATAGGTTGACCATTGAACTGCAGAAAACTAATTTGAAAATTAAGACTGAATTTGCCTAATTTTACTTGCTGTGAAATGCTAAAAAGGAAGTATTAAACTTGAGTAGAATTTCTCACCACTTCCCTCACCTGATCCCCTTCCCCTCACTGACTCAGACAAATGTAAATCAAGTAACAATTGTGGAGAGAATACTTGCCAAATCTTAACTGAGAAACGCTGGCAATGCCAGCCATCTCTTCCCCTCACCCTGCTCCAATAGCAAGGATTGCTTGTCAAGTTGTGACTGTTTTGGGCAATGAAGTTGAATTTTTTTCGAAACCTTGTCTCAGTGAACTGAGATTGATCATTTCCAACCCCTAAATTCCACCCCCTTTTAGCCTTTGAACCTGTTTTGTTTAAAAACTGTGGAAAATCCCTCAATATAATCTCATTTTGGAAGTGTTTTTTGCAGGTTTTAAATAACAACAAATTACATTTGTATAGTGCCTTTCATGTCGGGAGGATGTCCCAAGGCGCTGGAAATAACTGGCTGGCAAATTGAGACTGATAAGAAAATTGTATTTGAAGAACTTCATATAGGTGCAAAGAAGTGAATGCATGGTTATTTTTTGTTGTGTATTCTCTGCTGAACTCCATCCTCCATCTACAATGAATGGAACTGAAATCTCTCTTGATAGAAGTGAACAGAATAAATGGCCAATCATTGCTAAACTCAGCGATTGGAATCTGTTCTACGTTTTATACCACTGTTGCATTCCCAATGTTTAATTCCCAGAGTGAGATGAATTTACCCTGACGCTGAATAACAATATTGAAGGGCGAGTTGATTTGATTCGCATTGTTTTATTGGTGTCTTTGCAGCTGAAGCAACAGTGAAATCATATCTAGAGTCATGTCCCTGCTGCGTGAGTCAGAAATATGCACTGTCAAGCCAGAGTCTTAAAAATAATAATCCTAGCTCAATGTCTCAAATCAGTTCACAAGAATTTTCTGTCACGGGTAATGATTCCACTTCATTGTGGAAATATAGCCTGAATTGGGAGGTCTATGTACATCATTAATTCTAACTATGAACCATGGTTTCTGAATGTCTTGAATATTGTTGTGCTTCTTGGCACAGCCTTGAACAGGCAGGGCCATCACACCGTCTGCCTTGCAATGCAGACCGTCTTACAGAACTAACTATATGTGTATGGCAAATCAGTTGTGGTCCAAGAAAGCTCCAAGGTCCAGGAGATTTTCCCCACACTTTCAAGAAAATTCAGTCTGGTGAACAAACATTCCATTTTTTTTGTAAGTGAGTTTGCATTTAATATTTTTGACAATGTGTGCTGGCAGGCCCAGCAGAATATTAATATGTGTAAATATTTGTGTGTATATATGTGTGTGTATATAATTGTGTGTTTCTGTTGTATTTATTTTGCATGTTTTTCTACTGTCAGGGTTTCCTGCACAATTTTGAAATGAAACGTAAATTGTTTTTCAGTGTGTTTTTAAGTTTCCAAGTTGTGATTGTCAGCAACAAGACTCAATGTCAGGACAGCCTGGGTTCACTTGCACCAAACCACATCATTGTCTTTCGCACTGACCTGCTTTGTGAAGCTAATGTTGGTTAAGGTGAATCAAATTTTTATGTAACATGATTGTTATAATTCCAATCAAGGCAGATGTGACATTCAGGGTGGGTTGTGAAATTGTTTTAAAATAATCTTTGCCTCAGAAAACACCGGTTTGTCTTTGACTTTATACCATTATTGCTCACAGAAATCTGAATAACACGACACATTGAAAGCAACATGTCATACCCTCGCTTTTAGTAAGATAGCTTAATATTGGTGGCATGCTTACTGGACAATGTAAAATTCATAGCTTGTATTCCAGGGTTAAGGGGTGCTTGATTATAACCGGGCTCATTTTGTTGAATGTCTCCAGTTCCTGACAGGTGGACCTGGTCATTTAACCAAAACATTTCAGACTAAAGGCTGGAGGGTCACTGTAATGCTTGCTGTTGCCAGCCAATGAATGAGTCACCTTGACAGCAATCAATTGGGTAATTTGCGCTTTGTGTATTAAACTCCATTATAGGGATGACTGCTGCATTATGCGAAGCCATCATTTGGAAATAATGGCTTGGGGTCAGACTCAGCCACTGTCAAGTGCTCCGGGACCTACCCCAGAGGAAGGGCTCTATATAAATGCAAGTTGGTGTTGTGGGAAAAGTAGGCATTTATATTGTTATATCAGGAGCAGTTTTGAATCACTGAATAGTCTAATGGTTCCCAATTGTCAGGTCTTGGAAAGGAGAATGACTTTAAAAGGCTGTATCCTTTAAAGCACAAGTTTAATGTACGGTTTCTCCAACTGTGTTCACAAATGGGGAGAAAAATTTCAGGATTTTTTTCTGAATATCAGAAGCACAAAATTGCACCATGCAGTATTGTTGGTTCAACACACCTCGTTCGTATTGTGGTCTATGGTTGTAGGTTTCATTGGTGAAAGGTAAAACATCCAATTGTAGTTTTACCCTATGGTAAAACGACAATGATATTTGTGATAATCCATATTTCATCATGTTCTGCTTCAGATGTCCACACATTTGCTGCATCTTTCTATCTTGACTCATCAAATGGACACTTTCAAATGAGACGTGCCTTTTTCAAACATTGTGGAGGTGAATATTCTTGTTGTTGCGTGTCCTTAGATGTTGTTAAGGAGTTGTAGGGAAGAGAAATTGAACACAAGCAACTCAACCAGTGAGTGTACTGACTCTTAGGATAAAAAATCCTCTTCGTTAAAACCATATAAAATATCACCTGCATTCTTGGGTTAATGTGAAGCTGATCTGTACACCTAATTTAGCTTCTTATTCCCTCCCGGATTTTATATGGTGGTAGCTGAAGTTCAAGCTTCCCAGCAGAGTTTCTCAAGCTAAATGTTCAGTAACTTGTCAAAATATTTTTGCTTTTAGCAATATTCTCCATTTATTTCAGTAGTTAGGTGCAGGAACTGAAAATTGAAATCACACGAGCAGTTCAGAGGCCTACAATTCACTGTTTCTGGCTTTGCTTCATACTCTTTGTCTCCCTTCCCATTCCCTACCACAATGTCCTGTCTGGAGCTCAGCTTCTTTTCTCAGCCTGGTAAAGTATTAAATTCCTGCACAAGGGAGAAATGTTTCAATAGGTGTTAATCCAATTTTTTTTGATTAAGTAAACTGAAAACAATGCACTGAGATACACCAGGGCGGCAGAACCGGCGTGCACAGATTCAGGGGTGCAACGCTGCATTTTCAGGAGAGAAATTAGGAATTTTTTTACCCAGATGGTAATTAACAATTGGAACATGTTACCAGAAAGGTTGGTTGAAGCCAGGATTCTGGACTCATTGAAAAAGCAGTTTGAGACTGTAATGGGAGGACAGTTCTCAAAGCGTAGATGTTCTCAAAGGGTAATGTCAAATGAGCTGAATGGCATCTTCTCATCCAAACCTCTTGTGATCTTTTTCCTTCTTTGGCCTTTGGATACCATCGTTTTAACACAGCACCTTGTGAATTTCATGTTATCACTTGCTTTGGGCTTCTTTGTCACGATCAATGGATACATTGCTCTACTACAGATTTCAACTCCACATCTCCAAAATTCTGCAAATATTTTTAGGAAAGAATAGAATGCAGCAGCCTGAGCTCTTTCTGCTTACGATGTTCTGTTAAGTCCTATGGAACGTCCTCCCAACCTGAAAGGTTCACTTTAAATGCAGATTTGTATTTTTTATAACATTAGGACTGAATCGAGTTCTTGCAGTACCAATCCGGTGCTCTCTTCTGTTGCAATTCAAAAAGAGTCGGTTTTGAGACAAGCATTCAACTTGTCCCTCATCTCCAATGCAGTGGACTTGCTAAACATTTAATAACTTTGTACTTTGTACTCAAGTCCCTTTAGGAAAACATTTGTTGGTCTCTTTCCCCTTCCCCTTTGCAGGTTCTATCCATTCCATGGAGTGCCTTGCCTTTTATTTTTACTTCTCATGTGAAGAACGTTGATTTGTAAGTATATAACTTTAATTTACCAGTCATTAATCCATGTAATACTCTGTTGTGTTTTCTGTGTTATTTCTGAACTGCTACCTCTAGTTTCCACAACTGGTAACATGCATTTAGCAACTATACCAGTTGAGGCAGTGAATCCAGGGCATTAATCATTTGTCTGTGTCAGTGTGATCTATCCCCAAGGCACCCAACTCAGTGCCTTCTCTTTCATTTTGACCCAGTCACAAAGATCTTCAGTTTTCTTCCCTCTAGCAGTTACAAATCTATGTCCATGTCTTATTCCTAATTCCTAGTGTTCATTGTCATTTATTAGGTTATTTTCATAAAGGTAACCTTCCACTTCAAACAAATGCTTTTTAATAGTTTTCCAACGATTAGAGGTCAGACTCATGGGTCTGCAGTTTCTAGGAAAGGCTGTTACCTTTCTTAAATGTTTCCTTCTAGTCTGCCAAGACTTATCCTGATCTTTAGATCAATGAACACTATGATCCCCAAGCCTTGGTTCTTGCCAACGTACACCAAAACTCTCCAGAATTTATGAGCATGGTGCTTCCTTGGTGCAGAGTACATATTCCATATCAGACAAACAGAAATTTCCATAGGTTTGTGAATCTCTCACTTGTATGGAAATTCTTAAGCATGGAGATGGGATTTTGGCTCACCAAAAAGAGATTAATCGTCCATTTAATTCAATCCAAAACATCAATGGGGTAAAGTTTATCTTAGATATATCCAAAGGTATTGTATTGCATTGACCAGTCATTGTTGGTAAAGGAACATTTGGAACATTTTCTACAGTTTTGGACATCTTATCTTGAATGGATTACACTGTAGAGTTTAGTGCAAAATGACAGGAGTAATTTAGGAGGTGATTTGTTTGGATGGTTGTTTGGCAGAAGAATCCATAACAACGCATAAGCTGCAAATTTAGAACAAAGATAATTAGAAATAAGGTCGGAAACTATTTCTTCATACACAGGATTGGGAAGATATAGAACACTTTGCCCCAGAAAGCTGTAGAGGCAGAATCAAAGGGGTTGTTTAAAATAAAGTTAGACGAGGCTTGGATAGCAGAAGTCTTAAGGGTATGGCGAAAGGCCTCAGTGGGCTGAATGGGCTTGTCCTCCATTTTCTTACATTTCTATGAATCCAATGGCCTCCCTCTATGACTTTAATTACAAGGAGATGGAAATTGCCTCTTCAGAAGGGGGCCATTTGGCCCATTGTATCTATGCCATACCTACCTGTTTTTAAATTAATCCCATTTTCCATTTCCCCATATCCCTTAATATTTTTGGTGCTCTGTTGCTTGTCCAGTTGTTTTTTGAACAAGCTTCTGATCCGGTCTCGACAGCCACTTGTGGTAATGAATTCCAAAACAAACATGAGTTGTAATTCTGGTCACCAAACAACAGCCTAGAGATAAAAAGGTAGCAGACGTGACACAGGTCTATGTTGATATAAGCATTAACTTGGACTTTCGAGTGCAAACTGGAAGACACAAGTACTCCTCTCTTCCCCCCCATCTTTCAGCCAATGCATGTTTAGAATTCACACCAAACAAAAATGTTGTTGAATTCATTTTTAGAAACATTTGTCTGCCACACAGTTCTCCTGACTGTAGAATGAGCTTTCAACACTCTGAAAAAATTATTTTAAAAAAATAATAAGCAATTCTATTGCTCCTCAATGCCAAATAAGACATCCCTCATGCCTTCTTTTCCCTCTGCATTGATATCAAACTTTAATGCACTCTTCCTCTCTTCTCTTAACTCTTTAATATCCAGAAAGTAAATATTGTCAAACTCCTCTTTACAGTCAAGGCTTTCAGAATCTGAGTTTGAAGAACACTACTTCTCTGTTACTCCCATGCTCTTTACTACTTTTCCCAACTATGGTGCTCTGCACTACAATCCTTGTGAACTGTCACAATAACTTAGTGACTCCTGCAGTTTTACCAGACTGCAAAAACACACCATTGTAACCGGTAAAAAGAACAATTTTTGAATTCATTTTATTTACTGGAAGTTGTATTGCGCTGCACTGAAATTAGATCACGGCAGGTTTTAACACGTAACATAAAATGGCTGCTTTTTTTATTGATCGATTTATAGACGTGGCACTCAACTTTTTAAACAGAAGATGTAAACGTTTAAAAGCTTGCTCAGAATCCTAAATAATAATAATAATCCTTGCATTTGATTTAGCGCTTTTCACGTCTTCTAGACGTCTCAAATTGCTTCACAGAATATGCTGTAAAGTGAATTGACTTTCCCGCCCGGTGTTGCACCCTTACATTGTGAGGAAATAAGAATCCTTGCATTTGTTATAATGTCTGTCAACGTTGGGTGAACATTTCAAAGTGCTTCACAAGATTTACTGAAAAAGTGTTGTGACTATTTTACAGTCGAGTGTGGCAGTCATTTTGTGGAATATCCCAAATTAAATTTGTAGCAACAATGCCATGCCTTCTGGCTTGTTATGAATAGGTCTCCTTTGAAAATGGACCACAGGGCTACACATTATCCAAAGAAGCAGCGTTTTAAAGAGCATGTACTGTAACTGCCTGCAGCTAAGTCAGAACACTGACCAGATGATTATGTCAGTGTGAAATGTGTGAATCCTTAAATTATGCATTGCTATTAACCTCTTGAGTATGTGTAACAGCGAAGAGTACGACTTCACTTGGAGGGGAGCGGAAGTTGCAAAGGCTTTCAAGAGATGGGTTGAAGTGCTGCCTTGGGGAGGCAGATTGAATCAAGGTTTGCAGGATCTGTCCAAAGGTAGGGCTTATCACCTCTTGCCTGTAATTTGAACCAGGGAACCAGGCAAGGCAGCAGCTACGACTACCATAGCCATGATTAAAGAAGGGATTGTGGACAGCGAGAAACATCTTTTGGTGAAATAATTGCCTATTAAGTTGATCTTTTGGCCAAAATATTTTCACACCAAATACTGTTTGTACAAGCAGATACGAATTTTAGAATCACAGATCCTTTTACAAGGAGAGTTTTTTTGTTGATCAGAAAGGTCATTTGCATATTCTGTAGCTTTATACTGCCCGGTTGAGCAAGAACTCGGTGATTTGGATAACTGAATTTAAATTTCACATCAGCAAGTGAAGTAGGATCAATGTGCCAACGACCTCATCCTACAAGTACCTTTCACCAACGTAGATTTTGTTTTTTAAAATACTTTAGTTAATCTACAGGATATGAAATTTTCTATGTTTTTATATAGAGAATGAAGGGATCCCCAAAGCGGATTAATACAAACAAATCAACACATCACATTTTGGGCTGACTCTATGTTCATTTGCAGCTGTTTCTTGTTTTATTGTGGAGGTGGTTGTGTCAGTGCTGTTGCTCAAGACTTTTGAATTGACAATTGATGGAAAGGGAAGTGAAAGGTTTTGGTGATCGTGGAGCTCTCTTTTCTCCACTAATCCACCCTGCACACCTCACTATTGCCAGCCACCACATCATCATATCCAGTGTAATGATGAAGCTTTTATACTGGACTTAGCGGAGATCATGGAATCCACAGAAACTCGGAAAGGTGGTGATTGTAGACTTCCATCACTGATAAAGATGAATATCCCAAAAGATTATCAGATCAGTCCTCACTGTTCATCTAGCAATAAAGTGTGCTGTGTAAGTGTAGTTGACTTTCAACAAAGTACACATCAAGCAAGGGGGCAAGCTGCAGGTTAAGGTGAGCAACTTTGTTGGGGATAAGGTGGGATACCATGCAGCAGCTTTCTTTAACTTGTGCATCCCTTCATTGTTCTGTCAGATCTGAGCTACTTCTCGAATTAATGCAGTTGATTCTGACGAGAAATGACAGTGATATAAATGATTTTGTATTTTACACAGGCATTATTTTTTATGCTGATCTGAGTGTGTATTTGCATTTTCTGACAATGAAAATGCTTCCATTTTTGTGATAAACTTGTTATTTCATCTTTGTGATTTCAGAATTTATTAAATTGTGAAATAAAAAGGGAGCTGTCTTTTTGTACCATGGTCCTGTCTTGTTTTACTTTGTGAGAAATATAAATTTTTCCATGGTATATAGTTTGACACATGGGGTCTGCGCCCATTGGGGGAGTACAATCCTAACAAGATGTGGGGAGCTGGGGTGGAGAGAGCTTTAAATAAGCAGTGGCCTTACCAAGGGCGAGGAGTGCACCCTCAGTCCCCTGATGTTCTGTCAGTCTGCCTGTCAGATCTCAGGGGCTGGATGAGCGCAAACTTCCTTCAGCTGAACGTTGACGAGATGGAAGCCATACTCTTTGGCTCTCGTCAACGTCTAAAATCTCATGGCTCTCACCTCCTCCACCTACCCGACCTCTCCCTAAAACTCCGAACCCCTACGCAACCTCGGCATCAGGTTCGACCCCCATTATCCTTCCTCCCCCACATCCGGTCCCTCACCAGCACCGCTTTCTTCCACCTCCAACGCATCGCCCGTCTCCGCCAATACCTCTCCCCAAAAGCTGCTGAAACACTGATCCATGCCTTTGTCACCTCTCGGCTGGACTTCTCTAACGCCCTGCTCACCAGTCTCCCATCCACTACCATCAATAAAATCCAAATCATTCAAAACTCTGCTGCCTGCATTTTCACCCGTACGAAACTCCGCTCCCCGATCACCCCAGTCCTTGCCAGACTGCACTGGCTGCCTGTCCCAGAGAGGATCGATTTCAAGATCCTCACCCTTGTATTCAAGTCCCTGCACTCTTCTGTACCCCCCTACCTCTCTGATCTCTCTCCTCAAAACAGTACCCGTTGCCTTCGTTCCTCCGGGTCTGGCCTCCTTATCTCCCGAGTCCTCCGCTCCACCCTCGGCGGCCGTGCCTTCAGCCACTATGCCCCGAGGCTCTGGAACTACCTCACTCACTCCCTTCCCATTTTCAGATCTCTACTGAAGACCTTTCTTTTCGACCGCGCCTTTGGTCACATATCTCCCCGTCCCCCTGGCTCGGTCCCAGGATCCATTACTGTAAAGCGCTCTTGAGACGCCTTCCGGAGTGGAAGGCACTATATAAGTCCAAGTTGTTGTTGTCGAGGAGCAGGGATGCCTTCCAGCACCGTGGCCAGAAGCAACATCTCCCCAACAGTGGCTCAATCAAGTAGCCCCCCCACAAGGAAGTTGAAGACAACAACAAATTGCATTTATATAGTGTCCTTCACACAGGCTAATGTCCTGTAAAGCTTCACAGTGACGGAGTCTGGCGAGCCAGGGGGAGAGGAAGGGGCGGAGGTGACCGTCAGCACGATCAAGAAAGGAAAGTCTTTAGACAGGATTTGAAGGTGGGGAGTGAAGGGGCAACAACAACAAGATTACATTTATATAGGCAGAATGATTGAGGGAGAGAGTTCCAGAGTTTTGGAGCATAGTGGCTGAAGGCATGGCTACTGATGGTAGAACGGAGGGGACGAGGGACAAATAGGCTAGAGGCAATGGGTGGTGGAGTGGGGTGTAAGCAGATTGGATAGATAAGGAGGTGCGAGGGTATTAAGTGATTTGAAAACGAGTTAGAGGATCTTGAAATCAATCTGTTAGGTAATTGGGAGCCAGTGGAGTCTGACAAGGACTGTGTATCAGCTGTCCTGCTGGCGAGTGAGCATCAGGACTAAATTCCATGGGCTTAGATTAGAATTTAAATGGAACAGATTTGGATCTGCACATCCCTTATTGTTGGTGTTTCCCATATGTTTGATAATGCTACTGTTTTCCCACAACACCACGTCCTGTAATGTTGGTGCCAGGAGTGGGATTTTTTGATGACGCAGCTCACAGGATTGGTGAAAGAAGCAGATAACACCAACCCATTCACTTCCCAACCCCCGGTTATAGTAATGCTTGATCATACCAAGGAGAGTGACACACTTTCATCAGGAGATTTATTGGAGATAGTGTGGCAGTCTGAGGCTTGAGTACTGAGCCAATGGGTTGAGATGGGTACTACTGATTAGGTGAGGCTATTATGGAGTGGAAAATTATATGTGTATGGTACAATATAGATGATTGTGACCACGACACAAATCCTTTGGCACCTAAATTTCAAGAGTTTCAAGGGGAAGAACAAAGAGTAAGATTCCGAACAGACTTTTTGTACAAACCAAATTTTTAAAAATCATTTTTAGTTTACCGTGACATTGGCTGGATAGTTGCACTATTTTTCCACTACACTAAATTCTACAATATACCAAATAAATCCCTGGCGTCTACAATTCTACAACATTGCTAAATCAGTTCTTCGTTTTCTGTGTTTGGTGGCACAGTCATAGGTTTGTCAGCAGAAAGATTGTGAGTGAAATTCCTTCACTCAGAGCGTTATCAATGCACATAGATATGGTGTTGGGAGAGCTGCAGATGGATGTACAGGAACAGCTGTAAGGATCAGTGAGGAAGCAGTGGACAACAGGTGAAGTTTAAAAGGAACGATGTGGAGCTCGCTTTCAGACTGAAATAACAATGAGAACTGGACTAAATTAAATGAATGCAGTTTTGAGGACTGAATCTAAGCAACTAAAGATAACCAGTCAAGCCAAAGCATTTACATCTTTTATTGCCAACATTAAAATTTATAGGGAGAATGATTGTTGCATATAATAATCGTAAATATGGATAAAGCTATTAAAAATACAAACCGAGTCCTGAACTCTATTTGCCAGGATGTGGAGGGATTTATATACAAATGTGAGGATCTTAAAATAAATCTGCTCTGTGACAGGACCAATGGAGTTGGAAAAGGACTGGGGGTAATGGAGCTACGGAGTTCATTGCGTTGTGAGAATGTGGGCGGTAGAGTTTTGAATTAGTTGAAATTTGTGAATAGTGGAGCAGGGGAGACCAATGAGGAGGGCATTTGAGTAGTTGAGGTGGGAGGTGCCAAAGGTGTGTATGAGGATTTCGGAAGCGTTTGAGTTACGGACGTAGACAGGCAATTTGGCAGAGGTGGAGGAAACCAGTGCTGACCAGGGAAATGTAGTGGCAGCGGAGGTCCTGACCAGGGCAAAGTGGTGGAGGTCCTGGCCAGGGCAATGTGGTGGAGCTGGGAGTGCAGGTCCTGGCCACGGACTGGTTGTGAGGCATGAAGGATAGCTGGGGATCAGGGAGGGCGAGGCGGTCTGAGTTAGGGAGCGATAGGGGAGGGTGAGGAGGTCTGAACCGAGAGAAGATGTTGACGAGGGCCAAACAGTATGGCTTTCGTCTTGTCAACATTCAGCCGAAGGAAGTTTGCACTAATCCAGGACTTGATGCCTGTCAGATAGGATGACAGACCATCAGCGGATTGGGAGTCACAGCTGGAGGAAGATAAGTAGATTTGGGTATCATTCGCATTCATATGGAAGTTGACTCCATGTCTGTGGATGACTTGGCTGAGAGGAGCATGTAGATGAAGAAAAGAAGGGGGCCAAGGATAGAGTTGGGATGCACCGCAGGTCACCAGGCAGGGATGAGAGGAAAAATCATTGGCTGAGATGAATTGCTGGCGGTTGGTTAAGTTGGACACAGCAATGCGAGTGCGGTCCCACTAAGGTGGAGGAGGGAGGAGAGGTGGTGGAGGACTGTATCGAACGAAACGGAGAAGTCCAGGAGGACAAGGAGGCAGAGGGAGTCCTGCTCACAGACAGAGGACATTATTTGTTACTTTGACGTGCGCTGTCTCTGTGCTGTGTGCTGGGCAGTAACTGGACTGGAGGGGTTCAAGTAGGGAGTGGAGGGCGAGGTGTGAGCGAAGTGTGGGCTTTGGCCAGGAAGGGCAGGTTTGAAATGGGACGGTAGTGCACGAGGTTGAAGAGATCGAGAGTTGCTTTTTTGAAGGGTGTGATGACAGTTGTTTTGAGAGGGAGTGGGCCTGAGCCTGAGGAGAGGCTAATTTATCGTGTCTGTCAGCAGTGGGCAGAGGAGGGGAGTTGGGGCAGCAGCTGGGTGGGGTGGGGGTCATGGCAGCAGATGATGGATTTCATGTGGGTGATGGAGGATGAGAGGGAGGAAAGAGAGATAGGCCTTTGTAGGAGCCGTGGGAGCAGAAGTGTGATGGGGAAGGAAAGTGGGTGGGGGGCTGGGGGGATATGGGGCAGGAGGAGGAAGTGGTCAGGTGGATGTTGTCTATCTTCGAGATAAAGAAATTCAAGACCTCTTTGCACTTGGCATTAGATGTTAGGATTGAGCATGCTTGATGGGGAGCGTGGAGGAGGTGGTTGGTGGTGGAGAATAGGATTTGAGGGAACGGAGATGACTATTGTACCGGGGGAGTGGGTAGGTTTGAAGATGATTCTGGATTTCAGGGGAACAAAGGAATTAGGAGAGGCAATCGTTTAGGAACTTGACGGCTGCATCAGGATCGCTGTGAGTGGAAGGCCAGCGGGAGAGAAGATCTGAAGATGAGAGGGCATTTGTGAGGGACTCGGGCGGAAGCTTTTTCCATGGTCAGAAAAAGATGGAATAGGGCTTGGGGGAGGGCAGGAGGATATGGGAGGAGAAGGAGATAAAGAAGTGGTCAGAGATGGCCTTGTCCATGATGGACAGACCATGGAGATGAGAGGAGACCTGATTAAGGTGTTAAAAAGTATGAATGGGTACAATAGCAAAAGCATTTACATTATTGGCACTTGTAGGAATGTTCATAACAATAGGGCATCATTTAATTATTAATTACTATTTGGTGACCTTCCCCGTAATATGCACTGTCCGGTTTGAAGGTAAGCAAGCATAGGAATGCTGAAAATCTGCCACCCATTTTTCTGTTGTATTTCAAGAAACTGTTCTTGTCGTGGTTCTATTTCACTTAGTTTCTGTTGCCTGTGACCACTCAAATCGCTGCTCTGTTGTAATACAGGCAAGAGAGCTGAGGATGTGGGTGGCGGTCTGAACCCCCTGACTTTAATCATGGATTGGCATCTTTTACTCCCTCCCACTTTGTCGTTTCTCTCTTGTGTTCTGTGTCTCAAGATGGGATCTGCTTCTCTCTGTCCTCAGGTTTCAGTTTCGATACTTTATTCGCACAGATGAGAATAAGTGTGAGGAACCAGAGGCTCCAACCAATAGCAGCGAGGATCCAACCATTTTCATCCATCCCTGACTGGCAGCAGAAGTGTGCCCTCGTGCACATGTCCAGACCATTCTCAGCATCTGAGCAGAAGGAAATGTAATTATAGCTTCCCTTATTAAAGCAGTTCAATATGATTGAATTTAGGTGAATATTGACTGATCCACATTGAGACTTTTTAACCACAGAATTCGGTAGCACAGAAGCATTTTATTCAGTCCCAATCTATAAACTATTAATATATGTCCAAAGAACAGAGGCTTACTGCATTGTTACAATCCATTTCCCATTTTTTCCCAAGAGGTTGAAGTGACACTGCTGCCACTGAAAACAAGTTATGGTCAAAGAGGATTTGTGAATTTATGCTGATTTATTTTATGTGGGGAGGGGAGGAAGAAGATGTTCAGTACGATGAACATGCCAACATAATAACCACTGATTATTTCATAATGCTGTTTGTCTTTTAGGCCCTTCAGCAAAAGATTGCTTTAAAATTCTGTGTCTATAATGGAAAGGATACATCTCAACTAGTGGATGGAGGCTGTTCAGAGTGTGTGTTTTTTTCATGTCTCAAATTATGCCACGTCTGTCTTGAGTCGATGGGACAGGTAAATGGAAAAACTGAGTGAAGTCTTTGGACCATTTGAGGAGAGAAAGCCAGGAGCTGGATCAAAAAAAAATTGAACTAGAATCAATATGAGATTGACAGTTTGATAGACTGACGTTCATATTGATTCTAGTTCAATTTTTTTCTCTCCTCTTTTTACAAAATTCTCCTTTCAGGAAAATCTTGGCAAGCGGGGGAAGCTAATCTTGTATGTTGGTGTGGGTATGTGGGGGAAAATGTTGTCTATCGAGGAAAGTTGTTACATTCAAACTGGAGATGAGTTTGGGGAATTTTTGTAAGATAGGGTGTTGAGGGAGTGTCTATTTTCCAGCATGGGGAAGGCAGACTGAAGATTGATGACGGGTTAGGTTTAGTATGACCTGGGGAGAGAATTAGCTGAAACAAGGTTGAATTTATTCTGGCAGAGAGCAATAAGATTCAGGAATCCATTCCATCATGGAAAAAATTGTTGACGACTTGGAAAAAAATGCAATTTTTTGTCGACTTACGTAGGTTGTCGATATAAATAGGTTTGAGATAAATGGGTAGCATTGTAAAAATAATCCTTTTTGTTAAAACAACTTTAGGAGTAGGTTAGTAACTGCCTTTTCCTTTGGTTAAGAACATTGTGATAAAGAATTCATGCACACATATTTCTGTGACATTTCCCGTAAATTTACATTATTTCAAAATTGTAGTGAACAAAACAACCAATACACTGAAATACTCCCACCAAGCATTTCAAAATGAACTTACGTGCTCTGCTACTTGAAATGTTTCCAGTAAATGATTTGCAAACTTTCTTAGAGGTAAAAGCATGCGTCAACAGATGTGTGCTGGAGCCCTGTAAGTGAATACCACACTTCAGTGCAGTATTTCACTTTCAGTATTGCACGTTTTGCCCACGAAATGCACGGTCAATCCACTTTACAATATATTCTGTGAAGCGCTTTGAGATGTCTCACAATGTAATAAGGCGTCATATCAAATGCAAGTATAATTATTATTATTGATGGAATGCCACATTATCAAGTGATGTCAGAGATCCATGGCCTACACTAGCCAACAATCCTGCTGAAATTGTCATTCGCTTCAGGGATATTGTGAAACCTTGCTGTGTGCAAACTGGCTGTATTTTCTCGCAGTATTTATCTGTGAAGCACTTTGTGATGTTTCAACATGATAGATGCTATACACTACACAGAACTCCATCCTGCACAAGTCTCTACCCCATCCTCACTGCCAGAGTGACTTGCCAACAGTATAACTGGTGTCGTACTGCGCACATGAGCACATCTAGCATTGTGTCTAAAACTTAATAGCAGTGTTAATCCAGTCACTGTATGTTTTGGTATATAATCCAGTCGCTGTATATTTTTGTATGTGACTGAGTCATACAATCAACTGTGATGAGTTACCAACAGAGCTAGATGTGGGGATGAACAATTAATTGTCACTGTGCATTGCAATGTATGTTCTATATGAGTTTTGGATTTTATCTATGAAGTGCATGTTGGTGAGGGGACGAGGTAGACAATTTGCCTTATTTCTACTGTCACTCCAAGAGAAGAGTATCTGCAAATCTTAGGCCAGATCAGTCCAAGAGAAGGGCACCTGTTCCATGGCAACTCATTCTAAAGTGATACCAAGTTAAGTAGGGTAGTAAATAGTGAAGAAGATTGTGATGGACTGCAAGCAGACATAACAGAATGGTGGAATGGGCCGACATGTGGCAGATGGATTTCAATGTAGATAAGTGCGAGGTGATACACTTAGGTAGGAAAAATGATAGGAGGCAATATAGGCTTGGTAGCTCAATCTTAGGGGGGTGAACGTACAGAGAGATCTGGGCGTTCAAGTAAGCGATTCATTGAAGGTGGCAGAGCCGGTAGATAGGGCAGTAAAAAGGGCATTTGGTATACTGAGCTTCATTAGTAGGGGCATAGAGTATAAGAGTAGGGAGGTTATGCTTAATCTGTACAAAACACTGGTTAGTCCTCAGCTGGAGTACTGCGTCAGTTCTGGGCACCTTACCTCAGGAAGGATATTAAGGCACTGGAAAGTGTGCACAGGAGATTCATGAGAATGATACCAGGAATGGGGAAGCTTAGCTATGAGGACAGGCTGGAAAAGTTAGGACTTTTCCCATTAGAGCAGAGAAGGTTACGCAGGCACCTGATAGAGGTCTTCAAGATCATTAAAAGTTTCGACAGGCTAGATAAGGAAACGCTGTTTCCGCTAGTAGGTGTGTCTGTGATTCGTGGTCACAGTCTTAAGATATCTACCAAGAGGAGCAGAGGGGAGGTTCGAAGAATTTTTTTCACTCAGCGAGTTGTTAGAATTTGGAATGATCTGCCTGAAAGGGCAGTGAAGTCCGATTCCATAACAGCTTTTAAGAGAGAACTGAGTAGGTATCTGGAGAAGACAGGTTTGCAGGGTTATGGGGAGAAAGCTGGTGAGTGGGGTTAATAAAAGTCAGTTGCTCTGTCAAAGAGCCGGCACAGACTCGAGGGGCCGAATGGCCTCCTTCTGTGCCGTAACATTCTATGATTCTATGATTCTATGAAAGAATGAGCACTTACATGACTCAGACCAGCTCAATCAAAGGAAGGGAAACTGCATGAGTAAAGGTGCCAGTTGCAGGTCTGTGCTGTGATAGCTGAGCTCACCCACACAGCAGTTTAGGTCTCAGTGGATCCCGAAGGGCTGAATGATCCATTTCCACGCACACACAAATGTATACACTCACAGACAGAGAGACATACATAAACACACCGCTATTCACTTACAGACAGATACACAGACACACACGCGCATACATTCACAGACAGAGAGACAACCAAGACCCAAGAAAACAACTAGCATTTAAACAACACCCCCTTAAGCAGGATAGCATCCCCGAGTGCTTTGACAGTGGTGGAGCACAACACCTAACTGGGCGTAGGGGGATGTGGCACGGTCGAAGACGAAGGTCTTCAGGTGCGACCTGAAGATTGGAAAGGGCAAGGCAGAGGGATAGAGGAAGAGTCTTCTGAAAGTGCGGCTACCTATGGGACAGAAGGCACAAGGGACATGCAGAAGGCCATAGCTGAGGCAGCGGGTAGTGGGTTGGGGAGTAAGCAGATCGGAGAGGTAGTGAGATGCCAGGGCATGAAAGGATTTGAAAAGTGTGAGGATCTTGAAATCGATCCGTTTGGCAACAGGGAGCCAGTGGAGCCTGGCAAGAACTGGTTGATGGAGGTACGGAGTTTAGCATGGGTGAGTGTGAGGGCGGTGGAGTTTTAGGTGGATCCAGTGCATGGAGCTGGGGAGACCAGTGAAGACGGCATTTGAAAAGTCAAGTTGGGAGGTGACGAAAGATGGTTGAGTGTTTCGGCTGCATCTGGTGTAAGATACGATCAACCGCAGGCAATGTGGCAGAGGTGGAGGAAGGAGGTCCTAGTCAGGGGACTGGATGTTGGGGGAAGGAACGGTTCGAACCCGCCGCCTAGGTGGCGCACCTCAGTTAGCCTGATGGATAGGTTGGGGTGGTTGAGGAGGTCAGAGCCGCAGGATAGAAGATGTTCATGGGAGCCAAGAAGTATGGCTTCCATCTTGTCAATATTTAGTTGTAAGAAGTTTGCGCTCATTCCAGGCACTGATGTCTGACAGAATTGGTGGACCTGGAGTTGCAGCTGGAGGAGGAGACCCAGCTGTCTGTGTCTCACAGACAGAGACACATACATACACACTCCCAGACAGAGGGTGAGACACACACACACACTCCCAGATAGAGGGTGAGACACCACACAGACTCCCAGACTGAGGGTGAGACACACACACACTCCTAGACAGAGGGTGAGACACACACTCACTCGCAGACACACACTCACAGAGAGAGACACACACACAGATTCGCTCACTCACAAGACACATTCAGACACTAACAGACAGAGAGAGACTCACAAAATACAGAGGAGAGAGGAAGACACACAGACAATCTCAACAGAGAGGCCTCGGGATGAGCGAAGCCCATTTCCCTGCTCGCATTGCGCATAAGCGTCAATAACTCACAGAATCGGCGTCGAACAAACAGCCATCAACAGCGTGCAGAGGCCCGGGGCCGAGCTCACTGTATTTATAGGTTTGTAGCGGATGGGGGTGTTTGTGGTGGATTCCGCAGAAAAATTCCAGCCATACTTTTCTATTGACCAGCTGCTCACTCTCCATAGATCCCCTCCCCCACTTCAACATGCTCCAATGTGGACATGGTATGAGGATAAAATCGAGCTGTCGTTCCCCCCAATTCTATAGCATGACTTGTTCTCAAGCATCATATGTAAGTAGTGGCCACTGGGGTTACAAGTGGAATCTTCCCCAGGTAAATGGCTCTCTCCAATTGCTGGAAGATGTGCAGAGGGTGAGGGCAGGTTTGGGCTGTGATGTCCCATTGGGAACAGCTAGTTTGTTGAGCCTGTGCATGTCCTTATTATTTGCGTGAATATTGGCATGAGATGTACAGATAAACCTTAACCTGTGGAGGGTGAGGCCCATCCATATCCCTCTTCGTTTCCACCCAGCACACACCCTCATCGCTGTCTGGCAGCTCTTGTCATTCCAGAAGCACAAAGCTCACAGTAATTGATCAAGACAAGCACTATTCAGAGAAATCTAATTGCTTAGAATCATGGAATTATACAGTGCAGAAGGAGGCCATTCGGCCCATCGTGTCTGTGCCAGCTGAGCTTCCAAATCATTCCCACTCCCCCGCTCTCTCCCCTTAGCCCTGTAAACTTGTCCTCCACAAATAATTATCTATGATAAAGTATTTAAGGAAGATCTTCTGATATGATTAGTGGATGTACTCACATTGCTGACAGAGATCTTGGCTGCGGTGACTGGACTCTGTTGAGGTGGATTGAAGATCAGATACAGAGACAGGTTCTGTAAATAATTAGAAATTCCTTCAATTTCCTGAGACGTGTTTGAGAACTGATTAAAACGTGGTTTGTGAGAGTGTCCGTGCACTTACCAGCACAAGCAGAATCCAGGCGCAGGCAAATCAACAGCCAAGCAACTGCGAGCATGTTGCAGGCAGGTCTGAGAATCATGGTGTGGAGGAGTCCAAAGCACTGCTTCAGGTCTGACTTTCCAGTGTCCTGCCCTTCACACCATTTCTTTAAAAAGTTCATATTTGACTCCTCCTTTAAACTTGCCTCCAGGAGCCGTTTCCATGCCCAGCCACAGAGTGGAAATGAATTAGCTGATCATTCAGGCGTGTCAGAGGTTATTGCAGATCAAGGGTACCCACGCATTACAAATATCCAGAGGAGCTGTTTGTCCAAATGACGCTCTGTTGTGTTCTTGTTCAAAATTGTAACCTTAAGTGTTTTGTGAGCAAAATGTAGTAGAAATAATAATAATCCTTGCATTTGATATAGCGTCTTATCATGTTGTTGAGACATCTCAAAGCGCTTCACAGAATATACTGTAAAGTGGACTGACTGTGTACTTTGTGAGCGAAACACAACAACAACAAGATTCCATTTATAGAGTGCCTTTCACGTCGGGAGGACGTCCCAAGGCGCTGTACAGTTGGGTCAGGACCCGAGCCTTGGGGGGAAAATGGTCAGGGTGAGGGGAGGGAAGGGAGGGAACGAGGAGGGGGGAAATGGTCAGGGTGAGGGGAGGGAAGGGAGGGAGCGAGGAGGGGGTAGAGAGTCAAGAGGGGAGCTGAAGGTACGGTCAAAGAGAAAGGTCTTGAGACCGGCCTTGAAGGAGGAAAGGGAGGAGGCGGCGAAGGCATTGGGGGATGGAGTTCCAGAGCCTAAGGGCTGAGAGGCTGAAGGCCCGGCCACCGATGGTAGGGCGGTTGGGCGGGGGATATGGAGCAGACCGGAGCCAGAGGAACGGATGGTACGGGCGGGTAGGTAGGGGGCAGCCAGTTGCGCACAGCAATATCCCACAAACAACTATGGAGTGAGTGACCAATTTTTTATTTTGGTGGATTGTTGACCAGGAAACTGGGTGGGGAAACTCCCTTCTTTTTTCGAATAGTCCCGTGAGATCTTTAACATCCACCGGAACAGGCAAATAGGACCTCAGTTTTAATGTCTCATGCAAAGGACGGCACCTCCAGTAATGCAACATCCCACCCCCAGCACTGCTTTGGAGCATTAACAGACTTTGTGATTCCAAGTTACGAAGTGGGTATTTGAACCCCCAACCTTCAGACTCAGAAAAATGAACATTGAAATTCCACAGATTTACACCTAACTATGATTATTTTGAAAAACAATGTCCTCCAAATATCTTCCAGCCATAATGGCCACTGCAGAACGCTGGGTATATATACACACACACACACACTGCTAAAATATCAGTGTCTTAATTCTGATTTGTCCACTGACTCTCTGCTGCTTTCTTTTCCAGCTTCAGATATTTTGAGAGTTCAATTCTGCAAGTTCATTCTCTTTCCGTTTTATTTATCGGTAAAGCTGCAGATTTCATACTTGTGAACATGGCTGCTGATTTGCCGACACACACAAACACACATGTGTGGCCATGCTCACACAACACATTTGCAGCAGCTGTTTATGTCTGTTTAGAAAAGAAATTTCTCATTGTCTGGGCCTGGCCTGGCTGCATCTGACAAATTACCTGTGGTGTGACACTGAACCCAGTCACCAGCACCCAGTGATTGAACTGCTGGTCAAAAACCCACAACTTGTGGTGTTGCAATTGTATAGTCTATTTATTTCAGAATTCTATTGTCCAGTTTCTTACCAGTATTCCTTCCAGTTTCCCCTGCTAAACAGATTTCTCATTGCAGCACAAACAGCCTGGGAGTGAATGACCCAATTTTATTTTTGGATAAAAAAGGGAAAATCCTGAAAATCTGAAATAAAAACAGAAGTCGCTGGGATCACGCAGCAGGTCAGGCAGCATCTATAGAGAGAGGATTTTTTTTTTTACAAAATATACATTTATTTGTTGATATATATTTAGGCTCATCTCAGACAGTATCAAACCTGTTACAGACAAAAACAACATGTTATTATCCCATTACAGGATGCAACAGACCCGGCCCCTTGTGGCAGGGGGGGTTGCCTCTGCACACTCCACTATGATGAAGGGATCTAGGCTTCCCCGCCGCGGGGTTCTGCACCCTTTGTAGAATGCAGTTACAAATGGGGTGTTGTACCCCCCTCCCTTTCCTCACCCTTCTTAGTGGGGAGTGTGGATAGCACACAGGATGCATACACGGGGATGCTCCCTTTAAGAGAATCGGGAATAGCCCCTGTGTGCACTACATCCACGTGGAGAGAGGAGAGTTGTTAATGTTTCAGGTTGAGGACCTTTCATCAGAACTGGGGGATGTTGGAAGAGACCAGATTATAGGGACAAGCAGAGAAGGGGACAGGTGAGAAAGACAAAGGAAATATTTAGGTGGAGGACAGAAGATGATGAGATCAGAGGTGTTGATGGTGCAAGACAAAAAAAGGCAATAGTGGGAGATTATAGAAAGGAAAGATGCATCTAAGACACAGAGGATGTGTGAATGGTAATAGAAGAGGGGGAGGGTGGGGGGAGGCTAAGAAGATGGGAACTGTTTTTAAGGTCCGAAGCTCCTATCTTCTCTCAGCTTTGCCTCCCTCCTCCACCTCTTCTATAACCATTCACACAACGTTCTGGCTACACTGAGCCAAGCTGACACACGATAGCCAAGCTGTAGGATGGATGTTCTGGAAGGATGAGATTAGATGGACCAAAGTGCCCTCTTTAACCAAACTAATTTTATAATCCTGTGCGGTTAAGTGAGTCCAGCATCCTGGCTCCAACACCGCTGCCAGATTAGCCAGTCCCACTCTTGATTGCCCTTAGGGTAAAGAAATACTTCTGTCCTCTGTCCTAAAATTGTCTTTCACATCCCATCACCACTGAAATGTCATTGTCAAAGAGTGAAAGAGCCTTGGGGGGGACACACACTATCAAAAGAGAACATCTCAGTGAATATTTATTGTGTTTTGTAATGTTCTGCTGAATGACTTCTCTTGCCCTTAATGTGATGACCATTGGTGTGTGACTCTGCCAGGCATTAGACACACTAAGTTGATAAACTCCCTTCTGAATGTTCACATCACGCTCAGTGTGAGCAAATTGAATACAGGGAAATGGCGAGAAACTTCAGAATTGCTCAATCTTGGAAAAGTCAATAATGATTAGGCAAGTTTACTTTTACTAATCCAGATTCATTCTTGTTTAATCATCCAGGTTGCTTTAATACTACTAATAATACAAGCAGTGTTCAGGACAAAGGGAATTCTGAAATAATGTGGTGCTTTACCATCTTGTGAAAGTCTCAACCTCACCTCCCAAATTCCTCACAGTCAGTGTTTATACACTGTAGTTTACAAAATATCATGATACCATGACAACAATCTGTAGTATAGAGTTTCCCTTCAGTTTCATGATGAAAGCGTTACTTTGTTCTTTGTTAAATGTGGCCTTTCTCATTTGAGTCTTAAGTAATATTCTTTACGTTTGATTTATAGTGCCTTTCCTGTTAGGAGAATGTCTCAAAAGTGTTTCACAATACATATTGTAAATGTAACTGTATTTTGTAGGCAAACGTGCTAGCCAAGGGAATTCTGAAAGAATGTGGTTCTTTATCGTGTGCATGTTGCAACTTCACCTCCCACACACCTCACAGTGAGTATTTATACTCTGTGGTTTACAAAATATCAGATAAGCACTGTGTTCTTTGTCAGGGTTACCGATTCTTATTTCCCTTGGGCAGGAGGAAGCACTTTTAGGTAGCTCTCCTATTGGTGTCCTAACCAACAATCTCTCAAATAAAATTGGTCATTCACTTCATGGCTGTTTGTAGGATATCAGTTGGCACATTTGGCTACAAAAATACTCATTCACTGCATTAAAATCCTGAGACAGTGTGAAAGATGCAATATCAAATGCACGAATTATTATTGTTTGGAATGATTTATACTGTATCATACAAGTATAATCAAGCATTTGTGTTTTTGTATGAAATATGTTAATAAGGTTTGTATTTGGTCAACTTCAGTTTTATGGAGCAAACCTAAAAAGGGAAACCGAGAGAGGAAACGTGATTCAATAAAGCTGAATAACTGCAAAAGATTAACCATAGTTTCCTGTGAACACGGAAACCTCTAATTAGGTTTCCGTGTTACCCACAGCACAGAAACAGTCCTGGTCAAAGTCACTAAACAAATTCTGTCCATCTGCGACCATGATTCTCTCTCCTCCTCGACCTCTCTGCTGCCTTCGACATGTTGATCATTCTATCCTATTCCATCACCTCTCCTCTCAGCTCAACCTTCACGGATCTGCCCTTGTCTGGTTCAAATCTTACCTCTCCCACCGTCTCCACTTTTGTCTCCACTTTTGTTTCCACTAAAGGCTTCTTTCTCCTCCAGCCCCACACCATTGTGTCGTGTCTCTCAGGGCTCTGTCCTTGGTCCTCTCCTTTTCAATATCTGCATGCTCCTCCTTGGTGACATCATCCATAGACATGGGATCAACTTCCACGTGTATGTGGATGACACCCAACTCTACCTCTCTGCTGCCACCCTCTACTTCAGGAGCTCTCCTCACAGACTGCCCGTCAGACATCAAATCTTGGATGAGAGCTAACTTTCTCCAGTTGAATATTAACAAGACTGAGGCCCTCTTGCTTGGCTCCCATCAGTGCCTCCTCAGGTGTTGACAGCATCGCCCTCCATGAATGCACTCTACGTCTCACAGAGCCAATATGGTCCCTTGGCATCCAGTTGGACCCTCAAATGACTTTCACACCCCACATCCATGCCATGACCTGCTCTGCTTTTCCCCACCTCCACAACATTGCCTGGCTCCGCCACTTACTCTCACAGGCTGCCGAGACGCTCATTCTCATGTTCATCACATCTAGGCTTCACTACACAAACTCCATGCTTGTCAGCCTCCCCAACTTCTCCCTCCATGGCTGAAGATCATCCAGAACTCTGCTGGCTCCCCATCACTCAGAGGATACAGTTCAAGATCCTGATTCTCACCTTCAAAGCCCTCAACGCCCTTGCTCCTCCCTACCTCTGTGACTTCCTATGAACAACCCCCCGCCCCCCCACCACGAACCTATCTGCTCCCTCTGCTCAGCGGGCTCCAGCCTGCTTCATGTCCTTGCTCACCCATTGGCAGACAGGCCTTCAGCTCTCTGCCCCCATCCTCTGAAACTCAATCTCACAGTCCCTCTGCCTCGCCCCCTCCCTTGCATCCTTCAAGGTCTATCCCAAGACCTCCCTCTTTGACCATGCCTTCGATCATCCTCCTACCCCTACCCTCCCCACCCTGCATCCCTCTTGATTCCAAACCACCAGTTCGGGTGTGGATCCCTAAGTGTCTGGCGCCTTTGGACATCCTCCTGACATGAAAGGCACTCTGCAAATGTAATTTATTGTTGTGAAGGGAGAAAAATACTGCCTGAACCATCATGGCCTCACAAATGTTCAGTCAACCTTTGCTTTTGTCTTGTGTGAGCGGATTGGCAGTGCTGAGCCATGCAATTAATTCTGGTGCCTCAATGCCATTGTGTCAAATCAGAGATCAGATCAAATTACAAGCAGTTAGGATTGTAGTTCAGGCGAGGTTAAGATCCGGCCCAGACTATGTTAATGCCGAGGTTGGAGAAGAGTTAAGATCAGGCCAAAACACAGTTAAAATTGTAGTTGGGAGGAGTCAAGATAGGGATCAGGTAGAATACCAATACCCTCAGTGACCTTTCTCATACCCTCAGTGATCTCTCCCATACCCTAAATGCACCTCTCTCGTACCCTCAATGCATTTATTGTATTCTAGTATATTCTCTTCTTGAACTCTATGCATATCTTCTCACCCCAATTTACCGATCACTTAACCTCAGTGCATCTATCTCACACCCTCACTGCATCACTCAGTGTTCTTCTTGAACTCTCAGTCCAACCCCTCTTTTGTCCTCTTTGCACTTCCCTTTGCAGATCTCGCAAACAGATTCCAATATGATTAACACTTTCTGTGACTAGTGTGATGATTCCAGCAGTCAAAAGGTTAACTCTGCATTTCACAAGTCCCTTCCTTACAGATCAGGGAGGTGTGGCTGTCAAGTAGATGTGTGTGGAAGCAAACGAAATAAGGCAAAACAGTGATCATGCCCAGCATAGCAATCTCATTTGAATGGGAGCACACAGAACCTTGGTACCAGGCAGGCATCTCCAGCTCCCTCTTGCTGACTCGTTGCACCTCTGCTCACTATTAACTCCGCACTCCACTCGCCTGAGCTCGTTCCAAGCGCTTTGTAGCCAACAAACAGTGCAGCTTCCTCTTATTGCCGATGGTTACAGGCAAACTGAACTAAAAGACCCTCTTCACAACAGTAAGTCCTAACAAGTATACGTTTTCTTTAGAAGCTTACTTTTCAATCATTTGCAGTTGCTCAGCTTTTCGTATCATCAGAACAGCTTCACAGGAATTTTGTAACTTGTAGCATATTTGTGGCTGCGGCTGGTTAAGGTTTTGTGAGGTAAGGACAGGTATCTTTCAGCATATTTGAGTTTTAACTGTGTGAGGTAGTGAGTTCTTCACGAGAGGTGAGAGTGAGGTTAACACTGCGCATGTTTAATGGTGTGAGCACTTCAGGTGTATAGTTTAGTTCAAGTGCAGTGCAACAATTTTGTGCCCTCGATGTATTTCTTTTTCCCCCCTACCTCTCGCGCTCTAGGGTGCCTCTTGCCCCTACCGCCCCACCACACCCCATGCCCTCGGTACACCCTAGCCAACAAGTCCAGATAAATCGTTCATCTCCTTCAGGGCACACTGGTTCATGAATATTCTTCCCTCTGTATGAAAAATGTGCTGAAACTGAAGAACACTAAGAGTCGCCTGGTGTAGCCTTTATTTTCAGGCGGTATTGACTGAAGGATGTCCTCAATGAGGCTTAGTTAAAGGTAACACAGTCCACAAAACACGCAGTCACTACATTTTACAGTATATTGTGAAGCGCTTAGACATCTTGATGTGATAAGACGCTATATCAAATTTAACGATTATTTTATTATTACCTTTAAAGGCAATGATAGTATTATTTACCAGCTAAGTTCATGCATCTTGCTACCATCCTCCAGTCCAAAGCTTAGACATGCATCCCTACCCATTGAGTGATGGTTCCACCAATAGTGGAGGGCAGTATTGAGAAGCAGCTACTGTATATACATTCATGTTGAAGTCCTAATATTTTGTAAAAAGTGCCAGGAGAATAAAATAAGTAGAAAGTGGGTACCTGAACCAAAGACAAGAAATGTTTGCTGTAAATAAGCTCTGTTGTATTGTGTTGCTCTGAAATGACATCTATTAACCTTTATTAACCTGAAGATAGTGATATCCTTTAACGTTTCTGTTCAGCGAGGGAGGATGGCGTCGCTCTTCCGAAGTGAGGAAATGTGCCTGACGCAGCTGTTTCTGCAGGTGGAGGCTGCCTATTGCTGCATCGCTGAGCTGGGAGAGCTTGGCCTTGTGCAGCTTCGAGATGTAAGTCTGTCACTGTTCACTCGCAAATCGTACACATTTACAGCTCAGAAGGAGGCCATTCTCAGAGCAAGCTACTCATTTAATCCCACTGCCCTGCCCTATTCTCATATCTCTTCAATCCTCTATCCTTCATAGACTTGTCCGCTTCCCTTTTGATACCCACCTTACTTGCCTGATTCAACATCCAAACAGCCTTGAAAAAAGTGTCTCCTTTAGCTCTTCCAGTGATTATCTTAGTCACTCACTCCCTGACCAGTGAAAATAGCTTCACCCTGTTAACCTGTCAAAACCCCTCATAACATTGTGTACCTCTATCAGGTCCCTTCTAAACCTTCTCTTCAATATGCACTTTTTTGCAAGACGGAAGCGCCCTGCTTACCTACTTCTACGAAGTATTAGGTGTAGCTTGGCAAGAGCAAGGGCAGGCACCACAGAGTGTGTGTTGTAGAGCTGTTGGTGTTTAACCAGCTAAAATCACGCATCTTGCCACCATCCTCCAGTTCAAAGCTTGGACATGCATCCCTACCCATTGAGCGATGGTTCAACCAGTTGGAGGGCAGTATTGAGCAGCAACTACTAGATATACATCAGTGTTGCAGTCCTAATATTTTGTAAAAAGTGCCAGGAGAATAAAATAAGTTGAATTTTCTGTCATTTCAGTTGAATCAAAGTGTCAGCTCCTTCCTACGGAAATTTGTGAATGAAATTAGACGGTGCGAAGTGATGGAGAGGATTCTTCGTAAGTGTCTGAAAACTGCATTTGATCAACAGTGATGTAATGTTTATTTTCAATTTAGCAATTATGTAACAATGTGGAATGTGTGTTATTTATGTGGAGTCCTGTAGCTCAGTGGTTAGAGCACTCGCCTCGCAAACGAGTAACCTGGGTTTGATCCCCGGTAGGACGAAATGTTGGGCAAGTTTCCTTACTCCACATGCCTCTGTTTACCTAGCAGTAAGTAGGAACCCAGTTGTTAGTCGATTGGCAGCGGATCGCTGTTCCGGAGGTAATAATTCCTTCAAAAAAAGTACAATAATAAATTGGTCACTTCAAACCACGACTGTTTGTGAGACACTGCTTTGCACAATTGGCTGCCACGTTTCGCCCACAGAATATACAATCAGTTCACTTTACAGTATTTCTGTGAAGCGCTGTGAGATGTCCGAAGATGTGATAAGGGGCTATATCAAATGCAAACACAAATGCAGTTCTGACGAAGGGTCGTGGACCCAAAACGTTGACTCACTTTCCTTTCTCCACAGATGCTTCCCGACCTGATGAGTGTTCCCAGCGACTTCTGTTTTTCTTTCAGATTTCCAACATCTGCAATATTTGCGTCTTTATTATTATTTGGTATCAGCATTCTGAGACGCTATCCTGCATGAAGGTCATTACATAGATTCCGGTTGTATTTGTGTGTGGTGTGATTGTATATGATGGGTGTATTTCCAATTAAAGTATATGAAATTGGATAAGATTTATAGTGATGCTCAATAGTTGGAGGTGCTACCTTATAACAAAGCACATAGAGCTATCAAGCGAACAACTAATTTTTCTTGAAGTGTGTTGGCCAAGATACCAGAAGAAACTCCTTTCGCCTGACACATCTTGTCTTGGAATCTTTGACTTATACCTGAACAGGCAGATAGTTACCTGTTTCTCATCTCATCAGTAATTCAATTCTTCCCCTGTACAGCAGTGGTGCGAAAGCCAAGAATACCAGCTATGGTTTGGAGATGTGTGTTGTGTGCACTGTGGAGTGGCTCAATCAAGGGATATGAACCAAAATCCTGCCAAGGACAAGCACTTGAGAGCTTCCATTCACCACTATGGTATCTGACAGAGAAGCTCCCTTCCTTATTCACGTTCCTTGTTCTATCCTCTGAATGTCAGTTGTGTCAGGGAATTTCCGCAGGTCAATGTGTTATTCAGGACAGTGTTTTATTCCCCCCAAATTATTCTGGTTCGGATTTACTGCAGAAGTGCAGAGCCTGAGCTATTGACAAGTGACTGCCAAATCCTTTTACTTATATTAATTTCTGCTTGTTTGACAGGCTTTCTCGAGACTGAAATGGAGAAGGCTGACATTGTAGTCCAGGATAATGGGGAAAATTGCCCAGCTCCTCTTCCAAAGAATATGATTGACCTGGAGGTAAGAGGAACAGCTCAGAAATAAATAAAGGGATTGAGAGTGGAACAACAATGCCTTTCACGTCGGGAGGACGCCCAAGTTGCTGGACAGTCGAGGGTTTGTACCTGAGTTGGGGGTTAGATTCGGGGCGTATGGGCCAAAGGGTGGGGGATAGGGGAGGGAAAGATGATTGAAAGCGTGGTCAAGGTGGAAGGGCTTGAGATGGAGGAGGTGAAGGAAGGAGCAAGGTGAAGGGACTCTGGGATTGAGTTCCAGGGAGTGGGGGCACATGGGTCAAACCTCTGACCACTGATCCTGGGTCGGGCAGGGTGGAGCAAATAAAGCAGGCCAGTGTGTGCCAGGGGAAAGGGACCAGGTGGGCTGGTCGGGTTTAGGAAGGTCATGGAGGTAGGGTTGGGCATGAATGTAGCGGGCTTTAATAGTGAGACTGGGAGAAGCAATATCACATAGATTGGCAGAAATAGAATAGCTCAAATAAGCAAGGCAACAAATTTCTGGAATGTATTCAGGACAGTTTTCTGGAGCAATATGTTTTAGAGCCGACAACCGAACATGCCATACTCGATTTGGTTAACGATGATTAACGATCCGGAATTAGTTAACAATCTGATGGTAAGGGATCATCTTGCAAATAATGACCATAATATGATTGAATTTGATATAAGGTTTGAAAGGGAGAAGGGAGAGTTACAGACCAAGGTTTTAAATTTAAGCAAGACAAATCAAAGGGATGAGTAATAAATTAACTACGCTAAACTGGGCCGAACTGTTAATGCGTAAACCCACAGACATACAATGGTAAGTATTCAAAAAAAAAACTGGTGCAATGCAAATCGAGTACATACCCCTAAAACACAAAAGCTCCATGTAACAATCATGGTCAACAAATGAGGTAAGAGGCAGCATCAAACTAAAAGAAAAGGCTTACACTAATGCAAGAAACAGTGGAAATCCAGCACACTGGAAGACTTATAAAAAGCAACAAACAGTTACAAAGAGGTGCAAAAAGAAATGTGAAAAAATATCTGCAAGGGATATCAAGGGCAACAGTAAACGTTTTTATAAATATATTAAGAGAAAGAGAGTAGTAAAGGGGAACGTGGGCCCATTAAAGACAGATGTAGGAGAGACTAATGGACAATAAGGAAATATCAGACTTGTTGAAGTGAGGAGAGGGATCTTGAACTCAATCCTCTGAGTGATGGGAAGGCAACAATAACAACAAAATTATATTTATAGAGCGCCTTTCACGTCAGGAGGACGTCCCAAAGCGATGGGGAATCGGAAAGTAGACTTTTCAGGGAACAGTTGAGATGTTTATTTTAATCTAGTCTAAGATGATAGATGAAAACCTCCTCTTTCTGCTGAGGACTTCACAGTCCGGGCTGGTCAGAGAGATACGTTTTGAGACATCCCTTAAACAAGGAGAGGGTGGTGGGGAGCTCGTCAGTGGGATTCTGGGATGGAGTTCCAGTTAGCAAGGGTGGATGTCTGAATGTTGCTCTGGAGATGTTGGCACAGATGGGGCACATGAAGCAGGTTATTGCTCACGATACGAACGGTTGGCAGGATGATGTTGAAGGAGGTTACACACGTAAGGTGGGGCAAGACCTTGAAGGGATTTAAGTATAGTAACAAGGATCCTGAACTCGATCTGCAAGGAGATTGGTCTTATGGATGAGGTATTCATACAATGTTGTGCCATCTGCATACAGGTGGTTCTGGAGAAGCTGGAAAATGACCTGAATGAGGTGAATCGGAACCAGAAAACACTCAAACAGAACTTTTTGGAGTTCAGCGAACTCAAGCACTTGCTGAAGAAAACCCAGGACTTCTTTCAGGTAACCTGTGTCTCAGTGAAAAGGGACATGAACATAAAGCTTGAGTTTAGAAGGTTGAGGGGGATCTGATTGAGGGCTTTAAACTAATAATAAAGGATTTCGATGGGGTAGATACAGAGAAACTATTTCCTCTGGTAAGGGGAATCCAGAACAGGGGGAATAATCTTAAAATTAGAGCTACGCCATTTAGGAGTGAAATTAGGAGCAGTTTTTCACCCAAAGAGTAAGTCTCTTCCACAAAAGACTGTAGATGCTGGATCCATTCACATTTTCAAGATGGAAGTAGATAGATATTTGTTTGGTCAGGGTATTAAGGGATATGGAGCAAAGGCGGGTAACTGACTTGATGTACAGATCAGCCTTGATCTTATATAATGACAGAACAGACTTGAGGGGCTAAATAGCCTACTTCTGTTTCTATGAAGAGAAGCTTGGTGGTCAGACCTTCACCTTTTCTACCCCTCTCCCCCCACCTCCCTCCCATCTGGAACTCCATCCCGAAATGTCTGCCCCTTGCTTCCTTCAACGCTCAGCTAAACAACAACAGCAATAACAAGATTCAATTTATAGAGCGCCTTTCACGTCGGGAGGACGTCCCAAGGCGCTGTACAGTTGGGTCAGGACCCGAGCAGGGGGGAAATAGTCAGGGTGAGGGGAGGGAACGGAGGGAGCGAGGAGGGGGTAGAGAGTCGAGAGGGGAGCTGAAGGCACGGTCAAAGAGAAAGGTCTTGAGACCGGCCTTGAAGGAGGAAAGGGAGGAAGCGGCGAAGGCACTGGGGGATAAAGTTCCAGAGCCTAGGGGCTGAGAGGCTGAAGGCCCGGCCACCGATGGTAGGGCGGTTGGGCGGGGGATGTGGAGCAGACCGGAGCCAGAGGAACGGAGGGTAGGGCAAGTAGGTAGGGGGATAGTAGGTAGGAGGGAGCAAGGCCGTGAAGGGCCTTGTAGGTGAGGATGAGGATCTTGAATTCGATCCTCTGGGGGATGGGGAGCCAGTGGAGGCGAGCGAGGGTGGGAGTGATGTGGTCGCGAAGCCTGGTGTGGGACAGTACACGAGCTGCAGAGTACTGAATGACCTGCAGCTTGTGGAGGGAGGTGCCGGGAAGGCCGGCGAGGAGAGAGTTCCCATAGCCTAGCCTTGAAGTGATAAAGGCCTTCCTCTATGACCTTCCTCTATGACTGTGCCTTTGGCCACCCTCCCATCCACCCTACCCTATATCCGTCTTGATTCCAAACCCCAACTCAGGTGCAAACCCTTAACTGTCAGGTGCCTTGGGACATCTTTATGAAAGATGTCACATAAATTTAATTTTATTGTTCGTGTTGGTGACGCCCCTAAATCTCTTTCAGCTTCCCCCTTGGTAAGCTCTTTATCATCCGTGGATATAGAAAAGTGCTCATTGTCAGTAGGATATGCTCACTGCTACCAAGCCATATAGTGTACACTGTGGAACACAATCAGGTTCAAACCAAGTGCTACAATGGCTGCCTGTTCAAGTTGTCTCTTCTATTGATGTGTATTAACTGTAATTTTGTTGTAGCTGCAGAAAAGTCTGCTAGAATTGAGAAGGATCTGTGTTCATCCTTTTGGTTCTAACCTTGATCAGTGAAACAGCCAGTGAAGGAGCCAGCTCATTAAAGGTCTTTCCGTGGAACTGTTATGAATTGCTGCAGCATTTGTTTGAGATTAGATTTGCCCTGAGTGTCAAAGGGTTTGTACTCCACAGACAGGAGCAAATGTATCCAATGATTTCTTCAGTGAAGATACCGTACATCTGCTGGAACTGCAGCACGAGACTGTAGCCATCGCTCCTGGCAGACTCGGGTAAGCCTCATCCATCACATCCTTTTTGCTCTAGATCTGTGACATTCCACTTATTCAAGGTTGATAAATATTTCTTATTGATGAGGAACAAGACAAAAGCTACATCCGATAATAATTCTGAGGCCCTCCTGCTTGGCTCCTATCGGTGCCTCAACACCTCGGACGCTGGCAGCATCACGATCCATGGATGCGCTCTTCACCTCTCTGAACCATTATGGAACCTAGGCATCTTGTTTGATTCTCAACTGTCCTTTCTACCCCACGTCCGTGCCATGACCCTCTCTGCCTTCCCCCAACTCTGCAACATCGCCTGGCTCCGCCACTGCTTCTCCCCTCAGGCTGCTGAGATCCTCATTCATACATTCATTGCATACAGGCTTAACTATGCTAATTCACAACTCTTCCCTCCACAAGTTGCAGATCATTCAAAACTCTGCAGCTCGCTATACCGCACCAGGCTCTGTGACCCCACCACCCCTACTCTCGCCCGGCTCCACTGACTCCCCATTCCCCAGGGGAGAGCGTTCAAAATTATTGTGCTTGCTTTCAAAGCCCTCCATGCTCTTCCTCCCTCCTACCTCTGTGACCTGCTAACTGCATACACATCTAACCACTTCCTCCACTCAGCGGGATCCGGCCTGCTGCACATCTCCCACCCGGCCAACCCCATCAATGTCAGTCAGGCCTTCATCCCTTCTGCACCTACCCTTTGAAACTTCAAAGACCTGTCTCAAGATCCTCCTCTTCGACCACTCTTTCAGTCACCCTCCAACTCCTACCTGCCCCATATCTCCCGATCCTAACCCCCTGCTCGGGTTCAAATCCTGACTGCCCAGCGCCTTGGGACAGCTTCGCAATGGAAAGGCACTATTCAAATGTAATTTTGTGGTTGTTGTATTTTATCCACAAAGCAGACACCTTGAAACGCTTTATAGAATGAGATTATTTAGAAATGAAGCTGGTGTTATCATGTATTTAAGTTTGAAGGAGCGAAATAGGTTGTCAATCCTGATGCCAGTTTACTTCACATTTTTGTGCTCCGCTCAAGCCTAGCTTGCTTGGAACCAACCTGTTTCCCTCATCCTAACAACAACAACAGCAAGATTTCATTTATAGAGCGCCTTTCACGTCGGGAGGACGTCCCAAGGCGCTGGACAGTTGGATCGGGACCCGAGCAGGGGGCAAATGGTCAAGGTGAGGGGAGGGAAGGGAGGGAGTGAGGAGGGGGTAGAGAGTCGAGAGGGGCGCTGAAGGCACGGTCGAAGAGAAAGGTCTTGAGACCAGCCTTGAAGGAGGAAAGGGAGGAAGCAACAAATAATTAGCAAATAATGCAGTATTTCCACTGTTGCTGTCTCACAATAAAATTCATCCCTCAGTTCTTTGGGTTCATGTTATCTCAAAGATCTGACCACAAATGCACCAGCAAAACTTGCTGTATGCTGTTCCATGTGGACAGATGGGAGCCTTGAGTGTAAGAGAGCTTCACAGTCACCTCACGCAGAGCTATCTAAGTTCTATTAAATGGGGGCATGTTGAGAAGACACTGAATTCAACTCAAACGGTTGCTTTGTTAATGATTATAAATACAGAGTATCACTACTAAATGATAAAGGCAGAAACTGAATCATATTACAGTTCTGTTTACCCACATCTGTGCCATGACCCACTCTGCCTTCTCCCATCTCCACAACATCACACGGCTCTGCCACTGTCTCACACCGCAGACCGCTGAAACCCTCATACATACTTTCATTACATCAAGGCTTGGCTATGCAAACTCCTTGCTTGTTGGCCTCCCCAACTCCTCCCTCCATAGGTTGCAGATCATCCAGAACTCTGCAGCCCATGTCCTCTCCCGCACCAGGCTCTGTGGTCCTATCACCCCCATCCTTGCCCGATTCCATCGGCTTCCCATCACACAGAGGATACAGTTCAAGATCCTGGTTCTCACCTTCAAAGTTCTCCATGGACTTGCTTCCCCCATCTCTGCGACCTCCTAATATCCTGCCCGCTCCCTCCATTCAGCGGGTTCCGGCCTGCTTTACGTCCCCAGCCTCGCTCTCCCCACCATAGGTCACTTTGCCCCTACTTCATCCCGCAGACCCTCTACCTCGCCCCCTCCCTTGCCTCCTTCAAGACCCATCTCAAGATTCTCCTCTTTGACCGTACTTTCAATCACCCTACTTCACCCCCACTGCCCTCCACCCTCCCCGATCCCGACCCCCAGCTCAGGCCGGAAACTCTGACTGTGTAGCACCTTGGAATGTCCTCCTGACGTGAAAGGTGCTATACAAATGTAATTTTGTTTTTGTTGTCTCGCTTCACACTTAAAGGAAAATCTCGTAAAGCTTCATAGAATGAGGTGAACAAGTGGACAAATGCAGCAGGCAAATTGCATCAGCAGCGCCCTTAAAAACTGCACACAAGATTGAAAATCTTGTGTGGCCCAGCTCTGATGCTGCATTGAAAGATATGCAAGTTATCTGTTTGTCTGGTTGTTTCAGGTTTATAGCTGGTGTGATTCGAAGGGAGAGAATAGCTGCCTTTGAGCGATTGCTGTGGAGAGCCTGCAGAGGAAATGTGTACATGAAGCAGTCGGACATGGATGTACTGCTGGAAGATCCAACCACTGTAAGGAATTCTTTATTTAGCAAGGGATGTACACATTAATTTCTAACCCTTGATGTGGAATCTTCTCCTTCCAGCTCGGTGAATCACCGATTGATTCATTGACTGCATGTCAAACATTTCTTATTCTCCCCAAGATCTATCTGCTTCTTGCTTCAGCTGCTTTCACCTAGCTTTCGGAAAAATGTAACAAACTGCCTCGACCATGTTTCCTATCCACAGCTGGAAGATTCGATGATGAATCTTTAGCTTCTGATAACTTAGCAATGTCACATGGGCATTGTTCAGCTTTGCTATTAAACTAAGGTTTGCCAGCCTGTAGTGTTGGTTCAGACAGCTGTTAACAAGTGGTATGAATCAACTGTCCAATGCACATGTAAACTCAAAAACTCTGTCTGAATCATTGAGATACTTTCTGAAGGGACAGATAAAATGGAATGTTCTGTGACTTCTACACTAGTGTGTAATTGTGACTGGAGTAATCTCTCCCAGCTCTTTCTTCCTGGCTGTATTCTTCTTACTCCCATCAGCTGCTTTTCCCTTACTTCTTTCATCCCACCATTCGTGGCCAAGGAATGATCCACCTCTCTTCAACTCACCCAAAATCTCTTTACGCCTTTTCTCTCTTCCTGCAAAATCTCAGATGATTACCCATGCCATTGGTTAATCCCTTCAAATTCCCTCCTTTCCTGCTACTCAGTGTTTGTTCAGTTCCTCAATGACTGCTGTAGTTTTAAAGATGTTCATTATCGCAAAAAGGACCATAAAATACACACCTTTCATGTTGGAAAGGACATCCCAAAACGCTGGACACTCTAAGGTTTCCTCCCGAGCTGGGAGTGTTTATAATTGCAAGCGACATGATTATAATTGCATATAATTGGGTAATGTTACAATTGCATTACATGTAATCTCGTAGCATAGTGGTTAGCACACTCGCTTCATAAGTGAGTGGACCCGGGTTCGATTACCGGGCGGGGTGAAACATTAGGCACGTTTTCTTACTCCATATGCCTCTGTTTACCTAGCAGTAAGTAGGAATGGGTTGTTGGTCGATTGGTGGATCACTTTCTGGGGGTAATAATCCCTCAAAAAAAATTGGATCATTCAATCCACGACTGTTTTTAGGACACTGCTACGTGCAATTGGTGACCGAGTTTCCCACACAAAAATATACAGTAATCCACTTTACAAAATATTCTGGGAAACTCTTTGGGAAGTCTAAGGCGTGATAAGGCACTGTATCAAATGCAAGGATTATTATTGCAATTTGTTGTTTTTCATTCTAATTTGGCACTCACCCCTACAAGTCTAACTAAATGGATGTAATTCCTCAATCAGAACAGCTTGGAGAATATCTTGCAATAGAGTGACAGCGATGAGCCTGTACATCGGATGTTAATGCATGACTGTTTCACAGCTTGAGCCCGTTCAGAAGAGTATGTTCATTGTCTTCTTCCAAGGGGAGCAACTGAGACACAAGGTGAAGAAGATATGTAACGGGTGAGCTGATTGTTTCAATTCTATGAATGCATTATCATATAGGTTCGACTGGATTTTATTATAAGAAGCCGCACTAAATTTTCATATACACGGAAGCAGCAAAGTTAAGTGCAAGGTACACATATTTCTGACCTATATTCCTGATGCTGTCCCTTAGATAGTGAGGGGAGTTTGTGTCAGCACGTTCTCATTAATGCCTTGAATATGCAAGTAGCTCTTGAGGGCTGACCCGAGGAGGCCACAGATGCACTGGGCAGTTCTCGCACATGTAGTTCTTCTAAAAGTTCTTCACTGGGAAATTCTTGGATGAATTTGCTTTGACAGAGTGAAACTAACCTCAAACAAATTCTGCAGCAGCACATAAAAACAGCTAAGCAGAACATTGACTTTGATGCTCAATTACAATAATACAATTGAGGATTTATATAGAGCTTTGAGACATCTTCCTGAAAGCGTCCATGAACCAGTGCCTGTCATCTAAACACGAGCGCTTGGACCATAAACTCAACTGGATGCACTTGTACATTCAGCCCTGGACCTCTTGAATTTATGCAAACACCAAGTAGCATGTCTTCTCCCTTCCACCCCATCCCCTCATTTCTCCTTATCTCCACACACAATCATATGACCAATTCAAATGAAAAGGTTATTTGGCCATTGGACCTTCTGTTCCAGAATGCAAATCCTACTGTATTTCCTTGACAGCATCAAGCTGTTTCTTTAATGTGCCCAGAATCTTGTTCTCTACTTCATGATAATCTGTTCCACCTTGTTGATCAATCTCACTATGATGTGAAGAAATACTTCCTGGTGTCCCTCCTGAAATTGCCCCCTCAATTCTGTGCCCTATCTTCCTGCTGCTTGCTGTTCAGTTAAAGATCCAATTATTATAAGGAAACCATGCATCAGGAATAATAATCCCTCCAAAACAAAACAATAATAAATTGGTCATTTTCAATCTACGACTGTTTGTGGGACATTGCTGTGCGCAATTGGCTGCCGCGTTCGCCCACAAATATACAGTCAATTCACTTTACAGTGTGTTCTGTGAAGCGCTTTGGGACGTCCTCCCGACGTGAAAAGCGCTATACCAAATGCAAGGATTATTATTATTATTATTATTATAAAACATAAATTGGCTAGAGTGCCAACCAAAACTTTGTCAATCTCGAGTTATACTGTCATGATTGACAGTGAGCCCTTTCTGACTTTCTCCATTTCTGTCTTTTTCTTTTTTTGTCAGAATTTCTCTTCTCTACCTGTTTCTGATTCCTTGTCTCTCGCCTCACAGTGTACATGTAACAGTTTGCTAAATGCCTTCGTAAATCTTTATTTAGCATTAGGTTAGCTGAACTGTATCTGTTTTCAAGAGCCGTGTTTTATCAGTCGTTTCTCACAGCTTATCCACTTAACACTTTTAGGTGAAATTAAATCAATTCTGTGCTTGACGTTAAGGAAATTGGTACTTTTTTAGAACAGCAGCTAAAATGTGCTTCACCTCAGGTTCCACGCCACAATGTACCCCTGCCCTGAATCTGCTGTCGAGCGACGTGAAATGGAAGCTGTTGTAAAGTCACGCATCGATGATCTAACTACGGTAAATACTTTTTCCGGGAAGAATACTGTGCCAATGACTGATTTCTGTTGCTGAGGAATCCTACCATCTCAACAACTGAAGTTCTGCTGGGTTGATTCAGGGCACGGTGTATCTCCAAATGATTCAAAGTCTTGGGGAAGATGTTGCATTGTTTTTTTTAAAAAAGCAAATTTGTTTCACTTTGCTTTAGATGTTGGTTGTAAAAAATATCTTACGGTGGAATTTGAAGTCAGAAATTTCTCAGCCTGAACCTTAAGAATTAAATATTTGAATTTTCCAGTATTCATCAGAAACTAAAATTTCAAGACTATGATGCTAAAACTAAAATACTTTTTACAGTGTATCACGCAAATTTGGATCGGATGAAAGCTCTTTTGCCCATTTCATCTCATCTTTCAAGATTCCTCACTCTACTCATATTAGAATATCAAGCTGTTTTTCAAACGAGCCCAACATCTTAAAAACAACTTTCATTTATATAGTGCCCCTCATCCAGGGTAGCATCCCAGAGCGCTTGACAGTGGTGGAGCACGACACCAAGCTGGGTGGAGGTAGCATATCTTCAAACACTCTTCCTTGAAACCAGTTCCAGTCATTGATTATCCTCTGGGTAAAGAAATATTTCCTGTTATTTCTGCTAAAATTCCCCTTTACAATCCTGAACCTGTGTCCTTTTGTGCATCTGAGAGAATTGTTCTGGTTATATTTTCTCAGCTCGATTTAGAATCTTGTACAGATTTGTAAGATCCCCTGTGTGATGTCTCCTTTCGAGACTGATGTATTTTTGGGTCGATCAGGTGTAATCTACATGTAGCAACCATCACCTTGCTGAAAAATAAGCAAACTAGACTGAGAGTTCCATGCATGTCACCAGCACATTAAAATTTCTGTGTCTGGAATGAAATGTGCATTCTCTCCCTGAAGGGACACACCTCGCTTACCTAATCCCAGAGTATAAGGTGCAGATTATCATGATCCAAGCAAGGGACCCTAGAGTGTGCATTGAGGTACTGTTGGACTTTAACCAGTTAAAACCATATCGTAGCCTTGCTATTGAAAACACTGCTTCCAATTGCTTGTTTAGCTCAGGAGGGTCAACAGGATCTGAGTGTGAAGCCCCCCAGTCTGCCCCAAGCCCTGCTCATGAGCCAGGGTGGCTGGTCTATCATCAGATGTGCCCTAATCAGTTATCACAGCTCATTCCTCTTATACTGAGGATCAACCTTGTTGCTCTCCACCGCATTTCCTCTGGGTCCCTTTGAGATGAACAGGATTGTACACCGTGTTCAAATGCAGCCTGACCAGAGCATATTACGCTGTGAGCATTTCTTCCATGGATCTAAACTTGATTTGTTTCCTTATTTTAAAAGAAACACCACCCACTTATGATAGATTTTTCCTTCAGGCTCCAATCAAATTGACTTTCGTTGCCAGGTATTGAACCAGACGGAAAGCCATCGCCGTCGGGTTCTGCAGGAAGCAGCCAAGAACCTGAGGAACTGGCAGGTGAAGGTGAAGAAAATAAAAGCCATCTATCACACTCTGAATCTGTGCAATATTGATGTGACACAGCAGTGCCTCATTGCAGAGATGTGGTGTCCCGTGGCTGATGTAGGCAGGATCAAGAAGGCACTCAACCGAGGAAAGGTGAGCGGTCAAGCAAGCATTGAGAGCTGTGCTGGGAAATCATATTGTTCTTGGTGAGCTCAGCAAGAAACACTGCTTAGAGTGTGACACTTCTGCTGCTTTCTCCCTCAACAAAACTAATCAAATCATCAACCTGTTAAGTCAATGTTTTAAACTCACTTTCCTATTGGAGTTCCATGAAGATCTCTCCCGTGCTAAAATACTGAGCAACACCAAGATGGCAAATCTTGCCTTAAATGATAAAGAGTGATATGGCATGGAAAATAATTACATAGAGAGATACGGCATAGAATATACTTCTCTTCCCCTCTCCCGAACTCCTCTCTTCTGCTCTCCTATACTCCTCTATTCTCTCCTACACCCCTGCATTGCCCTCTTCTACATCAACTTTTTTTCTTAAATAAATTTAGTTTCAACCACAGTTTCCAGTAGTGAATTCCACACTCTGTGTGAAGAAGTTCTTCCTGATCTCCCTATTAGATCTACTACTGGCTGTATTATATTAAAATATATATTTTTAAAAAACACATACCATGAAATTTCAGATCTCTGCAGTCAGCTTGCCGGTTGCTTTGATCTTCATTGAAAATTTGCCGTTTATAATGGGAAAGGAAGAAAGGCAAGGTCTGACCCCTGTAGCTCACAGCCATGCAAGGCTGCAGCTTCCAATGGTTTAGTCTTATCGAGAAGCAAATTCCTTCAGCGCCGCTAACTGAAGAACAAAAATAAAGAACATGAAAGATCAGCATTGCTCTCAGTACTGCAAAGTTGTTGTCTGAACTAGATTAGCTGTGGTGAATTTGCCTTGCAGACAGTGGGTGTAATTTTAATTGAATTTTAAAAGTTGTGAGTTCAATGAAGAAAATGCAATCCTTTTCACCCTTTTAGGAGAGAAGTGGTTCCAGCGTCGCTCCCATCATGACCATGGTGCAGACTAACATGGCTCCCCCCACCTTCAATCGAACAAACCGGTTCACGGCAGGCTTCCAGAACATTGTAGATGCGTATGGCGTTGGGGCGTACAGGGAAGTCAATCCCGGTAAACTCTCTGCTTGAGGAATCTCAAGAGCATTGTCTATATACTGAGCACTGGGGGCACTCGATGGGAACGCTGGCTTGGATAAATCTGTGTGATGGAGCACACAATCAGTAACTGTCAATGTTTATACTGTTAAATGAAATTATAAAAAAAAATCAGATCAGTTTCTAGTTTCAGATAGTTTCTTTCAATAAATGGAATCACAAGAAATGGTGCTTAGACTAGATACATAGCCAGGACAGTTCATAGTAACATCAACCTCTGATAACATAACAGTTTCACATGGCCTTGTTTAGCTGAGACATTAAACTGAGATACGACCTGCTTGTGTAAGTTCAGGAGGATAGCAAATGAATAGCTAGTAGGACATAATTATTGTGCAGAACGGATGTGAACTCGAGTTGTGCGTCTGCGGGTTCGTCCCAAGAAAAATCTTGTGGTCAGTTCTGAAGTCTGAGACATACAATAGTACTTTGCTGTGTTTCAGCACATCCTGCCAATCCGAGAAGGACCCGTTTATCCCTACTCTCAGTTTTCTTCCTGTTAGCCACTCTCCAATCCATGCTAATATATTACCTTCAATTCCATGGGCTCTAATCTTATGCAACGGCCTTTTATGTGGCACCTTGTCAAATGCCTTCTGGAAATCCAAATGCATCGCATCTACTGATTCCTCCCTATGTGGAGTCCTGTAGGTCATTGGTTAGAGCACTTGCCTCTCAAACGAGAGACCTGAGTTCGATTCTCGGCAGGGCGAAACCTTGGGCAAGTTTCCTTATTCCACACGCCTGATAATAATCCTTCAAGAAAAAACAATAATAAATTGGTCACTTCAATCCATGACTGTTTGTGAAACACTGCTGTGCGCAATTTGGCTGCCGCATTTCGCCCACAAATATACAGTCAATTCACTTTACAGTATATTCTGTGAAGCACTTTGAGACATCTAGAAGACATCAAAAGCACGATATCAAATGCAAGGATTATTATTATTATCAGTTGAAGGAGCAGACTTGATGCAGAGAATGTTCCTTTCTAATTTCTCACACGATCCAGCTCCTTACACGATCATCACCTTTCCATTCCTGTTCGCCGTCATGTTTGGGGATTGTGGTCATGGAGCGATTTTGCTTGGCTTCTCGCTGTATATGATCATTCATGAGAAGAACCTTGGTGCCCAAAGAGGAAGTAATGAGGTGGGTGAACATTCTCTAGTCATTTACAACTCCAACCCATGTTGTTGAATGCTAATATGGAGAGGATATTAATAAAAAAAATCATTCTGCATTTATCTTAAAATAAATGATTGTGAACTCATGTGCAGTATTACCACCATTTTTAAAATTGCTTTGGCTTCTTGGCTTCTCAATACCTCCTGGAATACGTTGGCTCCTCCACCTCTCCTCAAAGCTTGCCTCCTCCTCTCAGTGACCGGACTCTAACTTCTCCACTTCTCTCCTCAATACTTCGTCTCCTCACTACTATGCAAACCCTCTCAAGCAACTTACCTCTTCCTCTCATCAATACCAATGCCTTGGTTCCTTCTCTCCTCTGTCTCTTGTGCCTCTTCCTCCTCTATTCTCTGAATACCTCAGATCGTATCTAGGTCACTTCCTGTTCCTGTTCTGCAGGTTGGCAGTGCTTTGTTTTGCCAAAAGCCACATATTATACCTAAAAGCTTTTATGTTCCTCCCATTTTAGATTTGGGATACATTCTTCAATGGGCGGTACCTTACCCTCTTGATGAGCATCTTTTCCATTTATACCGGCTTCATTTACAATGATTGCTTTGCCAAGGCCTTCAACATATTTGGATCATCATGGCACGTCCACGCCATGTTTCACAACGGAACCTGGGAGTGAGTAACATTAATCAAACAAGTCCATCTTATGTCAGCGTGGTTCAGTTGCTTTCCTTTCCTTTCTCCATCTCCGTTGTCCGTCTATATGTCTATGTTCTGTAACAATTATGCAAATTCTGTGAGCTTTGCTGTGAGGAAATTAGAAACAAGAAGACGGTATCTGGCCTGTCAAACCTGCCCTACCATATTGTTAGATCATGAAAGATTATATTTGGCTGATTTCTCCACCCTTTCTCAATATCCCTTTTCGCTTTTCCAAGATGTATCTATTTCCCTTTTGAAACATCCTGTCGATTTTTGTTCACTGGGATGAGATGCATTTGAACTCATTAAAGGTCCATCCTTTGAAAAATGTTAAGCGGTGGTCCTGTTTGCTTTTTCAAGTGGATATTAAAAATCCTGTGGCCTGTTCAAGTGGATGTTAAAGATCTCATGACACTATTTGAAAAAAGAAGGAGTTTTTCTCAGTGTCCTGGCTGACAATCCACCAGAATATTGGTCATTATCTTCATGGCTGTTTGTGGATATTGCTTTGCAAAAATTGGCTTCTGCGTTAGCCTACAATCACTGAGGACAGAGTCACTACACTGAATGCTTTGAGACATTTTGACATAAGGCACTCAATCAAATGTAAGGAGTATTCTTGTAACCACTTTGCACCATTCTAATCCAACTGTGGTGGAACAGTGAGAGGCTGTGCAAACATTCAGCTCAGCATCTGTTGCTGAGTTGAATGTTTTCACAGTCTCTTGTTGATTGCTATGCTCAAATTAGTTGCGGCATTCTGTTACAAAATATGCAGTTACCTCACTTTCAAAATAAATAGTATGAAGTACTTTGAGACGTCTTGATGGCATGATAAGGTATTATATCAAATTCACATTATTATTGTTTTTATAATTACTGTAAATTTCTTTGAGATTCTTTTTGATTTTACAGGCGCCATATTATCAGTGAAAACATCGCTGTTTTCTGATTTTCTAAAATTTCTTATTGCTTTTTTCACAGCGCTCATGTTCTCGAAAACAATGTTTTGCTGCAGTTAGATCCAGCAGTGCCTGGAGTATTTTCTGGAAATCCGTATCCATTCGGCATTGATCCGGTAAGGATTCAAAGGGGCTGTTTGCAGTCGATTAGTTTCAGCATAAAACCTGGTGGAAGACTGTTCTGCATTTCAATTGAACTGTACTGAACTGTGTGCAATTGGTAAAAATCTGAAGGTGACTTAAGCACATGGCAGCAGCTGGAGTAGATGTCAGCTGGTAAAAGGCATATGGAGTCTGCAGCACCTCTTTCCTTTAGCATGAAAAGTTGGCCTCAGCAGCAAGAGACTACAGTAACTTCCCATTAAAGGGGAGAACCACACTTGTTGACTCCTGGAATTCTACAAGATTCAACCCTGCATCAGGCTATTCTGTGCTTGAAGGCTGTACTGGTGTTTTTTTTCCACCTTGCTTGAAGCTTGAAAATCCTCCTCAGCAAGCCATCGCCCTAATGGGTAGACTGGTCTTAGCTCGGCAAGCAGTAGGAAGCTAGCTAGTCCTCACACTCAATGAAAACTTTGTGGTTTTAGCTTTTTTTTAAACTCCAGCAGTTACCAAAGTACACTTTGGGGTTCCCAAGTCTTGGTTCTTGCCAACCTCTGCCTAGCACATTTCAGAATTAGGTAAGCAGGGTGCATCCTTCCAGGGAGAGAGTGCGCATTCCATTCCAGACACAGCAAAATTTCCAGGTGTAAGGAACTCTCAGTTTGGTTTGGGTACTTGAAGCATGGTGATAAGTTGCCATGAGTCAGACACGTGTGGAATACTTTTTACAAAAATAGCATCACCTGCCCTGCTGACATTATCTCCAACCCTGGCTGAATTTTGCATATGATAAATAATAAATAATAAACGTTGCATTTGATATAGCGCTTTTCACGTCTTCTGGATGTCTCAAATATATTATAAAGTGAATTGACTGTATTTGTGGCGAAATATGATATGGCCCCATTAGCACTCCAGTGACTATAGACTTCGCCACTGCCGAACTCTCCGGGACGCAACCTTGCGTGAAGGGCGCGATATAAATGCAAGTTGTTGTTGTTTACTCCCTGTTTTGATTGTTCATTTAAAGATTTGGAACATTGCATCGAACAAGCTGACCTTCCTGAACTCTTACAAGATGAAGATGTCTGTCATTCTAGGCATCACACAGATGACATTTGGTATCACCCTCAGCCTTTTCAATCATATGTAAGTTCACACAGTGCTTACTAATGATAATCTTATCATAATAATAGAACAATCTGCAGTGTGATGTTGTGCCAAGAATGTCAGAGTCTCAAAGTATCTCACAGAGAACAGAATAGTAAAACCAGAGGAGACGGCCTGCGATTGAAGGGGGTTAAATTCAGAACAGATCTACGCAAACACTATTTCAGTGAGCGAATAGGGTGACAGTTGTAGTAGGAAGTGTTGGTTCTTTCAAACACAGATTAGATAGTTTTCTTTTAGGAAATAACATTATGGGATATAGTACATAGGTGGTTTGGGACATATGTGCATGTGACAGCCAAGAAGGTACAAGGCAAACTAGATGGATCCTGGTCTTTTTTAGTCTAGCATTTCTTATGTTATTAATATTATTAATCCTTGAATTTGATATAGCATTTTCACGACTTCTATATGTCTCAAAGTGCTTCACAGAATATACTGTAAAGTGAATTGACTGCATATTTTGTGGGCGAAACGTGGCATTCATTATATTGTTATTATGTTATTATTTTTATAGTTCTTGTGGAATTGCTCTCAGGTACAAGCACTGTGTTTTTGCAGGTGAACGTGGGCAGCCAATTTATCCAGTTTCATAACCAGCCTTGAAGCGAAGTGAATGATCAGTTTTATCTGGGGGATGGTCTGCCAGGACACTGGGAGGAACTCCCTTCTCTTTTACAATAGTGTCATAGGATTTTTGCCACCCAACTAAACAGGCTGATGGGATCTCAGCTTAACTCTGACAATTTAGCGCTTTGCCAGCAATGCACTGGAGCGTCAAACCAGCTCAGGTCCAGTCTGCTGATGTTCTTGTATCCCTTGTATTGTCACTCTACAACCAGGAGATGGCGATATCTCCATCCATTTCAATAGTTCTCTAGTATACATAGAATGGCCAGAATTGTCAACTACAATTGGGGTGTCTTATCTAAAAGAGAATCGCAGGAAGATAGCGTCTTCCTAGAATTGACACTTTGGTCTGGGCCACGGAATGGTGAGTGACTCAGTTTGATTCAACTTACAGCTTGTTGAAAGGTTACCAACTAGTGACTATCCTTCATGGATAGCCTTTCAGTTAATGGGGTCTCCTTGGCTCCAAGGTGACATGTCGGGCAATGGAATCTCAGAATCGAGCACTCTTTGGCGATCTTGGTAGTACAGTTTCTGGGCCAAGCAGGTCCGCTGTATTGCAGGGCTCTGCTGATGACAGCACAGCCAGCCTAGCTCATCTGCAGGATCTGGAAGGCCAGGTAGGGTGGTCCTAGCTGGACAAGTAGAAAGAAAGCTTGCCAGACAGCAATATCAAAGGCAAACTATGCGGTTTTAGCTGGTCAGACTCCAGCAGTACCGCAACACACAATCTGAAGTCCTCAAGCCTTGGCTCTTGCCAACCTGCGCCCAATAATTTCTGGAATTAGGATGTATCTCTCCAACAATCTATTTCTGGGATTTCCAATTTTAGGTGGAAAGCATGGAAATCTCAGCTTGGTTTGGATACTCTTAAGCATGGTAATGGGTTTCAGATTGGCCCAAAATGGTGTTTTGCAAAAAAGAAGAGAACAGAGTTTCTCTCAGTCCAGGCCCAAATCCTAGATTTGATCACCAACCTCATAAGATAATAAGAAGGATCTTTCATATCGGGAGGATGTCCCAAAGTACTTTACAGAATTTACTGTGAATTTGATTGACTGTATATTTTTGGTGATTGTGGCAACCAATTTGCACACATCAATGTCCCTCAAGACAGCCATAGAATGAATGGCCAGTTTTATTTCGGGGATTGTTTGCCAACTGGAGAGAGAAACTCCTTTCTCTTTTTGAATAGTACCGTGGGGTCTATAATGCCCACCTGAAGACGGGATATTAGTTTAACATCTCATCTAAAGCACAGCACCCCTGACATAAGCCCACCACTGCCTTGAAGTGTCAGCTTAGACTATGTGATTCTAAGTCCCAACGTAGGGTTTGAACCCACAACCTTATGACTCAGAGGTGAATGCTACCAATGCACCAGGTTAACACACCTAGTTTCTAATTGACCTTGTTGCTATATTTTCCTACAAAGAAATGATCAATGCATTTGATAGTAATTACTGTAAACAGAATCTGAGCTATTTCAATATGATATAATTAAATATGCAAGTCGTGTCTCACTTGTTACCTGTTAGTTGAATGAACCAGTGTTTCTGCAATGTACCAAAGAAACCAGGAGGTGGCACATTGCTACAAAGAAAGCAGTAAGTATTCAGATACCGCCATTAAAGGCACTACAGAACATTGAACCAATTCATTCACCTCATGGCTGTTTGTGGTTGCTGTATTTGCCAACAAAAAGCCATAATACATAACAGCAATTACTGTGAAGCGCTTTGGTTTTAAAGGAGCTATTAAAATACATCAATTTGCCATTTCATTCCATTCTCGTCTTGCTTTGCTTCTGTCTTACAGCTACTTTAAGAACACCATGAATATTCTGCTGCAGTTTGTACCTGAGATGATTTTCATCCTGTGCTTGTTTGGATACCTGGTCTTCATGATTATTTACAAGTGGTGCCACTACACCGTTCACACTTCCCGGTTTGCCCCAAGCATTTTGATCCACTTCATCAATATGTTCCTCTTTAATTATAGCGATTCTTCAATTGAACCTTTATATGAGCATCAGGCAAGTTTCTTGTGTCTTCGGCATAGGAAAAGAAATTTGCAGGGAAACCACTTCACAAGACATGAAATGCATGTGTTCATTGGCCATTTTATTACTTTGTTCAGTAAGCAAGCATGCAAGCACCACGTTTGAGAATTTCCAAACTAAAATGTACATATGGGTTCTGTGTGTTTGTACGGAATGCACACTATCTTTTCCCAGAAAAGTTACTTCATCCCAGAGAGTTCAGGTGCAGGTTAAATGGAAATGCCAACAACAAAAATCTGTTATAAATGAGAATCTGCTTGCTCCATTGCTTATAATAATAATAATAATCCTTGCATTTGTTGGAGTCCTGTAGCTCAGTGGTTAGAGCACTCGCTTTGCAAGCGAGAGACCTGAGTTCAATTCAACTCACCCCTTAGGCCGCTGAAACTCTCGGTCATGCCTTCATCCTCTCCAGGCTCGACTATGCAAATGCCTTGCTTGTCAGCCTTCCAATTGAAAAAGCGCTATATCAAATGCAAGGATTATTATTATTATTATTGATATAGCGCTTTTCACGTCGGGAGGACGTCCCAAAGCGCTTCACAGAACACACTGTAAAATGAATTGACTGTATATTTGTGGGCGAACGTGGCAGCCAATTGCGCACAGCAATGTCCCACAAACAGTCGTAGATTGAAAATGACCAATTTATTATTTTTTTTTTGGTTTTGGAGGGATTATTATTAGACGTGTGGAGTAAGGAAACTTGCCCAAGGTTTCGCCCTGTCTGGAATTGAACTCAGGTCTCTCACTTGCAAAACGAGTGCTCTAACCACTGAGCTACAGGACTCCACGATCATGTTGACTAGAAAATAATATTAAGAGATTGTGGGATCAACAACTTATACTTCTATAGAATGTCTTGTTTATTTCACATAATGGTCATTTATTTATTTCACATTATTTATTTCACATTATGGTCATTTCACATAATATCTCCAAGATGTATGACTTTAAAGAGGGTTAGAAGACAGGGAGAGAATAGAGTTATGGAATCTTCAACATCCAGGCAGTTCCTCCATTGAATGTGCCTATGAAGGCCCTACTTCTGACAAAGCAGGGCTCCCCACTGTATTAGAGTATCAGCCTGGACTGTGAGAAGGACATTTAGACCAGAAAGAGAATGCCATTTATCCCAGGCCAACACCTAGCTGTTTATGAGCTGCTGCTCCGTGCAAAATGGGCTCTGCATTTGCCCCCAGATCCATAAACTACCATTGACCAGATGCTCCAACAATGATTTCTCATTTACAACTTGAAGCACTATAAGAAAGTTTCGTTGATGGGTGCAATGTTGAATAAATGTTACTTTTATTTATATCTGTCCATTCCTCATTCAATGCAATTTACAGGCTCGGTTTCAACACCCAGTGGAATTCAAGTGTTTTTGAAGTAGTGGGTGAAAGGGCACATATATTCATGTTCCATGATTTGCGAGAGATAGTTGACATTGGTTCTTTTTAAATCCCTATTCAGAAAGAAGTTCAGAGCCTTCTGGTGATATTGGCTCTCATCGCTGTGCCCTGGATGCTTCTATTCAAACCCTTCATTTTACTCTCAAACCACAGGAAAGCTCAACTTAGGGTAAGATAATGATATAAGGAGACGCTCCTCTTGTGCAGCTCAAATTCAAAATCAGTTTGCTCTACATCTTACATCTTTACATTGAGCTTTGCTACTTTCATAAAGTGAAGATTTTCAATCCATTTTGCTTCCTTTTTATGATCACAAATCTGATAACCATATTTGTCACTTTTTTTTTTTTCTGTCCTCACTTTCCCCCTCTCTCAACACTTTTTTATCCTTTGCTGTTTCAAATCCTCACAGTAGATCATTGTCAGCACTGACCACTCTGCAATTTGCGCCATTCCAATTCCCATTTCTATTGAAACTTCTGCCTCTATCTTTCAGAACTTCACTCCATATAGAATGAGCGCAACGTACAATTAAACATGGGAGAGGTAACAGAATTGATTAAAGAATACTTAGAAAACTGAAAACAAAGAGTAGGACCTCCTAAAGGCATCTTTTTAGACTGGCAAGAGGAAAAAAGTGGTGTTCAGCAGAGATCGATGTCAATGCATAATGATTTGGATTCAGGTATAGGAGGTGTAGTAACAAAATCTGCAGATAACACCAAACTGTGGAGGAGGGTGATAAATAGTGAAGAGAAGAGCAAAAGAATGCAGGAAGACTTGTAGAAGACTTGTAAGACATTTAAAGTAGGAATAAGTAATTCACTTAACAATAAAGAAGTCAAGAGAAAGGTAGATGGAAACTTGTGTGATCTTAACACCAGCATAGATTGAGGGAGTTGAGTGGCCTCTGGAAGGATGGGCTGAAGAGCTTTATTCATCCAAACCTCTCTTGTTGACTTGTTATCCAACTAATTACATTTACTTATAACTATTTTGGCAGTTGACAGTGGGAGGTGAGTGTGACCTCCTCATCTTTAGTATTGATTACCTTTTTCTTCAACCTCTTCAGTTACAGTCTACTCCACACAACAGCACTATCTCTGATGATATTGAGGTCGAGATTCTGCAGCCCAACCAGATGAGTGCTGAGAGCCATAGGGATGAACACGATGAAGAGGTAGTGTCCTCTCTACGGAATCCTGAAGTCTCAGGGAATAAAACAACAATAATAAGATTACATTGTATAGCGCCTTTCACGTCGGGAAGATGTCCCAAGGAGGGGGCGAGGCGGAGTGATTCAGGGATGGAATTCCAGAGGCAGAGTGGCTGAAGGCTCTCCCAATGGTGGGGCGGGTGGGTCGGGGGATGTGGAGCAGGCTGGAGCTGGCTAAGCGGAGGGAGCGGGCGGGTTGGTGGGGGTTTGGAAGTCACAGAGGTAGGGTGGAGCAAGGCCGTGGAAGGCTTTGTAGGTGAGGACCAGGATCTTGAAAGGATCCTCTGAAGGACAGGGAGCCAATGGAGTCGGGCGAGAATTGGGGAGATGGGGTCATGGAATTGGTGTGGGAGAGGACACGGGCTGCAGAGTTCTGGATTATCTGCAACCTGTGGAGGGAGGAGTTGGGAAGGCTGACAAGCAAGGCATTTGCATAGTCGAGCCTGGAGAGGATGAAGGCATGAACGAGAGTTTCAGCGGCCTAAGGGGTGAGGTAGTGGCGGAGTCGGGTGACGTTACGGAGGTGAGGGAAGGTAGAGCGGGTCATGGCTTGGATGTGGGAAACAAAAGACAGTTGAGGGTCGAACAAGACACCCAGGTTCCTGACTGGCTTGGTGAGTTGAAGTGTACAACCATGGAGGTTGATGCTGCCACAGCCTGAGGCGCTGAGGCGCTGGCGCGAGCCAATCAGGACAGCATCAGTCTTGTTCACATTCAACTTTAGGAAATTTGCCCTCATCCAGGACTTGATGACTTGATGTAATAACTTACATTTATAAAGGACCTTTCACGTCAAGAAGTGCCCCTCTTATTTAAGTTGTTCATGGTGCCTCAAACCATTGTTATGATATTAATGCAAAACATGAAGTGTCAACCTGTCTCAGTTGGTAGCACACTCGTCTCTGAGTCAGTATGTCTGTTCATATTCACCTGGATGTTAATGATCCAATGACACAATTGGAAAAAAGAAGGGAGTTTCTTTATCCTGGTATCCTGGCCAACAATCTCCCAAATAATATTGACCATTCATTTCATGGCCATCTGTGGGACATTGCTGTTTGCAAATTGGCTGCAACAACTTGCATTCATATCGTGCCCTTCATGCGGTGTAGCGTCCTCAGCGAAATGGCTGTCATGTTCACCCATAAAATGCACAGTCACTGCTCTTTACAGTATATCCTATGGAGTTCAAACAAACTAATAAAAGAAACCTCCATTTATATGTAACTTGGCAGTGATATTAATCATCATTACCTGTACAGAGTGATTTTATTAAGACATTCTCAGCAATGCTTTGGAGTGCCAGCTTGGACTTTCTGAGTGCATTGAATAGATAGATAGATAGATAGATAGATAGATAGATAGATAGATAGATAGATAGATAGATAGATAGATAGATAGATAGATAGATAGATAGATAGATAGATAGATAGATAGATAGATAGATAGATAGATAGATAGATAGATAGATAGATAGATAGCTGGCTGGCTGGCTGGGTGGCTGGGTGGGTGGGTGGGTGGGTGGATGATGTAGACCATGATTGTAGGTTAAATTCAGAAATACTACTTCAGTGATTGAGTAGTAAACATATGGAACAAGCTTCCTAGGGAGACTGTGGAAGCAGGAAGTGTTGATTCCTTCAAGAACAAATTAGATGGATTTATGTTAGAAAATAATATCTCGGGATCCAATATATAGTTTGGGATATGATATGGCAAGTGGCTACCAGGATGGTAGAAGGCGAACTGGATGGAACTTGGTTTTCTTTCGCCTAGCAAATTCTTAAGTCCTCAAGTCCCAACTTGAGGCTTGAACCCACAGCGGAGTCCTGTAGCTCAGTGGTTAGAGCACTCGCTTTGCAAGCGAGAGACCTGAGTTCAATTCCAGGCAGGGCGAAACCTTGGGCAAGTTTCCTTACTCCACACGCCCAATAATAATCCCTCCAAAAACAAAAAACAATAATAAATTGGTCATTTTCAATCTACGACTGTTTGTGGGACATTGCTGTGCGCAATTGGCTGCCGCGTTCGCCCACAAATATACAGTCAATTCACTTTACAGTGTGTTCTGTGAAGCGCTTTGGGACGTCCTCCCGACGTGAAAAGCGCTATATCAAATGCAAGGATTATTATTATTATTAATCCTACATATTGCGCTGCATGGTGAGAAGTCAAGTTGTACACTTTGTGTATTAGCTTTATAAGTGAACATTTGTTTCCTTGTTCTTACTTTAGTTCAACTTTGGTGATATCTTTGTGCACCAAGCGATCCACACCATTGAGTTCTGCCTAGGCAGCATCTCCAACACTGCCTCCTACCTTCGCCTCTGGGCTCTCAGCCTGGCCCACGCAGGCAAGTGTTCAATATGATAGGAATTACTGTAAAGCACTTGGAGATATTTGGGCATTGGAGGTGCTATTAAATACTTCTCCACCCCAATAAAATATTCCATTAGTGTTGATGTCTAAAAATAACTATCTTCTCACCACACCTTTGCAATGGGAAATAGATTAATAATGGGATTGTCTGTTCTGTGATGAAATGTAAAATGAGTATTCCTGTGTACGCCCTACATATGATAAACCCTTTTATCTCCAGGCAGTATTTATTTTAGCAAAATGTCAATGATTCACTCAATCAAGGAAAAATACAGCTAAAATTCTAAATAGAAAATTCAAAATGATTTCAGAATGTGAAGCAGTAAGTCTGTCCCTGTTTAATATCTATTGTAATTGTCCTCCATCTGTGGTGTGCCTTTTATCCTCAGAACTCTCCGAAGTCCTGTGGACTATGGTAATGCATATCGGACTGTCCAGTGCTTCGTGGGCTGGGCTCATTGGCGTCTTCATTATCTTTGCCATATTTGCTGTGCTAACGGTCGCCATCCTGTTGGTTATGGAAGGACTGTCTGCTTTCTTGCACGCTCTGCGGCTTCACTGGTAAGTTAAGAAAGAGCAACACATCGTTGTTGGGTTTGGACAATTTAAGTTCTTTTTCCTCTTTTGAACCCAGAGTGTCTTCACTCTCAGGTATTTAATTTCTCTTACTTGTGGATGGACCTGATTTTCACCATGGGTTGTAGTTTACATCATCCAGGCTTTATGATGTACATTGTCCTTCAATAATTTGCTGAGACAGCTTCACTGAGTAAATGAGAAACTGAATTCCAGCCTTGTATGTTAAAAGTGCGGCTTCAAGTGCCTGTGGTTTGTCTGTCTTTAAGCCAAACTTTATCTGATGGCAAGGTGACCCTCTCATATGGAGAAAAGTACCACTTACGTTTAACTGGGCCCTCACAAACCATCTTTGCATGGGGTGAGTTTGTATCAGTTGACAAATCTTGTGCGTCATTGCAGTTATTTCTCCTCAAACAAATGCTTGTGAGATGGTTCAGTGTACATTCAGCAAGACATTAATTTGTTCTGTGTTTCTCCATCATATAGGGTTGAGTTTCAGAACAAGTTCTACAGTGGAACTGGCTACAAGTTTAACCCATTCTCTTTTAAAACCATTCTGGATGGAAATCCAGATGAATAAACCTCCAGTTTGAAACCGTTGTCTGTTCCCACAAAATCTAAATCCAAACTGCAGAAATATCACTGTGAATCTTAACATTGAATCTTTTGGATGCTCTTTGACCTCAAACTATTTTGATTAATAAAGTAATTTTGAGTGGAAAATGTGGAAGTGGTGGTATGTAGCTACTCATCAGTTGCAGTGGATTTGGTGAATTATGTACAACAGTATGGTAAATGTTGCATTAGTGGGAATGTTTGAGTCTTTCATGCTTTTGATTTACCTTTTCACATATACTTTGTCATTGATAGCCACAACAGCAATCATAAATATTACTTGCATTTGATACAGTGCCTTTAAGATTGAATCATTTCAATGAGTTTCATATTGGTTTTTTGTAAGGTGTAGTGACTATTTATAACTGAATGCTGCAGTTTATCTGGAGGATTCTTGACCAGGGTACCATGAGGAACTGCCATCTCTTTTGGACGATTGCCACGAGATCTTTAACATCCATCTGACCAGACGAACAAGATCTCGGTTTCATGTCTGACCCCATTTCCGAATCAAGACGTAATTTTGTATGGTTTTAAATTTGACAACTATCACTTGTGCTCTAAAGAATATGCAACGTTTATCGTATCCTTCATGCAGTACAAAATCTTGGAGCGCTGTCTAACTCCATAGGTTAGCCAGATAACTGCAGTGTAAACAACCTCATATCACAGCTAATGAATTATCACTATAAGCCTAAAAACAACAACAAAATTACATTTGTATAGCACCTTTCATATCGGGAAGAAGTTCCAAGGCTATATACTTTCTAAGTTTGGGTGCCCAACAGTATACATTATACTCGAAGTGAGGTCTGATCAGTGCTGTTTCAAAGGGCTGTTGAGAGGGACAAATATATTTACTGTGACAGGGCACCTTTTGGTATAAATGGTATCAATTGTTTCACAATTAACTCAAAATTCTGAGTCCCTTCCCTGTGACTTTGCCGAATGTATAAACTGATAATTTATTTTTGTATCTTTTGTGTATCTTGCTGTCAATTACAGACTAAAATCTCCCCTCCCTTCTCCCTCCCTGACCCCAGCTTCGGTCTGAAATGCTGCACACTGTCCAGCCCTTGGGAAGTCCTCCTGAGGTGAAAGACACTGTACAAATATAATCTTGTTGTTGAAATAAATCGCAGTTTGTGAGCTGACACAATGTGGGCTATGATGTGACAATGTGGCATTTTATTTGCCTTTTAAAATCAGTAAAGGTCAGCTTTGGGTACTGGAAAGGTACTCATTCATGGCGGTCCCCAACTTCACCAGCTTCCCTTTTTGCAGCTCTCATGCAGTTTCATTTGCAAAGGGCTATGCAACATAATTTACGTTCATACAGCATCATTTGTGTTGGGAAGACAACAAATTATATTTGTGTAGCGCCTTTCATCTTGGGAGAGTGTCCCACTGGACCGTTCAAGGATTTCGACCCGTCTCAAAGTCTTTGGAAGACATCTCAAAGTGCTTAACACTGCTGGCTGAACACCTTAGCATGGGTGGAAGCCGCAAGGGTGTGGCAAGGAGGAGAAAGATGACCAAAAGCATGGGATAAGAGGTATATTGTGGAGTCCTGTAGCTCATTGGTTAGAGCACTCGTTTTACAAGCAAGAGACCGGAGTTCAATTCCAGGCAGAGCGAAACCTTGGGCAAGTTTCCTTACTCCACACAGAGCCTAATAATAATCCCTCCAAAACCAAAAACAATAATAAGTTGGTCATTTTCAATCTACGACTCTTTGTGCGCAATTGGCTACCGCGTTCGCCCATAAATATACAGTCAATTCACTTTACAATGTGTTCTGTGAAGCGCTTTGGGACGTCCTCCCGATGTGAAAAACGCTATATCAAATGCAAGGATTATTATTATATCTTAAGATGGACTTTGAATGAGGTGAGAGAGTTGGATGGGCTGTGGGATGGAGTTCAAGAGAGCAGATTTATTTATTCTGTCCTGCTCTCTGGAAGCAAAGGTATAAACATGTTTTTATATATGTTTATAATATATGCAAACATATAGAATATACATTTGCATTTATTCACAACAACCACTTATGGAATGTCTTGTGTAATTCCATCATATTTAAAACATAAAGGATCTGTTGATGACATACATGGCTGCTGTTGTTTAACCACCATGAACTTCGGGCATCATAGAAATTACAGCAGAGGAAAAGGCCTTTCAGTCCATCAAACCCAAATTGGAGCTAAGTCATCCACTGGAGCTAACTCCTAAAGCATTCTGGAATTAATCTGACATAAGAATGATGCGTCATAGCATATGTATATATGCTTTTGCTAAGATTTTCTGGTATGAACTATAGTTGTAGTCATTTTAATATTTTAACCCTTTTGATATTCTGTTTAATCTGATTACTATTTTATTATGAATTTTGTATAAAATGGAATTTTTTTTAAACATTTGTACTGTTATACTGCTCTGTAACTTTGCGAAGAAACTGACACAGTCATTCCTCTATCTTTGTCATTGCAATGCCTGGTACTGATGACTTTAGGATCATTATTGAAGAAAATTGAGCGTCCTTATCTCATGACGAGGGAGAACTCTCCCTACTCCTAATTGACATGCACTTTTGCGAGTGTTGGAGGGCCGGTCTCAAAATTCTGAGAAATTGTCAGAAATAAAGCAAAGCCTGTGATAAGGACGAAGGCCAACATTTGATGAAAAATAGCTGCTTTAGGAGAAATGTGGCTATTGTGACATGACTAGAAAGGGGAGGGGTAAGCACAAGATCAGGAAAATAAGTATTGGTCATAGATTAATTAACAAACAGCCTCTGGAGGGAAGAATGGTGAGAACAAACAGTTTCCTAGATTGTAATTTAGCTTGCAATATAAAACAACAACAACAAGATTCCATTTATAAAGCGCCTTTCACGTCAGGAGGACGTCCCAAGGCGCTGCACAGTTGGGTCATGACCCGAGCAGGGGGGAAATGGTCAGGGTGAGGGGAGGGAAGGGAGGGAGCGAGGAGGGGGAAATGGTCAGGGTGAGGGGAGGGAAGGGAGGGAGCAAGGAGGGGGGAAATGGTCAGGGTGAGGGGAGGGAAGGGAGGGAGCGAGGAGGGGGGAAATGGTCAGGGTGAGGGGAGGGAAGGGAGGGAGCAAGGAGGGGGGAAATGGTCAGGGTGAGGGGAGGGAAGGGAGGGAGCGAGGAGGGGGAAGAGAGTCGAGAGGGGAGCTGAAGGCACGGTCAAAGAGAAAGGTTTTGAGACCGGCCTTGAAGGAGGAAAGGGAGGAAGCAAGGCGAAGGCACTGGGGGATGGAGTTCCAGAGCCTGGGGGCTGAGAGGCTGAAGGCCCGACCACCGATGGTAGGGCGGTTGGGGCGGGGGACGTGGAGCAGACCGGAGCCAGAGGAACGGAGGGTACGGGCAGGTAGGTAGGGGGATAGTAGGTCAGAGAGGTAGGAGGGAGCAAGGCCGTGAATGGCCTTGTAGGTGAGGATGAGGATCTTGAAATCAATCCTCTGGGGGATTGGGAGCCAGTGGAGGCGAGCGAGGGTGGGAGTGATGTGGTCGCGAAGCCTGGTGCGGGACAGTACACGAGCTGCAGAGTTCTGAATGACCTGCAGCTTGTGGAGGGAGGTGGCGGGAAGGCCGGCGAGGAGAGAGTTCCCATAGTCCAGCCTTGAGGTGACAAAGGCGTGAACCAGGGTTTCAGCAGCGTGAGGGGTGAGGTAATGCCGTAGTCTGGCGATGTTCCGGAGGTGATGGAAGGCGGTGCCAGTTGTGGTGCGGATGTGAGGGAGAAAGGACAGCTCAGGGTCGAACAAAACGCCGAGGTTCCTGACTGGCTTTGAGAGGTGGAGAGTGCAGCCTTGGATGCTGATGGTGTCAGCGCCTGAGGTGCGGAGGCGCTGACGTGAGCCAATCAGGAGGGCCTCGGTTTTTCGCACGTTGAGCTGAAGAAAGTTGTCTCTCGTCCAGGACTCGATGTCGGACAGGCAGCTGTCAGGACATCGGTGGTCGTGGAGTTGAGAGTAGAGGAGGAAAGGTAGAGTTGGGTGTCATCCGCATACATGTGGAAGTTAACTCCATGTCTGCGGATGATGTCACCAAGGGGGAGCATATAGAGGGTGAAGAGGAGGGGACCAAGGACAGAGCCCTGAGGGACACCACATGAGACAGTACGGGGGGTGGAGGAGAAGCCATTCGTCGAGACAAAGTGAAGGCGGTGAGAAAGGTACGACCTAAACCATTCAAGGACAGTGCCTTGAAGGTTGAGGTGGGAGGACAAGCGGTGGAGTAGGATAGCGTGGTCGACCGTATCGAATGCTGCCGATAGGTCGAGGAGGACGAGGAGACAGAGGGAGCCCTGGTCACAGATGGTCAGGATATCATTGGTGACCTTGACCAGGGCAGTTTCTGTGCTATGGGCAGCACGGAAACCTGACTGAAGGGGTTCGAAAAGAGAATGGGTGGAAAGGAAAGAAATAAAAATAAAAGATTTATTTAATAAAATTGGTTGTCAAAGGACTACCTGAATCTGTGAGCTTGATTATCTTGGTGTCCACAATCTTAAAACATAAATGGTTAAACTTCAAGGAATTTATTTAAAGTAAATGTAATGTAAGATTGACCCACTTGCAATCAACACTCGTCTAATCCCAATTCACTGCTCCTTACCAATCCTTCCCATATTCTACCTCTTAAAATGTTGATGCTGTTTTCTCTTTAAATATTCTGCTGTTCATCTCAGTTGCCACTTATGGCAAAGCATCCTATATTCTGCTAATCCTCTGAATGAAGGTAAAATCCTCTAACATCCCACTTAAACTCTTGTATCGGTAACTTGGGGTTGTGGCGGACACCTTCCTTTGCTTGGAGACTGTGCTAAGGAACTGTGCAGAGAAGTGGCAAAGGATATTCTGATCATTCTCATCACTCTTCAAGGTCAGCAAGGTCCCAATGCAGTATAGCTTGTGGAGTACAAGATCTGTGTCCAAGCAGTCCCGGAATAAGCAGTAAGGTAGATTTTTGATAAACACCGGAAGTGGCTACAGAGAGCGAAAGAAGGCTCCGACCTGCACTGACCTGTTGCTGGAGGCAGATCTGGCTTCATGGTGCACGTCTATTTGCCAAAGGCCCTCA